GGTGGGTGCAGTGAAGGGATAAAAGTTAAGTGGTAATATGATGGATCAAAGACTCTAGCCTGGATAGGGACAGAAGTGAAGACAATTGGAAAGTGAGAGATGAGAAAGTCTGCGGTCAGTGACTAGAAATGCCAGGGAGGTATAAGAACAAGTAAGGGTAACAGGAGGTAATGTGGCTACTATAGTGGACACTAAGACTTAGCCTCAACCTATTATGTTACTCAGCTTTTCAGATACTGTCCACGTGTGGTTCATCAAAGTTCTTTGTTTTACCTGTTCACTCTTTTTGGCCCATTCACCATTGATATTCACCCTCATCCTAAGGTAGGAGGCAAAAGTTGTGGCAGATAAAAATCATCACCACTAGCTGTGGTCCTAGAGGAAAAAATTAAGTATGTAAAGTTTTTAAGTTACCTATAGGCTATCCTTTTCTGTGCTTATGCATCTACTTTAAAGGATGAGCTTCTGGAGTATGACTTACCCAGGGAGGTGTGCATCACTGCTTACATTGGGGCCCTCCCCCTTCCTATACCCCTCCTCTCCTTGTCTTTCCTCCAGTTTTCCTAAATTTCTTCAGCCAGCTTGTCACTAAAACATGAAACTCTCTAATTTCAGTTCAATTAGAATACTGCCCCTTGCTTAAATACAAATGCTCTTGGGAAGGGAGTATGTTAAGCCTTTATCAGTCACTAAGACATCTGTGGGAAAGTGTTTGGGCTCTGTAACTAATGAAGATAGCTTGCCTAGAACAGATTTTTTTATCCCCATGGAGAAAATAGAGCTGGAGATCCACATTGATGGTGGGGATCAGCCAGCCCAGATCACAATACCTAGAGCTGACAGGAGAGCCCCATGAGAGGAAGAGAACATTGTGGATTGGAGGAAAACTTAAAGGGGACATAGGAGAAGGTAGTAGCAAATTTTACCTTCACCAGTTTTGCTCAGGTCCAACCCTACATGGGAAAATCTCTCTGGCTAGATTGATGAGCACTTCACATGGTTTGTTCTGACAGACTCTGGTGGGTACGTGCTTCTCTGCTTTACAACCCCTGTGTTACAGATTTCTCTGTAACACTGTAGTGAAGACATGCTTTCCAATCATTCTCATTGTGGCAACAGATGTGCTCAGACTGGCTGTGTTAAATCATTTCAGCAGTGTCTGGATGTACAAGATGATGGGTGTCAAAAACTATTTAAGATAACCCCACTTAGTGGGGTAAGACTCATTATGACTTTTACTTTTGTATATTATGATACACAGGTGAGACTCTGAGAGGCATGCAGGATGCTATAGTTTCTAGTTTGGTTTCCTTTTTCCTGTTGTGTATAAGTCTTTTATTTGGCTGGGTTGGTTACATAGGAAACAGCTGAGGGATAAAGATGGATTGGTTGTTTGGGGAATGGAATAATTGGCCCCTTCAAGAGACAAAAAGACCTGTTGGATAAAACAAAAATCAGTGAATGGCTAAGCTTATGCTTAATAAGTATGCTGCAGGAAACCACACTGAGTAAGACGGCTTTACAGGAGAACCTATTTAATGCAGTGTGATCTTAAATTTAGCTTGTTTTTAATTCCTTTAAGCTCACCAAATGCTTATTAATTCCACTGCTACAGGCCATTTGGGGGTTTCTAGTGAAGTAGAAGGTGCAGTTCCCTCTCTGAAAAGTTCGTGTCCTGTTTGGTGTAAAAAGAAGCTACCTTAAAATCAAGTACGTGATTGTGATACAGGAAGTAAAAGATCTTCATTATCAATGTGAATGATGGATTTGAATCTACAGGTAGAGGGTAATTCATTGAAGTAAAATATGAAATTTAAAGGCCTGGTGAAAGTTTATGTATGAACAGTATCTTAATTTACAAAATTTAATAGTAGCAGCACAGTTACCATTGCAGATTCCCCAGTTAGCGTACATATGGAAAATATGTAACTATGATATAAATAAATTTTGTTGATTTTAGAGTCTTACACAAACGAATGAATTTGAACAAGTGTTGACCAATCACTGTTTCCATGAGCCATTGTATAATATATTCAAGGAAAGTCTGTTTTCACCAAATACATGACAGAGCATTAGTTTTGGAATCTCTAACTGCTGTAACAACGCTGAGCACATAGAGACACTCAATAAAATATTATGTATTGACTCATGTAAAGTATTCCTGCTGGTTGTCAGCATTAGCTTTCTTTTCTTCCAGAATAGAGGTGAATATGTCTTGATTTGTTGTGATATGGAATTTAATAAATACAGGAGAATTGGCCAGGCATAGTGGCTCATACCTGTAATCCTAGCACTTGGGAAGCCAAGGTTGGAGGATTGCCTGAGGCCAGGAGTTTGAGACCAGCTTGGGCAACATAGACCCTGTCTCTAACAAAGTAAAAAAAAATAAGTACAGGAGCATAGCTCTTCTTTTAAAGCTGAACATCTGTCAGGTTATTTCCAGTTTTTTTGTGGGAAGGATAGCTATAATTTTCATTTTCTTGTTTTGTTTGTATTTACTTAGTGTGGTATGCTACACAGGAGAGGAGGAAAAAAAGCAGTCCTACTCATAAAGCTTAACAAACCACAGGCACAGAAGGTTAAGTTAAATTTCATCCCTATTGCTAAGGGAGAGTAAAAGAGGCAACATAATGATACTTAGAAATATTTGTAAGAGAGATATTTTAGTTATGATTTAGTGACTATATAATGTTTAATATTTGCCAGCAAGGCCGGGCACAGTGGCTCACGCCTATAATCCTAGCACTCTGGGAGGCCGAGGCGGGTGGATTGCTCGAGGTCAGGAGTTCGAAACCAGCCTGAGCAAGAGCGAGACCCTCGTCTCTACAATAAATAGAAATAAATTAATTGGCCAACTAATATATATAGAAAAATTAGCTGGTGGCGCATGCCTGTAGTCCCAGCTACTTGGGAGGCTGAGGCAGGAGGATTGCTTGAGCCCAGGAGTTTGAGGTTGCTGTGAGCTAGGCTGACGCCATGGCACTCACTCTAGCCTGGGCAACAAAGTGAGACTCTGTCTCAAAAAAAAAAAAAAAAAAAAAAATTTGCCAACAAAAAATAATTCTTGAGTGTAAATCTAAGTCCACCAGGTATGTACAGTTATTAATGAAACTTTCTTTGTATGGTAAATTAAGTTGTGAAGAAAGTTGCCGCTATACCAAGAATCCATAATACTGCATTTTGTCAGAGGGTCTTTCATTGCCTATAGTTTATTCTTATAGCAGTTACAACTTTTATAAATGTGGAATAGTGACTGTAAGAGGGTAATTTGTTAGAAGTCTTTGCTGAATGATCAGAAGTAGTTTCCTGTTAGGAGTTCTTGGGCACTGTTTTGAATGCCTTCTTTATTTCCAAAATTACAATAAAATGTTTTATCATAATAAGACACTCCCTCCACCACAAGTTTTCTTTTCAAGGACTTTTAATGTTTCAATTTAAGAACAAGCAACTCCCTGATGCCTATTCTCCCCTACTTTATGCCCTCTTCTGGTTTCAAGCAATTACCATGAAACTTTAAAGGTTAGCAATAATGTCAGAAAATTTTTACTGTTTAACTTGTCTTTGGCCTATGAAGTCTCTCAGCTCACAGGAGGCATACTGTGTGGCATGAAGGTTTGGTCTCTTTCTTTACTCTATCTGCCTTCATTCTGCCTCTGACAACCCATAGTTATAAAGCTGTTTGCACTTATGCAGGGATCACCAGATGGACCTAATTATTAGATGATTTGGGAGAAAAAGCACAGCTTGTTTATTTATCTTCTTCCACTCTACTTAGAGTCATGGTCAGATAGAGTTAGCATTAGAGGGGAAAAAAATTCCAACTCAAGTTTGAGAGCAGAAATGATTTCTTGTTTCATTTTCTTTCAACGTGTTGCTTTATTTCTAAGGATGTATCAGTGACAAAAGGCAAGCAAGTTTGAGGAAAAAAACCCTCCCTCCAACAGCAAATCCCTCCACCCCACGCCGCTGCATCTAATCTATACACACAGATCCAGCCCTGCTGTCTACTCCCATCAAGGCAGCTTCCCAAAATGCTTCTAGGAATTTTACCAATTGAGTATCCTCATAGAAGGATACTCATGGCAAGTGCTATGATTTTGAGGTCAATGTCTTTTTATTTTAAATTTGTGTTCATATTGAGAAAATAATGCAGACAAAAAAAAGGCCTCCCCCAAAAATTATATTTTCAGTGCCTCGGTAACTGTTTTCCCATTTGCAGTTGCCTTTGCGAGGGAAAACAAGCAGTTTTTATTCAGAAGTAGCAGATGAGAAATAATTACTTTTACATTTCTGATCTAAGTTTTTATAAATTCCCCCAAAATTGATAGAGGTGTCCTTGAGTTTGATATGAGAACATGTTTATGGAAAAATAGTACTTGATGTTTTACAAAAATCACATTGATGTTATTTAAATGGGGGGATACTTTAAAATTACCTTTGTAATTTGCCTTTGTGCTTTTCTGTTGAAGCATGCCAGTAATAGTTTGGCAATGTACACTTGTACAATGCACAGAAATGGTGAACTCACCAAATGGAGGGGGGAATCCTACTAGTTTTTTATCCTCAACTAAAATAAAGTAAATATACAATGAGTCTTGGATCTGGGATCTGAGAATAGAAAAAATTCAATTCTTTCCACTAGTGTGCAGGTTCAGCAAGGGCAGGAACCTCATTTTGGTTTCCATAATTTCCCTGGAGCCTAGAACAATGCCTGACATCAGTACTCAGAAAAGTACTTGTTCAATGAATAACTGAATGAACTGCCTTTTATGGCTTTTGTGAGGTTGGATTTGGGTTTTTTTTTTTTTAAGTTCACTTTGTATGTTAAGCCAAGTATTACTACATTATGAACTACTGCAGCGTAGGACTCAGGGGAATTAAGTGCTTGAATGATCCATGAAGAGACAAATAAGATTTAAGGACTAAAGGGATAGTGGTGGGGAATATTCCCTGGGTATCCCAAACCCACTAAAGTATTCCCACCTTTTGCATCTCCTCAGGAGCACTCACTGTGGGCCTTGTGCGACAGTGTCAAACAATCCATGGACGAGACCGGACGTGCATCCCTCCCCGGCTTCCCCCGGAGTGGGTCACCACACTGTTTTTTATCATCATGGGAATCATTTCATTGACTGTCACATGTGGTTTGCTAGTGGCTTCCCACTGGCGAAGAGAAGCTACAAAATATGCTCGATGGATAGCATTCACTGGAAGTAAGTAACTTATGCTTACTAAATTTGTCTAGAAGGCACACACACTGGTATTTTTATGAAGATAATCAAGAATCAGTAATAAAGACTCGATAATCATCAAAGAACACCACTGGCATATGGCTGTGAGATAGACTGTACACAGTCCCATCAGTTCTTCAAAACTCTTACAAGACCTGGACATCCACAACTTAATTTCTTTATTTGAAATGGTATTTTATTGAATTTTATTTTTGCTCATATTGTGACATAAGTATTCTAGTTCTGTGACTCAGACCAACCACTAGTCTGAGTCTTTTCTTCTTCTTGAAGGTATTGGTATCTGCTATCAAAATAAAGATAAATCTAGAAAAAATACATAAAAATATAAATTGGATGAAGGTGACAAACTGTTTAATATCATTGATTTTGAGTTTCTGCTGTATGTTGTTGTATAACCATTGAAAAATCAACATATTTGGTTATTTAATAATTATCAACATTTCTTACTCCATTAAGCTATGCCCAAGGGTGTGATAAATTTATATATTACACATTCTATTGTACTTTGCAAAATTGGTTTAATTTCAGAACACATCACAAACTTACCTCAAGTTAAACAAAATGCAAAAAGAAAAGATATTTCTGTAATTCTGCTTTCTTGCTTCTTTTCTCTCTAAAGCAGTTTTACACCCAGGGGACATTTGACAATATCTGAAAACTTTTTTTCTTTTCCCTTCCCTTCTCCTTCCCTTTTCCTTCCCTTCTCCTTCCCTTCACCCTCCTTTCTCCCTCCCTTCCCTCTCCCTTCCTTCTCTTCCTTCCCGACAGGGTCTTACTCTGCCACCCTGGCTAAAGTGCAGAAGTGGGATCATAGCTCACTGTAACTACAAACTCCTGGGTTCAGGTGATCCGCGTGCCTTAGTGTCCCAAGTAGCTGGACCTATAGACACACACCACCACACCCAGCTAAATTTTTTTTTTTTTTTAACTCTTGCTCAGGCTGGTCTCGAACTCCTGACCTCAAGCAATCCTCCTGCCTCAGTCTCCCAAAGTGCTAGGATTATAGGCGTGAGCCACCACATCTGGCCTGAAAACATTTTTTTATTTTTTTTTTTTTTTGAGACAGAGTCTCACTTTGTTGCCCAGGCTAGAGTGAGTGCCATGGCATCAGCCTAGCTCATAGCAACCTCAAACTCCTGGGCTCAAGCAATCCTTCTGCCTCAGCCTCCCGAGTAGCTGGGACTACAGGCATGTGCCACCATGCCCGGCTAATTTTTTCTATATATATTAGTTGGCCAATTAATTTCTTTCTATTTATAGTAGAGACGGGGTCTCACTCTTGCTCAGGCTGGTTTCGAACTCCTGACCTCGAGCAATCCGCCTGCCTCGGCCTCCCAGAGTGCTAGGATTACAGGCGTGAGCCACCGCGCCCGGCCTCTGAAAACATTTTTGATAATCACAAATGTTGATAGGGGATGCTACTGGCATCTAGTGTGTAGAGGCCAGGGCTACTACTAAACATCCTAAAAATTCACAGTATAGCTCCCCACAACAAAGAATTATCTGGTCCAAAATAGCAGTAGTGTACTGTTGAGAAACTCTGCTGTAAAGAAACAATATAAAAATATATATGCAAAATACTATGAGAGTTAACTTTTAAGTCAGTGCATTAAAATCATCTCAGATTTACATAAGTTTCTTAAAAATAGGTGTTATAACACAGCTCACTTTCACTTGACATTTTCCTTTAGAACTAGTATGATTGGGGTAAGGGATAATCCTGTGTATCCCTATTAATGTTAAAATTAAAACTCAGTTTATCCTTGAAGGCTATAGGATAGTGATGATATTCCTTCATGAGTTTCTGTTTCTCCCTGTCTCTCTGTGAAACTTTAGTGTGTATGTTTCTGACTCTGTTTATTTTTATCATCCTTAATTTTTAAATTTAGATCAAATTGCCTTTGACATAAAAAAGCTCCTCCATCTGTGTTACACAGTTTGAAACAAGTTGATCTTTCTGCTGTCAAAGAGACCTCCTGAAACAGTTCTTTTCTGGAGAGTAGGGTCTAGAAGTAGTAGAGACAGTGCTGTTAAATTTAAGTGTATTGATGAGGATTTTAAAGAGAATCTGATTCTTTATCTTTTACTCACATATACAATCACTTATCCAGGTAGAATTCACTCTTCAAGGAGTAAAATACTACCAAGGAAGGATTTAGTTTCTGGATTTAGTTGAAATTTGAGGATGCATATGCTCTGAATACCAAGAATCTAAAATATAATTTAGCTAAGTAGAATGAGTCAAAGAAAGCATTAAGATGCTCACATGAACTATTCATTCTTACAACCCAATAAAGGGAAAGAACTAGAATTATCTTTTTCATTGGTTTTCAACAGAGAATATTTTTATAGTTGCCCCTGTAATGTATTTTTCCTTTATTTTTTAGTTAAATAATTTAACTTTTTGAAATAATATGTGCATATGATACATAAGTCAAAGCCTGTGAAAGGATAACCAAGTGAAAGGGCTCATGTGTGGCCTTGTCACCCAGCCATCCAATAACCCCTTTCCTAGAGGCAACCATCATTATGTGTTTCTGGGGTTTCCTTCTAGGGGTGTTCTATACATAGAAATACTGTGTGTGTGTTTTATAAATATTTATATAAGACTTTTTTTTTTTGCTATTCTATATGTTTTTTTAACTTAGTAGTATATCTTGAAATTAATTTCATTTAAGCAAGCATAGTGCTTGCTACCTTACTCTTAGCTTTCTTAATACGTTGTTTTGTTACCAGAGCTAGTCTGGTTGGGCAGCAGTTCTTAGAGGGATGGGGCTCCCCCTAGTGTTTATATTCAGCCTATTCAGCTCTTGAAAATGTATTAATACTTTATTGTATATATTCCTAGTGCAGTTAAGCTATAGTTTTCATAATAATGTGAAGGTAATATTTTCTGATGGCTGTGCACAGTGGGGAAATATGTCTCAGAGTAGAGTCCCCCACGATGGGACTTGCCTATGAGGGCAGGAGAAACAAAAATGAGTCTTCTTCAAGTCTGACCCTTGTTCTTTCCTTTGCCACCCTGATTTACAGCTTCATCTATCAGCACACCTGATATCTGACTCTCACCACCAAGAAATCTGTGCCATGGAAGATACAAAGTTATGGCTTTACAAGCTTATTTAGGACCCAGAACTTAATCTTCAAAGGTTGATAGATACTATCTGCATTAATAATTTTTTAAATCTAAAGTAACTTCATAGTTCACAATATCTTAGAAGAAAAGTCATCTACCTATGTTAAATCTGCTCCGCAGGAAGTATAGAGAACCAAATTCCTTGAATTTAAAACCAAAATTAGACTGAACAGGACTTCATTGTACCCTATGATTAAGCTTTTCCTAACCAATTTGGAAACTATTTAACTCTTGAAAATATTATACTTTATAATCACTAAAAGCTTACTCCATTATGAAGGATAGGTTTTTATTTTACAGTAGAAAATAGGAAACAATGGGAATAAAGTTGGCACATCAGTTAACAGAGTGAACAAATTTAATATCTGCACATCTTTAAAGCACTTTTCTTCTAAATTGTTTCTTGAGATTACGTTAGTCAGCATTAAGAAAAAATTCTGTTTTTAAGACAATAATTTTTCCCCTTTTTTATTAGATTGCATATAGCTAGATAGGGGTTTTATTTTACCAAACCATATTAAGCCATAAGAATCATTAAAAATTGGTTACAGATAACACTGATTGGCAGCAATAATAAAGTTATTTGTTGCTGACTATACAACAAAAAGGCCAAAAAACTCTAAAACTTTATGCCCAAATTTTTCATTTGTTTTGATAGTTATCTGAAGAAATCCATGTTCGCTTATATAATGTTATTTGATGTGGTCATTTGCCCAAACTGAAATAGACTCTATGTATAATATAAAATAATCTACATAACTGGCGCAAAACAAACAAGAATGCTGGTGTGTTTCTTAGGGTGGTGTATTACTTAAGCAAATCTTATTTTTTAATATATTGGCTAGAGATATTCCTTCCAGGAAAGAATTCCTTATTGGCTTTTTAAGGACTCTCATATTAAATGTTGTTGATTAATTAACACACACAAAAAAATGTAGAGACAAGTGTCAGTTGATATATTTATCCAGGGCTCTGTCAGTATTCCTGGGGATAGGTTTAACTAGGAAGAGGTTTCTCATTCAGTTAATAATAGAAAGCTTCAACTCTTCATATACAGTGACTAGTAATCTGTCTTCACATTACACTGCAGAAATGTTTCTCCCTCCAAAGAAATTTGAAGGATTATGAACATTTGAACAATATGCTTGCAAAAAGCAAAAAAAAAAAAAAAAAAAAAAAGGCTAGCCTATCTGTAGGTAATTTTCATTCACTAAAAAGAGCATTTCTTGGCCAGGCGCGGTGGCTCACGCCTGTAATCCTAGCACTCTGGGAGGCCGAGGCGGGTGGATTGCTCCAGGTTGGGAGTTCGAAACCATCCTGAGCAAGAGCGAGACCCCCGTCTCTACTATAAATAGAAAGAAATTAATTGGCCAACTAATATATAAAAAAAAAAAAAAAATTAGCCGGGCATGGTGGTGCATGCCTGTAGTCCCAGCTACGTGGGAGGCTGAGGCAGGAGGATCGCTTGAGCCCAGGAGTTTGAGGTTGCTGTGAGCTAGGCTGACGCCACGGCACTCACTCTAGCCAGGGCAACAAAAAGTGAGACTCTGTCTCAAAAAAAAAAAAAAAAAAGCATTTCTTTGGTAACATGGGGAGTACACTCTTTGCCAAAACATTGGTCTGTGGAATTACTTCTAACCAGACATTGGATTTTCTGATATCTTTCTAGAAACATTTTAGCAAATAGTATATTTCATTGTGTTTATATACAAAACTCAAAGACGGTTCCCCACCTTCCCCTACTTTAACCTCTCTGTATATTCAGAAACTTAATAGATTCTATTTTTTGGAATATTGTCCATGCTAAGAAATAACCACTCTGACAATTTACTAATCATCCTAGAGATTTGAGGTTCTTTCTACTAGTTGATTTCAAATCAGAGTAAGATAAATGGTACTTATTTGTCTATACCTTTTCTCCAGTTCCTTCTAACTAATACTGAGAGGAACAGAGAAGTAGCAGAATAAGGATAGTGATAATAATATGCAACATTTATTCAGCACTTACTGTTAATCTGTCACTGTGTCAGGGATTTGACCTTATTTTATTTATCCTTCCAGTATATCCCCCGTTTTCAGAAGGGAACCAGAGGCCTAAGATTACACGGCTAGTAAGTAATAGAGCCAGAAGTTAGCCCCTGTCTGACTCTGGCTAGTGCCCTTGATTATTATTCTAAATGGTTAGGAATAGTATATGTGAGTACTTAGTAGGTTTGGAGAAGGCCTTTCTTAATCCTGATATTCAAAATTGTCCTAAACCTTATATGAAAGGCTAATCTGGCTTTTACTGTATTTAATTGTTAGACTTCAGGGATATTATGTGACCAGTAATATATGCAAATCTTTTGACAAGCGGTCCATGTTTTAACAGGTTTGACCATGTTATCAATGCATACCCCTTTTTGTAAACTTTCCTTTGTGGCAAATTTTCTTTGTTTTTTTAATCACCAAACCATGTTACTAATGTTGTATTTTGGTTTGTTTTACAGTGATCCTTTTCTGTATGGCTGCCCTAATATTTCCAATAGGATTTTACATCAATGAAGTCGGAGGTCAACCTTATAAATTACCCAACAACACAGTAGTTGGGTCATCATATGTACTTTTTGTCTTATCAATTTTCTTTACAATAGTAGGACTTCTATTTGCTGGCAAAGTTTGTTTACCAGGCTGATGAATGTTTAAATTGCTTGACTTATTTTTTATTTTATTTTATTTTTTTATTTTTGGAGGGTGGGGAGGACAAAGGCAAGGCATCTGAGCAGTCCTCTCATAGGAAGATGCTTAGATGAAACTGATGCTGAAAAGGAAAAAAATGCTTTGATTTGTTCTCACTATGCACTTTGGATTTAAAAAAAAAAAAGGAGAGCCTTTTCCATAACCAAATACAGACAATATTGACTAAATCTCCTGAGCATATTCAGGCAGTCAGGTCTGCACTGTGATAGCAACCTAGTGAAGGAGAATGCTTTATACTGAAAAGCATGTGGCCCTTTGTGACTTTGTTGTTCCATTTTTAACGTTACTCTAATGATTCATTTGAGGGGGAAAAAAAGTCTAAGTATTTGTGAATCATGGTGGACCAGAGGGATGCAAGAGAAGTTAATGTGGGGCTGGCCTCACCTCCTAAGAAATTAGTGTTCACAACTTCCTTGTAATGGTGTGGGCCTTCGGCACCAGAATGGATTGCCGTTGCATTACTACACCAAGAAGCCAATAGATCAAAACTTGTTTGCTAAAATGTATGTAAAAATTCTGAAATTCCTTATTCTCTGTGTACAAAAAAAAAAAAAAGAAAGAAAAAGAAACACTAAGAGACATGTTTGGGGTGGGTGGGTGGGGAAAATCTTCCTTATATTTATATAAATATATATATAATATATATATTTTGCTGATGCAGTATACAGTGTGTATATATGTGTGTGTGTGTATGTGTGTGTAAATTTATATACACACACATGCAAACAGTTCCTGGAAGAGAATTCTGAATGCTTTGCTAGCAAAACACTGTGGTGTGCAAACCTAGAACTCAGTAGAAAAAAAGCCATTTATCTGAAGGCTGCATAGTGGAGAGAGTCTTCAGTTTACCTCATTCTTTGTAGCAGCCCTTGATTTTAACAGGTTTTTGTAATAGGTACAAATAATCCCATACCTTTCTAGGTGCAATTTTAAGTTAAGCTAAAAATTCTTCGTAGGATTAATTTATTTGTATATGATAGTAGAAGGTAAGGTCATGTCAAACCTTATAATTTGGGGAATCTGACACTATTTAAATTATTGGCAACTATCGTCTATTGTACAAAGATTCTTTTCTACTGGCTCGGTCTGTTACATTAATAATGCATTTTATATGTTCAAGCACACAACTTTGCATAAATACAAAGTTCACTAGTAAATATCTGGCTATTTTGGCTATTTACAACACTAATTTAACTCTGCCGTAAAAATTAATGTTTTTCATCTGTAAGCATTATTGATACATCTTTACCAAAAAACCTGAGCAATACAATATTTTTTTATATGCTATATGCCTTTGTTTGCTAAAAGCTAACATTTTTGCAGTTACTTTAAAGGGCTGTACTAAACCCACAGCTTTACGTTTTTTCCTAAAATAAGCATTGCAGCTAACCCTTGAACTATAATACAGTATTTCTCTTCTCCACATTTCCATGCCTTCGTATCAATGCTTACTTGTTTTTCTTGGTGAACACTATAGATGATCTCCTGTTTGAAATGGAGGACAGGAGAGTGTTTCATGGCAGTTGAGTGGAGTTTTTCCTCTTTATAGTGAAATGGTGACCCAAATGTCCCTGTCAGTAGAGGTAGAGTCCTACGTAGCCCATGCTTCACACAAGCAAAAATGAATGCACTGTTTTTTAAAAAGCTAGATTGTAAATTATAAAGTGATTACTTCAGAGATAGGGCTACCTCCACGGATCTTCAAAGTATAAAATGGAGGAGCTTGATGTGTTTCACACTGGCTTGTTTGACATTCTTATAGCTTACTGTTAATTCAGCAGTATTTTATTGTGAAAGAGAAACCCCAGTGTTTCAGCTCACTCGGGAGTCAGGAAGAGATGGACCACCAATGTGGTGCATTCCTTGAGTATTCTGTGGGAATGTCATACTTTTCCTTCCCAGGGTAAAAAGAAACCATTGGGAAATCCTGAGGGAGACTATTTTTCCCCAAGTATTATGATGTCTAGTCAATTCTAAGAATACCACTGGACATGTTCTATGGACATTTGGGATTGCAGTTCCCATTGTGATTTGACTGGTCCTCAATCAGATGGATCACTTTAAAGGAAAGCTTCGGTTGTCACCATTATACCACTGAGATAAAGTGTTAGCAAAGTATGGTTCAAATTAATTTATAATATGACCAAGAGCTTTTCTCTTCCAAAAGATGAATTGTATTGTAAATAGTTTCTCAAAATATTTTTAACTGGATCATGAGCATGGGGAGAGAAAGTTTCTCAGCTGCTAAGAATTTCCCCACTGTTTACTTCTTTCACTTACAATGGTATTGCATTTAAGATGACAGAATTTAAGGTTTTATTTGTATCTATTACCCAAACCATTAAATTGTCTTTAATTTCATTATTATCTTGGGGGCCAGTGCATTATAAGTCTGATAGGGGAAAACTCCCTCTAGCCAGTCAGCACTCTAACCCAGGATTAAAACCATCCCATCAAGTAGTATGTGAAGTCAAGTCTTTGTATACTTCCAGACCAAACGTTGAAATGGACTCATTCATATAAATTTCTATAAATCCTGTAAGTGAAAAGATAGACAACTGTTAGCAGTTGCTTTTTAAAAGGTCACTATAATGAGTACTATATAGTACAGTATTAATTTATAGCAGGAAATCATATCTTATAAACTGTATATAAAACACTGTTTATGGTGCAATCATTTGTCAAACTTTTGTCTGTTACATTGTTTTAGAGTGTGTGCATTCTTCTCATACCTAAGAATATCACTGTAAAATCTGCTGAATACTATTTTTAGGTTTTATTTGCACAAGACTGAATTAGTTTGAAATTTTTGGAAGCTCCTATTAAACATGCCTAAACATCTGTAAACATGAAAAATTTTCAATTCATTAAAAGCAAACATTTCAGTATGATTCTTTCCAAAGGTAATCCATGTTCTATGTTGTTAATGTGTGTATGTAATTTTTCTGACTCTTCCACCTCTTAAAAACCTATTTTCTGTTTCATTTGTTTTGTTTTTGAAGGATGGCTCTTTTTTTCTTTTTAATGTTCTAGATGACCAAAACACTTTATTGGTTTTTACTCTTTTGCCTAAAGCTTTGATATCCCCATTTAATGTCCTATGAATTCACTGTTTAATCTATTAAGTGAAATAATAAATAGTCCTGGTGACAAACAATCTATTGATTTAGAGGTAAAGCCCTGAAAAAGTATTGGAAAGTAACTTTGGATATACCGTTAGCTATTATTTTGCATCATGGGCTTCATGGGAAGAACATGTTGCATTTATTTTGTCTTTATTAAAAGACTACTAGCCACAAGTTACTCTGATTGTAGTAACTGTTTTATCAACCCACTTGATCTTCTTTAAAAAATTAAATTTACATTCACAATTCAAAATAGTAAGCTGTGTTTTAGAAAATTTTTGAAGGGTAAAAATATATGAAGGAAAAAAGTGGCCTGTGTAGGTAAGATCCCCTACATAGGACTTTTAGTTGTATCACCTTCAGAGATTTTGAAGTTTGTGATCAAGGTCTGTATATTATCCCAAACTTTATTAAGAATTGTTTTCTAATTGGTTATAACATTTTTCAATTAATAGTTTCAAAACAAATTGTTAATACAACTGTATAAAATGAACATAATTTTCTTCACTTGTATTTTTGTTATTGAGCAAGTTTATCAAAATAAATTGTCTACTAAAGAAACTAAAAAGGCTTCTATTACTTTGAAATAAGCTTCATTTTAAAAAGTGATTTCTTACAGAGGTTTCACATGTTCACACAGGGACACTTTCATGCCTCTTGGGTTGGTTCTGTTGTTAGCATTTGGGGGAGGGGGAATCCTTCCCTAACTTATTCCATTCCCACTCCTAGCCCACGCCTAGGGAAGAGATGCCATTAATATTCCAGGACATGGATTAGACCATGTTTACCGATAAGAAGAGTCACTCAGCAATAGAAGACTACATATGTGTGGCTGTCTTCTGCAGCATGTCTGCATGAGAAACATGGAAGAGATAAACTGAGCCAAAGCCCCAAGGCCAGCCATCTTTCTCTTCTTCCTACCTTGTAAGTAAACCTAAGTCCATTTTTGCTTCAGTCTTTTGTTTCTACTCTACTGCAGGCCAAAAGATCTTAGCTTTTAAGATCTTAAAATGTGAGCAATACAGCAGCCCTTGGCCCTCAGACTCATCCATGTGCCCCTTTACTATAGCTCTCTCTGAGGGTGTCAGTGTTAGTCCAACCTAATAACTAATAATAAAATGATCACCCTTTGATGCTGTTTCTTCTTTATATGGCCTTTTCAGGAGCCTCATGGGGAGTTGGTGGGGGGGATTAAGACATGGTACGACTTGCGTGTTCTTGGGTTCTGGGACTTAAGAGCATCTTCATAGGGTGTCTAACCATCCTGGTTTGCCTGAGGGTTTTACCTAGGACGTGGGATTTACAGTGCTATAACCGGGAAAGTTCCAGCACACCAGGAGTTGGTTACCCACCTTTATACCATATAAATCTTATCCTGATTTATAACACAGGTTAGAAGTATTTGAAGGGTTCTTTTCTATAAACACCAATGAATAGGTCAATTGGAAATTGTAATGGTAGACTTATATGAAACTTCTAAGAGGGGGTGATAGCACTTTTTCTTTCTTCTTGGTAATACCTTAGGAAAAGGCAACAGAGAGGCTTTAAGAAACAATAACCTGGGTTCAGAAATACCTTATTTTGACTTAGTCTTCCATCAATTCTATTCTAGCCACTAGGAGAAGATTACAGGAAAAATACCAAGACTAGAGGACTGTGGGTTCCTTTTTATGCAAACTCAACTCTTCTGGGTCACAGTTACCCAGCAACAAAAATAAAGGTAGTTATTTATAAATGGCATTAAAGATAGCAAGCATAATGTATTATTTTTTAGGGTTTTGGTTCTTTTCCCAGGATAAGAAAACATCATGAGATGATATTTTGAAGCACATTCAAGATTTTTACAAATCAGCCCTGATTCCAGTGACAAACTAAGACCACCCAAGATTAAATTTCAAAAAGAGATTATTCATGAGATTTATAAAATTTTAGAGCTGGATGAAATGTAAAAAAGCTTATCCAGTGTTTTGATTTTTCAGATGAAGAAATTGAGGCCTCAGAAAGGCTTACTGACTTTCCCAAAGTCACACAACTAGGTCTCACCAGAGCACTCAACATAGGAAAGAATGTCTTTGATAAACGGGCCTCGGACCTCAGACAGCTGTTTGTGTTCTCTAGCCCTTGAACCTGTCTTCCTGCAACTGAGCCCATTTACTTTATCCAAATCAGTTGTGTCAAAATAGTCTTAGCACTAAAGAAAGCATATGATTTCCTTATTCACATTTCTGCCATTCCCACTGTCTAGAGAATGAAGCCCAAACTCCTTTAGCATAGCATTGAAAACCCTTCATGATCTGCCTTCAGATTGCTTCTTGAGTCTTATTTCCCACCACTCTCTCTCCACTTTTTACTGGCAACCACCTCACTCTCCATTCTCGCATCACACCTACTCCCTGCCTTGGCTGCTGTCTGTACTGCGTCCTCCTCCTCTTGATTTTTCCTGATCCCTCTTGCATTTGAAATATATCTAATCTTCAGTGCTTTGTGTCTCTTTTGCTATACTAACACAACTTACGAGAGAAGAGTAGACTGCCTGGATTCAAATCTCAATTCCACAGTTCTAGCTGCGTAACCGTTAGTAAATCTGTGAGCCTTGGTTTTCTCATCTGTAGAATGGGGCTAATAACAGAACCTACATTATGAGGTATTGGCTTAAATGAGATAAAATAGCTAGCACATAGTAAGCATTCAAATGTTAGTTGCTACTATTATCATTTAATGCTTCTCTAAAACTAGGTTATAAACTCCCAAATGCAAGGAATGTGGCCGCCTCATATTGTTTTCCCTAGAAACCTGGCACAATGCTTTTACACACTGAATTGAATTTCCAAAATTAAATTTCGTTATAAAGGAAAACTATGAGACCCTATTTCATGGAGATTTGAAAGACCTAGTCATGTATCTACCAGAATTGTTTCAGTAAAATTGTTCCTGAAGGCAGAGGCTTGCAGCCTTTATAAGTATGGTTACTTTATTGGTGTTTGATTATATAATGTCAGTTTCACTGACCTCCTTAGGACTTCTCTGGACTCAAGATCCTTTACTGCTGAACTCGCAGTGCTCTAACATTGATACGTTAGCACTAGAGGACCAGGATGATGCAAGCACAGTGTTGATCCTGAAAGAACTCTCTGGAGGTTGTTTCAAGATTGTGGGTTCTCTGCTGTCTTGAAGCCATACATTTGGTATGTTTTGCAAAGACTTAGTCCTGCCAAGATAGTTTTAATTATTTTCTACTAAAAGGAATTTGCTCAAAGATTTGATCTCATTTTAGATGTGGTTATCCCCAACTGTCCATTTTATGGCACTTAAGTGAATATTGCCAATGTATTTAGTCACTGTTAAATCAGTCCACATTAATTATCTGCCAGGGCAAATCAGTAAAATAGTGTTCTGACTCTGTCACTGTTCCTCATATTGTTTAAATATTTAATAACATGGAATATCAGTTGTTTAACCCTTTGTACTCGCTTGCTTTTTTCTCATTATCCACTCGACATTATCCACACTCAACATCCGAGTGCAAAGGGTTAAAATGTTTTCTTAAAAAATGAAAATGAAAATGAAAACTCATTGTTTTACATTGCTGTGTTCTGTATGGCAAATGCAAATGCAGTCTAATAAAATACTTTCCATGATCCATAATGAATTGCTCTAGGGTGAAAAATATTAATCTACATGTCTAAGAAAGCTTTTGGCCACCTCATCTTCTACATATTTTACTAGTGTAGTTAATGGGTAGCAAACAGGCTCATTTGTTGCAATCTCACCCTCACACACACCACTCTAGTGCTTTACCTCATTTCTGCTTTCACGGTCATCAGTAACTTTTTTGAAGCTTAAGTGCTATCATGGAGAGGGAAGTTATGACTCTAAACTAGGACAAAAGAATTTTCTTTTTACAATAACAAATACCTGTAAAAATTTTTAAAAACATACAGAACAGGAATATAGGAAATTAAAAGTTCCCCCCTCCACAATCTACCTTCCAGAGATAACCGTTAACATTTTATTGGATGTTTTAACAGATATTTTACTGTTGTTACAGTTTAATAAAAATAAGATCATATATTTACCACTACTTTCTTAATTTGTGATGGAAATCTTTCTATGTCAGTAAATATAGAGCTTCCTCATTTTTAATGACTACCTAATATTCCATGTGATATATATCATACCAAGTATATATATATATATATATATCTGACTTTGCATTTTGATGTACATTTAGGTTGCTTCCAGGTGTTTTATTTTGTTTTGTTTTTGAGACAGAGTCTCACTTTGTTGCCCAGGCTAGAGTGAGTGCCGTGGCATCAGCCTAGCTCACAGCAACCTCAAACTCCTGGGCTCAAGCAATCCTGCTGCCTCAACCTCCCAAGTGGCTGGGACTACAGGCATGCGCCACCATGCCCGGCTAATTTTTTCTATATGTTAGTTGGCCAATTAATTTCTTTCTATTTATAGTAGAGACGGGGTCTCGCTCTTGCTCAGGCTGGTTTGGAACTCCTGACCTTGAGCAATCTGCCCACCGTGGCCTCCCAGAGTGCTAGGATTACAGGTGTGAGCCACCACGCCCTGCCAGGTTGCTTCCAGGTTTATGCCATTACAAATAATGCTGTTGTGAACTTTGGTCCTTAGAGAACAAAAACTTCTCAAATATCATAATAACTTGACATTCTAACTGAAGCATATCAACTACTTTATTAAAGCAATTCATATTTTCCAAATACTGTAGTTAAGTGGCAGTCAGTACATTTAGAAAAAAAAATTAATATTAAATTCATGGATTATGTGCTTTTCCATAAATCATCTTAATCCTCTTCCTGTGAAGTAAGAGTTGGTATTTTATAGACCAGAAAACTAAGGATCAAGAGGATAAACAACTGGCTCAAGGTTCTATAACTAGTCATTGGTGAATCTGGATTTCAAACTTTGGTTCCCTGACTTCAGATCTAGGACTCCTTCTCCTGTCCCACATTGCCAGTTTGGCTAGTCTAAAGGAAATAAAAATAGCTTGTCCCAGTTGCATGATTCCTTGGCTCAAACATGAGCGGCTAAATCTATGATGTGCTTCTTATGGATTTGGAATGCAAACAACCATAAAAGGTAGTTTCTATTTAGGAACAACTTGTGAATATTATCTACTTTATCTACTTTGTTGAAAGACCAAAACATGTAAGAAAAGCCTCCTACTTAAGTTGTTTGTGTCTAATCTTCCATCATTCACCTCTCATTGTCAAGCTTTCTCTTCGTAATCATTGTTTGGTGGCATTTTATAGGGCTAACTTCCTTGATTAGTGAAGCTAGATGAAGTCACCCATGGATTTTATTGGGACCCTTTCAGGATTTGAGCACCCAGGGAAATTTTCCCAAACAGGCTACTCCCCACTTCTACTCCCACAGTACTTAAAAATCAATTGGATCCCTTCTACCATGTTGGTAGGAAATTTATTTGTTACTAGGGTAGGGTAGGTTGTGCAGAGTCCATGTCGCAAACATTAGACAGGCCCCTCCAGTGGTTTGTCATCTGTTGGAAGATGAATTTGCCCCAGGCTGGAACAGTAGTTTTGTTGTGTCCATCTCATGCTTGCAACACGATAAACTTTGGTGAGCTGGGAATTCCTGTGCCTGTGGTCTGTTTCTCTGAGCGCACCAAGACCCATTTCCTCTTAGGTCTTGCCATCTTACCAAAGTGTTACTCCCAAACACCAAACGCTGAGTGTCTCTATTCCCTCTGATTTTCAGAAATCTGATTTTTTTTTTTTTTTTTTTTTAGTCTCTGTCTGGGAGAATATCCTCTACTCTTTGGCTTCCCTCAGAGGCATGTTTGCCTAGTACTTGTGTCTCCTTTGGTTTAAAAAAAAAAAAAGCTGGGCTGGGCGTGGTGGCTCACGCTTGTAATCCTAGCACTCTGGGAGGCCGAGGCCGGTGGATTGCTCAAGGTCAGGAGTTCAAAACCAGCCTGAGCGAGACCCTGTCTCTACTATAAAAATAGAAAGAAATTAATTGGCCAACTAATATATATATATAAAATTAGCCGGGCATGGTGGCGCGTGCCTATAGTCCCAGCTACTCGGGAGGCTGAGGCAGGAGGATTGCTTGAGCCCAGGAGTTTGAGGTTGCTGTGAGCTGATGCCACGGCACTCACTCTAGCCTGGGCAACAAAGCGAGACTCTGTCTCAAAAAAAAAAAAAAAGCTGTTTTTCTTTTGGGAAACTCCTTTCTTACCTTTGGGCCATGTGGTTTTATGGGGCTAATTTTACTTTCTGGCTCCAGAGCTGGACACAGAAGGTAAACTTGGCCAATCGGTGTCATAGTAATTGGTTCAGAAATGAGCATAGCATATGACCAGCCTGGAAATTTTACTGGAATTCCTGGAAGAGAGGTGTTCTCCTTCCCGTAGGGTTGCTAAGTCGCAGGGGGAGCAGTTTGGTACTGCTGGCAGCCACGCATGAAGAATCAAACCATCACAGAAGAAAGGAAGATGAGAAATGGAGACAGTTCTGTTAACATCATTTTAGCCTTTGGATCAAGCCATGCCTGAAGCCATAACTATCTCTGGATTCTTTTTTTGTTATTTGAGCAAATAAATTCCCTTTTTTCCTTAAGTCAGTCTAAGTTGGGTTTTTGTCTCTTTAACTGAAAAAAAATTTTACACTCCCACTTTCCTCCTGACATTAAACACATTCCCCACTTCCCCTGCTTTGGCACATCACCTTAATCTTTTAGTTAACTTAGGCTTTTACAAAAGACATAAAAAAAATTGTTGACTTCAGGGTGCTTCTTCTCAAACCCCCCCCCCAAAAGAAGTACATGCTCCTGATTTGAAATGGAGGAAAGAAACGAAGCAAAACACAAATTAATATCTAAAAAATTTATCCCACCATACTCCTGGGGATGGGACCAGGTTAGAGCTTCTAAATAAAAGACCAGAGATGAGTTGACCCTGATCAGTTTCCAAGAACCTAAGGTAAGAGAAATTCCTGTCATGCTCTGATGCCATACATGGGGCCAATCCTGATCTACATCCCGAGGGGAGCTGAGAAAGGTGGTGCCCACACACAGCTTTACTCTTGGCTGGCCCAGCAGCCTGAAGTCTTAACTTTATCCCTCTGGCACAAATATATCTAGAATGAGTGTGCCTGTAAGATCAAGCTGAAGAAAACAGAAAGTATTCAGTGTTGAATTTTACTTCTTGTACAATGTTGAAAACCCATGTTTCAGGGAGCAAAGAAAGTTGTGAGAGTGGTGGGCTACCTGTCTGGGGCTCCCATGTCACCAAAAATGGCATCTCAAAAGCTAGCCAGCCCCTTTGACCCAGAATTTCCATCAGGGTAGGCACAAGAGTCCTCACCTCTTATTCACAGAGTAGCCATTGGTTGCTCACAGCCTCTTGTGACTTCCTTACCGCTCTCTGATCTTTCTCCTTTTCTGCCTTGTTGGTGTTGGCCAAATGACAAACGCCCTGGACTTACACATGGTGCTGCTCTCAGCCCGTGACTGCTCTGCCCAGGGCAACTGGTGGTTGATATGCAGTTCCTATTTTGAGGAGTTTGGCTGTTTCTGACCCGGCCTGCTGGGGTCAACACCCGAAGGTTCTCTACTCTATAATGACCACCAGCAGCAGCACATGTTCTAACTTGTAAAACTACAGGTTCAGAAAGTAAAGGCTGATTTGAGAAGTGGCCTGGATAAGAGAAAATAAGTGGCATTGACAAGCTAGTTGACGTTGGATACATCACTTTGTCTTGACCTCTATAAAAGAAAGGGTTGGAGAGGTCCCCAACTATGGACCAAGGACTAGTTACATCACAATCACTTGGGGCCACTGTGAAAAACTCATGTTTCCACATTTGAGCATGGTTCTGAATCAATTTCCGGGACGGAAATGTGGTCTTAACAAACAACCGAGGTGATCCTGATGGGCACCTGGATTTAGGAGCCACTGGAGTGGATGGTCTCTCTTGAGGCTAAGAGCTCCCTGAGCTCGCTATACTGGTCAGGTTTGGGTGGGTCCGGACCTGGCAGGGGTACAGGGTTGTCAGACTTCTCCCAGGCAATCTGAAGAGCAGAAGATGTTTACCCCCCTTCTACCGTCACAGGTTCTCTTATATTTTTCCTCAGTTCCTACCACGGGAAGGCAGCAGGCACCAGGCACCAGGGCTCTATTGGCCTAAACCATAGTTCTCTGTGGACCAAGAAGTTCTGAAAATAGAAAAGAGGTCCAAATCCTGCTTCCATGTTTTCGAGAGGGTGGAGAAAAGCAGAGTGACCTGGGAGAGGTGGTTATCAACAACAAAGTGGTAACTTCTCCCCTGGGGTGAGGAAGGTTTTTCCCTTTCCCTACCCCAAGCTGCAATGGTGCAGTCTGTTACCTTGGAGACCAGCTAACACTTCCCGAGGGGCAAGCTTCACTGTTGCCTTGCTTGGAAGGAGCTTGGACAAACTAGAAGTGAGAACTGGGAGAAGCAAGGCCCTGGGGTGGCAGGAGCCCTTTTTCCAAAGATGGAGACATAAACGAAGAAGTACGAGCGCGGGTGAGTGCCACTAGGGTTCACAGGGGTGGTGAGGGGGTGGGGGGAGGCCCAGACGCTGAGCTCTGGACTGAGCCAGAGAGAGGGTTGAGGGAGGCTGGGTCTTCAGCACCTGCTCCCTCCGTTCCTAGCGTTGTCCCAGGCGCTGTGGGTGCGACAGTAGACCTGGGAGTGGTAGAGCTGGTAGGGAGCAAACCACGACAACTCCATGTGAGATAGGGGACAGCCGCGAGAGGACTTCCACGGGAGAGAATGGCTTCCTCCCTGGGGGCTTGAGGCCAGCGAGTGGGGTTCAGGAAAGACTTCCTGAGTTTTCTTGTCAGACTAAAAGGGCAGAGCTTGAGCACAGGGGCATATGAGATAGCAACGTGGGTGTAAGTGAGGGTTGCCAGGGAGCAGAGGAGGGTGAGACTTGGGGTGGAGGGGTCCATGAGATATGGATCCTGAAGGAATGAGAAGCCTTGCAAAGAATGTCCCCCTTGATCACCCTGGGACGCTGCAGAGCCATGGCAGGGCTCTAACCAGGTACCAATAGGAACAGTTTTCATCTGGCAGCGTGGATTGGATGGGGTCATGAGTAGAGATAACTTTGTGGTTACAAGTGTAGACCCTGAGGATAGCTTTATCTTGGATGTATATTTATGAGAATTCTAGATTCAGCTGTTAACAAGCCGGAAAGTTAGTGGAAAGTTTACTTTTATCCAATAATCAAGGCTCCCTCTCTCCTTTTGACCCAAGTGCTCTCTGCCATGGGCTGGTTTGTTCTCCTCCCCTCCTCCAGCTACTCCCTCCCCCAGGGTAATGCGGCCCACCTTTGCCTAAACTCTGGATCTGTCCTCGGTGCATTTATTCAATTCAACAAATGTTTTTTGAGCAGCTACTATGTTCTAGGCACTGTTTTATGCAAACGTATTCTAGCAGTGAACATTACTAAGTCCCTGCCCTCATGGATCTTCTAGCCTGTTTATGTGCCCCGCCCCTGAGAGTAAATAAGTAAATAACAGACCATCAGATGGTGGCGTGTGCTGTGGAGAGAAAGCAAGGCGGAAGGGGTGCCAAGTGACTTCCGGTACTCGAAGAAGACCTCTCTAATAAGTTCATCTGAGCAAAGGCAGAGGGAAAGGAGGGTGCCTTGTCTCCCGTCCCCCCAGCACCAGCTCTCTCTGACACTCTACGAGTGTTCATGACACAAATGATGGCTTCCATGTCATATGCTAAAGTGCTCAAAGATGCCGCACATTTTTTTTTTTTTGGCATTCTACATTTTTATAGTACTTTGTATTCTCCAAAGAACTTTTACACTCTCGATTTCATTTGATCTTCTTGACAATGAAGTTGAAGGGAGCAGAGCAGCTAGTATTATCCCCATTCCATTCTGCAGACGAAGAAACCAAAGGCCCAGAGCCTTTTCTAGCACACCACATTGTTCTGTAAGTTTTATCCAATTCAACCCCTTCTCCATCTGCCCACATAAGTCACCCCAGAATCCAGTCGTGCAGGGCTCTGAATTCATTAAGAGCTGTTAATCACTCACCTAAAAGAGGGAACTGAGACACTACAGGGTGTACAGTGTTCGTGTGGCGTTTCTATTTCAACAGTCCCTGCCATTATAGCCTCCCAGGAAAGCTCACTGAAGTAAAGCCAGTTTTTATTTAAAAAAAAAAAGAAAGAAAGACATTGCAACATTCTCCTGGTGCCTCCCAGAAAACAAAGCATTCTCTGAATAAAAGATTAAAGACCTGAACAAGAAAAGCAAGTTGCAGAACCATTATTAGGCTATTTAATTGATTGATTTCACAAGAACACACATTCTAATGTTTAAGCTGCAACTTTATTCAGAGTTTCTCACTTGCTGTGTCTTAACTGGTATTTTTTTAGTTGCAAGTAACAGAAACCCAAATGAGCTAGCTTAAGGAAAAAGGTAGGGAATTATAAGGAACAAGGTATCTCATGGAACCCCAGAGCAGAAAGTGAAGTCAGTTCTCATACGTCCCTGCAATAAATAATTAAGAATTCGAGAACCAAAGCAGTTTCTCAACCTCCTCCTTTCCCTTCACCTCCACTCCTCAAAATATTTATCGAGTGCCTGACAGCTCCTGCTGTCATGTAATTTACAGTGTAATGGGAGAGACACACAAATTTTTAAAAATCACACTAATGAATGTATCATTGCAAACTAAGATAAGTGCTCTCAAAGAAAGGAGCACAGTTCTATGAAAGTCTATATAAAACCAAGAAACCTGAAATAGAACGGGATGCTGGAGATGGTTTCCAGGAGGAAGCGACATTTGAGCTGGAATGTCAAGGATGAGAATCGGGGAGAAAGAATGTTCCAGAGCAAAGACAGCAGCACGTAGAAAGGCCCTGTGGTTAAAGGAACTACATAGCATTCCAGGAACTGAGAAGGGCGGGACAGTGGTGACCTGGGAGGTCTAGAGAGGTAGGTGGGCAGTGGCTAGACCTTGTGGAGCCTCAAATGCCATCAGAAGGATCCTGGTCTTCATCCTAGAAATTAAGAGAAGACTTTGATTAAGCAGGACAGAGAAGAACAGGGTGCAACATTGCATGTGTGCTTTTAAAAGATTACTCTGGCTTTGGTAAGGGGAGCAGATTGGATGGGAGGACTAATGGGTTGTAGAGAGGCCAGTCAGAGTCTGCTGTAGTTGTCTATGGCAGAGATGACGGTGGCCTGGGCTAGAGAAATGTCAGCAGAGACAGAGAAGTAGAGAGATTGGAGAGAGGTTAAATTAACAAGATTAAGTGATGGATTAGACATGGGGAGTGTCAAGAATAATTCCTAGGTTTTTATGTATAAATATTAATAGATGGTGGTTCTTTCCTCTAAGCTAGAGAACAATGAAAAGCAAGTAAGTTTGTAGGGAATATTGCAGGTTCGGTCTTGAACATTGCGAGTTGCAGGTGCTCCAGGTGGAGATATCCAGTGTCGGTGTGTGCACAGGTCCGCAGTTGGAGCAGGAATTCTGGGCTTTTGCCGTACAACTGGGAGTCCTTGAAGGATGGATGGTAATTGAAGCCACGGATGTGGATACGATCGCCTAGGAAGAGAGGAGAAATGAGAAGAGTGTGTACTATGTAGCCTCAAAGAACACCAACTTACACCAGTGCCCACGTAGAGAGAGGATGAGCCTGCCAAAGAGACCGAGGAGCAGCAACCAGAGACAGAGGAGGATGCCGGGGGAGAGGGGCCCCTGGAAACCAAGGCAGGGAATGACCATTCACTCCACTTTTCTTTTCCTGCTTCTGAAGGTACAAGGTAGCTCCACAGCTCTTAATTCTGAATTCCCAGAGAGAGAATCTGATTCATCTTGGATATGTGTCTAACACTGATTCGATAAGCCGTGACTTTAGGCTGTGGGGACTCACCCCTCTGAGTATAGATGCAGTTCACAGAGAAGAGGACTCAACCTCATCTCAACAGGTTTTCTTCTTCTTCCTTCATCTCTTCTTGAAATCCCTTTGGTCTGGCCTAACAGTCTTCTGTCTGTTTGCTGTCTAGGCCATGCTGTTTCCCACCTCAGGGTCTTGGCACCAGCTGTCCCCTCTGTGAAGTCCAGCCTTCACCCTACTCTTGACATGGCCACCCCATTTCCATCCTTCAAGAAGGTCCAGGCTCCTAAGGCACCTTCCCTGACCTCTTTACCTATGCAACATAGATTCCTTTCCTGACTACTTCTGTCATGTCATGCTGTCTGCCTCCTTCATAGCACTTTCCATGATTTGTAATCACTTTGTTTAATTTTGTAGATTCCCCTCTAGAATATAAGTTCTATGAGGACAAGGACAATGTCTATCTTAGTGGTTCTCAATTGGGGATAATTTTACACACACACATCCCCCCCCCCAGTGGGTATTCAGCAATGTCTGAGGACATTTCTGGTCATCACATTGAGGCAGGGTGGGGAGGGATGCTGCTGGCATCTACTAGGTAGAGACCAGGGATGCTGCCAAACATCTTGCAAGGAGAAGACCCCGCAACACAGATTCATCTGGTCCAAGAGTCAAAGGTGCCAAGGTTGAGAAAGCCTTCTTATCTTTTTTGCACTTGTATCCTTAGCATCAAGCATAATGCCTGATACTTAGTAGGTATTCAATAAGTATTTATTGAATTAATTAGTTAAAAAAGAGTTGAACATAGATACACCCCAAAGCTATTGTCTGTATCCTGCATTTATCCTCTTTTCTGGAATTCTTTTCCTCCTTAGGAAAATAAATATTGGAAGTTTTTATAATGGCTACACAAACGAGTCATGTCTTCCATGCTGAAGATAATACATTTCTGGAAAATCATTGGTAAGCAAATTGTTTTGATTTTTCAAATGAAAACAGCAACAGCATGTTGCTCATGGGAGGTTAAGGGGGAAATTATCTGCCTTGAAGTGAGACTGGGCAAATGGCCATGGTATCATCTTTTATCTACCTGAGGGCCTTTAGTTATCCAACTACCAGAACAGTATAGTAAAATGTCTAATGAACCCACAGTCCACATTTCATCAGGACTCTACAGGAGTCCTTCTCAGTTACAGCACAGAAAAATGTTTCTGGAATCCCTGGAGGGGAAAGAGAGGAAGAGCATGGGGTCAGTGTCCAGGGCTGGGGCATTGATCGCGTCACTTTCTGTTTTGTAGCATGAGAAGAAACACGGACACAGAGCCAAGGAAGCAAATGAAGCAGAACGATATGAACGGACTTGATCAAAAGTCAGACAATGGCTTACTAGTTACACACATTAACCAGACACAGGACCTACTGGTAAAAACCATAGCGCTTTAACTGGGTAGTGATGCTTGCAAGTCATGGCCAGGGAATGGAGAATATCTTCAACTCATAGGATCCTAGGACTGCAAAAAGATTAAACATTCATCTCTAGTCCCCTGCCTTTAGAAATGACTGAAGAATCTCTATGCTATTTGTAGAAATGTTATAGCTTACTTGGCCCCATCACTAAATATTCAAGGAGCATGTGGAGACTCTGATGATGCTATCAAAGCCTGACGTCTAAGGCATTTAATTTTAAAATTCCCCTTCCTGAGATTTGTTTTTCTTTTGGTATTTCCTAAAATCTAGAGCCAGAAATCCATTTCAGGAAGTGCCATTGGAGCAAGAGGGTTATGACAGGAGAATTAGCCTCTAGAATAACCCAGAGTATGGTTTTAGGCTGACTCTCTGTGTGTCAGTGAACTGCCTTCCCAAGACAGTGAGTGGATGGTCTAGAACTCATTCCACCTGGCAACCATTGCCATCAGAAGTTATCAGATGCAAGGTGAGCCCACAGCAATCCACCTAAGCTACCCTGGAGTTTATGCTAGCTATGAAATGATCATCAGTCAAAAACAAGACAGTTATAATGCTGGCAATTAGACAATCAGAAAAATACTCATGTTTCACTTTTCTCAAGTTTTGACACAGGAAAGCAAGTTTCATTAAAGGGAAATGAGGACAGGTTGATAGAGTCTTGAGATTCGGAAGAAATCTTTCAAGGACTTCAGATGACAATGTCATGGGTCTTTATTTCATCTAATTTTATATCAAAATGCATGACTTTCCAGGTGTACAAAGGACCATTCTTACATTTATCAGCCACATCTGGGGCCTCCTTGCCTCACAAACAAAGACCCGTGGGAGAAAGGGAAAAGATCGCCCCAACATGAAGATCTTACCATTCTCTATGTAAAGTGGCTAATTTCGTATATAATCAGCATGGCCTACAGTCCAACTCTATAATGTGTTTAACAGTGGATTTTCACGTATCAACAATACAAAATCCATGTCCTAAAACGCAACAGATCATTTCAAATGGGAGAAAGATGGAAGAAAGGTGAATTATAAAATCTACCATCCTACGTGTTACCAACCCGGGAGACAGTAGAGTCCCGAAAGATGAGAAGAGCGACACCTGGTGTTCATATGACATAGAGCAGCATTGCCCTGAGTATGACAAGGGACTGTGATTTTTAGGCCGGTGCTTTTCAAGGGCAGGACGTTCATCGGCACAGAACACGTGATGAGAAAGTAACCCTATCACCTGTTCTCTCTCAGTCTTTCATGGAACTGGTCACAGTTTGGTGCTAGTTTAGAGAGGCAATATAGCGCTGCGGTTTGCCTCCCAGCTCCACCGCTTACTAGCTGGATAACTTTGAGCTAATTACTTAAATTCCCTGTGCCTCAGTTTACTTGTCGGTAAAATGGGGGCAGATACTTTGGGGAATTAAATGAGCTAACATATGGAAAGTGCTTGCTAGTCATAAGTGCTATTTAAGTGTTTGCTGTAATTATGTGTGTGTGTTTTTCACATTTCTTTAACACTTGCTAATTTTCGTTTGAAATAGATAGTGGAGCAGGCCTCAGACACAGAACTTAAGGCATTCACAACTATCTAGCTGGAATAGAATGGCAGCATTTTATATTCATTGTCCTTGTTTCATAGTGACCTTCTACTCATGACCAAACCTGAGGGGGGGAAAATAGGATCATTGCTGAGAACTGTTTATGCAGAAACACTCAAGGCTATGTTCTGTACCACAGCTCTACACCACCCGCCATGGAAGAAAGCTAGTAAATGTCTCTGTGTGCACCTACCCTCTGTCCTATTCCTCCTCCCACAGCCTCTGTCCTATCCAATGTAGCTCATTCAACTACAGCAGTTTTATTTTTTATTTTATTTATTTATTTATTTTGAGACAGAGTCTCGCTTTGTTGCCCAGGCTAGAGTGAGTGCCGTGGCGTCAGCCTAGCTCACAGTAACCTCAAACTCCTGGGCTCAAGCAATCTTTCTGCCTCAGCCTCCCAAGTAGCTGGGACTACAGGCATGCGCCACCATGCCCAGCTAATTTTTTCTATATATATTAGTTGGCCAATTAATTTCTTTCTATTTATAGTAGAGACGGGGGTCTCACTCTTGCTCAGGCTGGTTTCGAACTCCTGACCTCGAACAATCCGCCCGCCTCAGCCTCCCAGAGTGCTAGGATTAAATGGTGCTCCGGCCCATGCCACAGCCATCAGATGCTGCAGGGTAGTGTCCGTGGCAGTGGGCTGAGCTGATCCCCTCTTGCTGTTACTGAACTGAACTTGGGTCTGCTCGCCTGGTGCAGCAAAGCCAAACACTGACACCGAGATTTGCAGGGAGACAAAGACAGACGTTTATTGTAGAGCTCCAGGTGAGGAGAGCAGGTAGCTAATGTTTAGGACCCCGACTCCCCTATGGCTTACAAGTAAGGGTTTTTAAAGGCAGGGGTATGTTGCAGGAAAGCAGAAGTTATAGGCAAAATTGCAAATCAATACATGGGGCCAGGCATGGTGTCTTATGCCCATAATCCCAGCACTTAGGGAGGCCAAGGTGGGATGTTGCTTGAGCCCTGGAGTTTGAGACCAGCCTAGGCAATATAGCAAGACCCTGTCTCTACAAAAAATTAAAAAGAAAATTATCTGGGCATGATGGTACATGCCTGTAGTCCCAGCTACTCAGGAGGCTGAGGCAGGAGGATCACCTGAGCCTAGGAGTTCACCGTGATCACACCACTGCACTCCAACCTGGGTGACAGAGACCCTGTCTCTAAAAGAATGATTTTTTTAAAAAGGGAGATTATACATGGGTTTGGCCCAAAAAAAGGTGGGATATCTTAAAGCAGTGGCTTATAGGTCATAGGTGAAGTCAGAGATTCTTTGGTTAGCAATTGGTGAAGGAAGGATGACTTTGTCTAAAAACTTGAGGTTAGTAGAAAGGAATGTTAAGGTTTAGATATAACATGTGTTAGTTAAGATAAGGAAACCTATTAACCATCACATGCCAGAGTCACCTGAGAGCAAGCCATAATTTACTGAGTCTGAGTGACCAGTTTAGTAAGGCTGATGGCCTGTGGGCATGGCCCACTCAAGGCCCTCAGGAAGAAACTTAGAACAAAGAAACCTGATCAAAGTTCAGTCCTCAATTCCTTCTTATCTGAGGTTTGTCTACGTGACTGTGACTGTATAGTTGGCATTTTCCCTCTGGTGGAAATCCTGGTTTCTGAAAAACAACTCAAGACCATATGTTGAGATGTCATCTTTTACTTTCTATAGGAAACCAAAACAGCTTGTGACTCTGAGCTCGCCTGGGAGACTATTGTTTAAGTTATTCCTGTCTTCTTGCTTACTGAGTTGCTCATTTACTTTTTAAGGCTAGCTGGGTGCCTTGAATTTCCCTTGAAGGGACTCAAGATTTTTCCTTCATTTCCATGCTTGGGGGGAGACTGCAAGGCCCCTAAGAGGTATCCCTGCTTCATCTCATTATGACAACAGTCCATACCCTCAGGGAATCATGGCCAAAACTGGCAACATTTAAGGCCCTTCTATTCCACATAGCATTGGCTGCACTGGAAATTCTTGCAGAATTCCTGCCTGACCCAGGCCTTGTACACTTTTCCAGTGGCTTCTTATGTCCTGCTACCCCATATTCACTGCAGTCTAACCACAGCAGCCGCCTTCTTCCCACACTCCCAGCCCTTCTCATCTGCACACCTCTGCCTGGATCGTGTCCCTAGTGAGGCACAGGCAGGGCTGGCTCCTTAACCTTCGGCTCTCAGCTCGGAGAGGCCTTCTCTGACCCCCACCCCCATCTAAAGTGCCCCCCCTCCCTCCACCCCAGTCATTTCCTACCACACTTCCCTGCTCTATTTTTGGTTTTGTTTTTGTTTTCAGCCTTGGTCTCAGACAGGTTTTGTTTTGCTTTATTTTTTTTTTCATCCTGTTCGAAGTTCTTAACAGAACTGTTGCTTTCTGAAAGTGTTATGTGTTAGGTCCGGAGCCGAGAGGGAGACTCATGGAGCCTCGTGTGCAGCAAAACACTGTTTATTTTGAGCATCTGGGTGCAGATGGGTGGAGGCTGGAAAAGACAGGAGAAAAGGGGAGAGCCTTGGGTTTTATAGAGGGGTTTTCCAGGAGGAGCAAATAAATCCTCTTCAAACAACCAGGAAGGATAAGGAAAGTAAGTCCCCCTCTTGCATTCCATTCCTTTATCTCCCTAGGGAAGAAAAGGGAGGACTAATTAGTCCTAATCGTGAGGGATATGGAAAGTAAGCTCACCTTTTCCATTTTATTCCCTTATCTCCCTGGGGTCTGGCAAAGGCTACGTTCCTAATACACCCCTAGGAAAGTGGGTTTTATAGGAAGTTTGGATGGAAGTTTGGGGAGGGTGAATTCTTTAAGCCTAACATGTACATTGATTTCATTTCCTGTTCATTATCCATATGTCCACACTAGAATGTAAGCTCCAAGAAGGCAAGAACCTTTCTGTCTTGTTCTCACGGTAGCCCTAGCACCAGGGACAGTGCCTAGTTCATAGTCAAGGGCTCAGAAATACCCACTGGAAAAAGGAAGGAAGAAATCGGCAGCCTCAGGGAGAGGTGAACAGGGCACAGTAGACTCAGAGCCTCTGGTCGGGACTCTGCCTCTGGCTTCCAGTAAACACTGCCAGTGTTGAATGCTTGCCATGAACGACTTCAGCTCGACCACCAAGGCCACCACCCAGAACCCAAGCTTAGCAACATGTCAGTGACACAGATGTCACTAGGTACATCTAGGGAGTGTAGTCCATTTCATGGCCAGACTCCTGTGATGGCTGGGAATTTCTTCCTCTCAGACATCCACCCACTGCTCCCAGTTCTGACCTCTAGGACGGGCAGAATACACTCATTCCCTGGTCCACCAGTGAGTCAACAAATGTCTGCTGAGGACCCGTTAGACTGATGGGAGGCAGAAGTCACACACCTGAAAAGATACAGAGAACCCAAGTGTAGAAATAAACAGACCACCCGAATGACAACAGAGACAATTTATTCAGAGCTTGCTCTAGCAAAGCAGTCAGCCACTGTCACCTGTGTTTGGCAGAGACTCAGAGGCAGGCAGGGAGTGGGAAGGCTGTGTCATGAAAACAATTGGGAGGCTTCAGGTGCGCCTGAAGGCTGGAGGTCACTGGCACTGGGAGGCGGAAGGCAGGCTCATTAGAAGTGGGGCATCTGATGGGTTGGGTTGGGGGCATATTTGGCTTTCTCAATGAGTTCTGAGTTGGAAGCAGGAAGAAAATAGGGACACTGACGGTCATTGACCCAACCCTGACCATTCTAGGACAGAGTTCTAGTGTTGCATTGTCTGGCCATTGTATGTTTGCACATTCAAACAAGGCAGGACATAGCAGGTGACATTGCCACATATCCAGGATGGGGTGAGAGGGCAGGAATGAATGGTCTCCCCAGGGAAGCTGGCCCAGAGTGCAGGCAGGCCTCCGCATTCATCCCTTCCCTCAGCGAGGCCACCTTTGAGACTGCTTTAAGGAGGGTCAGTTGGAGCTGGCAATGCTTGGGGATCTGTGTGAAAGGAACCCAGGGTGCCCTTAACGTCACCCTCTCTTTCCATAGTGTTTCGTTTGCCTCTGGCTTTTGTCTTGTAGAGGCTGCAGGGGGATGAGCCCCAGTTGTCAGCATGGGGGGACTCTGAAGATTGGCTTTCGACTCACAGCTTAAAGTTTGAGAAACTCACCTTGGCTGACCTGATAAGTCAGGGCACAGCAGTGCCGTAAGTCCGCAGCCTCCCCCTCCCCACGACCCCACTCCTGAGGCTGCAGTGACACCTGCAGCCCCCTGGACCTGAGCAACCCCCTCAATAAGGCTTTGCTTCTTCAGGGAGGAGGGAACCAGTGTCCTGCAGAAAATACATTTCTCCATCCAGATCGTCTGCCAGTTTGAATCAAAGCTTTCTGAGTAAGTACGTTTGTCAATGTCCTCCCAACGTGCTAGAGCTCAACAGTGATCTCATTTCAGCAGACAGAAAGTAACTGTGGGCCGGGCATGGTGGCTCACGCCTGTAATCCTAGCACTCTGGGAGGCCGAGGTGGGAGGATTGCTTAAGGTCAGGAGTTCGACTCCAGCCTGAGCGAGACCCCATCTCTACTGAAAATGGAAAGAAATTAATTGGCCAACTAAATATATAGAAAAAATTAGCCGGGCATGGTGGTACATGCCTATAGTCCCAGCTACTCGGGAGGCTGAGGCAGGTGGATGGCTTAAGCCCAGGAGTTTGAGGTTGCTGTAAGCTAGGCTGATGCCATGGCACTTCTAGCCCCAGTTTCCTCTTTTCTCAAATGAAAACGTTGAATGAGATCAGTGTCTCTCAGCCTTTAAAAATCCATGGTTCTGGTTGGTCCGAGTGCAGTGGTGTTTACAACTAATTGATCACAACCAGTTACAGATTCCTTTGTTCCTTCTCCACTCCCACTGCTTCACTTGACCAGCCTTTAAAAAAAAGAAAAAAAAAAATCCATGGTCCCTTTGGATGAACACCTAAAACCTAACAGCTTCATCTGATGTATGATGGTTAAAAGTGACTGCTTTCAATGTCAAATTGGTTGGCTTCATTCCTGTGTATGTTAAAATATGCATGCACCCCACTCCTAAACCAGAGTTTAAATAGCACATGTATATATGCAAACACACACACACACACACACACACACACACACAAACACATCTCTTGCTACATAAACTACTTGATCAGTAAATAAGATGGTTCTTAAGATTGTATCCCAGCTATAATGATTTATGATTCATGATTACTGTTTGCCTGAGGTTTCTTAAAAAGTTATAATAATAACAGCTAACATTTATTAATGTGTCAGAAATTCTGCTACGGGCTGCATGCATTATCTTATTTAACCCTTATGACAAGTCAAATGTTGTATTACTCTCAAGCCACTTAACCAAAAGTCAATTACTAAATGGCCACTCACAGAATGAGCCATTTGCCAAATTTGTCAAAACCTTTTAAGTTTTATAGTAATTTGCATTAGGTTGGAAAGTTAAACAGGTTTTAAAGAATTCTGCAATATTCTGGTTGATTAGTTTTAATTGGGAATCCAACATTTTAAGGCAGTCTATTTAGCTAATTGGTCATTTGGCAAATTGATTTCCAGAGAACTGACTTTCAGTAAATTAACTTTTGGCAAATTGACTTAGACAGAGTCCTGTTATTATCTTCGTGTTGGAGGTGATGAAACTGGGGCTCAGAAAGGCTACCACCCCTGTCCAAGGTCACACAGCTAGTAAATGGCAGAGCTGGATCTTGGATACAAGCATTCTTAGCATAAAGCTCATTCTCTTAGTTCTATTCATACTCACGTATCCCTTCTGACTCTACCCACCACCTGCTGTCCCATGATTTCATATCCAAAGGTCTTCCTTGTCCCTCCCCCTTTAGGCCCCCAAATCCTGCCTGCCCCCAGTGAGGGCAAGTCAATGAAATTCACATGACTGAGTCCTTATTTTGTGTACCTGGTAGGTGCTGGTCTCCAGCCAGCCATTGGGATGGTTTGCAATGAGGGAAGTTCAAGAAGTTCCCCTGCCTAATTTTTAGAAACTAAGTTATTTTGTTAATTAATCCAGCAAGAAACTGCTGCTAAATTGCCTCTGTTGTGCCTTTATGGTCAGTCTCCAGGAGATGGAACAGTTTCGTCTGAGAAGACACAGATTTGAGCAAGCGCAAGGGCATCCTTCCACCTTCCTCATGAGAACACACTTCCCCATGCCCCCAGACCCACGCTCACTTGGCAGCTCACGCCTTGTTCCACCAAACCACAGTCATTTGTAATGTGTACCAACAGAGCAACATCTACATACCCAGTCTCTTTCACAATCCCCTTGGTATTTTACCTGGTGCCCTAGAAAACTAATATCTTCAGTTTTGTCTTTGCTAGATTTTACCCTACATTCTCTCAAGTCCTTAGACACATTTTTTTAAAATGCCATTCATACCTTCCTCCCTCGTGTGCAAGTGGGTGTTGCTCAGTGATGAAGCTGACCATGGCTAATGAGTCTTTCTGGTGTTTTGACAGAGCTATTGAACTCTATCAACAGAGACTTCAGTGGCTCACAGAAAACAGCAAGAAGGTAACAGACATGGATTTCCTTCTTTGCCCCTTGTACCCATTCCATCCCTACTTGTTAGAATCCTTCCAGTTGCAAATGATAGACCTCCAACTGAAATTGGCTTGAGCTAAAAAAAAAAGAAAAAAAGAAAAATTTCTTAACCTACATAAATAAAAAACCCAGACACAGCTACATCCAGGTACTCAAATGATGACATCTCTTTGTCTCTGGGACTTGCTTTCCTCTGGGTTTGTTTTATTCTCGGGATGGCATGGGAAGATGGTCACCAGCACCTCTAAGCTTACATGTCACCAGCTAGACATCTCCAGTCCAAAGGGACCTCACTTCCTGTTCCCTGTACCCCCCTCGCAAGTCCTGGGATTGACTCTCATTGACTGATTTACACCAATCATCATAACCAAGGGGTTGAACTATACTAACTGGCTAGGCCTGGAATCAGTGCTCACTCCTGGGGACAAGCAGGGGTTGGAGAAGTGAGGGTGACTGGGTAAGCCCCCCGCAAACCTCACGGACTGAGAAATGGAGACAGGTGCCTGTGGAAAGCCAGAGTGTTGTCACCAGGAGGGGGAATGGATCCTGGGCAGGTGAGAACCACAGACCACTGACCCTCAGACCCATAATGAGATTTATAAGGCTAAGGCACATTATCTGGACATAACTTTTCTTAAAAGTTTGGTTAAACATTTTCCTCAGACCCCAAGGGTAGAAGAGTGATCAAGAGCAAATCAACCTGCGGGGCGTGGTGTCCCATGCCTGTAATCCTAGCACACTCTGGGAGGCCGAGGCGGGCAGATTGTTTGAGCTCAGGAGTTCGAGATCAGTCTGAGCAAGAGTGAGACCCCATCTCTACTAAAAAAAAAAAAAAAAGAAAGAAAGAAAGAAAGAAATTAACTGGACAACTAAAAATATATATATATATAAAAAAATTAGCCAGTCATGGTGGCTCATGCCTGTAGTCCCAGCTACTTGGGAGGCTGAGGCAGCAGGATTGCTTGAGCCCAGGCGTTTGAGGTTGCTGTGAGCTAGGCTGATGCCACAGCATTCTAGCCTGGGCACCAGTGAGACTCTGTCTCAAAAAAAAAAAAAAAAAAAAAGCAAATCAACCTTCGTTTCACTTTCTTGTTTTAGCTTAATTTCCTCCAACTGATACTTTCCTGGCTCCCCATTTGCTTACACCCTTAGGCACAAGCCTCAACTCTTGTTTTGAACCCTGGGACAGGCAGATGCTGAAATTCATGTTTCCCAATCCTCACCACCTCTCCCCAAGACCAGTGGGTGACAACATAAGCGCTGAGACTGCCTGTCCCCACCAGCGCCGGGGCGTGGTCTGTGTCTCAGGTCCAGACCCTTCTTCGCTTGCTCGGACTAGTCAGCGCATGCCTGTCTCCAGCTATGGCATGCCCCCTCTGGTTGCCCATGGAAACAGGCTGAGAGGACCTCGGGGTAGAATCCTCATGGGCTGCAAACACATCCATTTAGGGAAAGTAGCTCTCACCTCCCTAGGCCAGTCAGGCCCGTGCTCACTCCTTTGCAGAGTGGGCAGTGATTGGCAGGCTTCTCCTCCCCCTTCCCCTTTCCGATGGAGCTCCAGGGAAGCCAGGAAAGAGCCCAGATGGCATCCCAGGGAAGTGATCACCTGTAAATGAACCTAGGAGGCCTCCTGGTGCCAGGCAGCCTGGAGTGACGGGTAGACCCTCCCTGGTCCCAGTTCCCCTCTGCTCTGTCAGGAAGACCATGGGCAAGTGGCCTTACTTCTCTGTGTCTGTATCTGCAGAGGACAAACACAGGGGTTATAAAGCAGTGGTAGGCAGGACGAATCCCGCCCACAGCCATGTTTTTTCTTGGACCTATATGTTTAAATATTTTTCGAATTAGTTGCTAAGATTTTAAAACCTTGGTATTTCATTTTTATGTCTCTCGAAAGATGAGAATCTCTGGAATTGCTAGGCTCCAATTCCCTTTTATGTACCTGTTCATAAGAGGGAATATTTCTATGGAACAAACGTGTAGAGCCAGGCGTCCTCAAACTACAGCCCGCGGGCCACATGCCACCCACCGAAGACATTTATCCGGCCGGCCAGGTGTTTTTGCTGCAGCTGCCTGTCCTGCTTAGCAGCCGACTCGTCCTGGGCCCACAGTGCGCACTCTCCAACTGTCTGAGGGACAGTGAACTGGCCCCCTGTTTAAAATTTTTGAGGACCCCTAGTAGACGTTCAACGGCCAGGTGTACGGAAAGCACGTTTTCACGTACAAAAGCTCTGAAGCTCTAATGGCAGCTTTTTTGAAATGTAAAAGGAAAATAACTGGCTCCAAATTTTGATTTCTTTGGCCACTCAGGACTGGCAGCATGCTGGCAAGCCTCCACTACATTTGGGTCATGGATTTGGCAAATCTTTATTTGTCAGTGCGTACCAGGCAGTGTCTAGGATCAAGGGTATGAACGTGACCAATACGAAGGTCCTGCCCAGAGGAGGGGGACAGACAATGAACAATTTAACCTGTCATATCCAAGGTCCGTTAGCGGTGGTGCTATAGAGAAAAATAAAGCCAAGTAGGAGAATACAGTGGAACAGAAGGAGGGCTGTTTAAATAGACCGTCGAAAAACCCACTCTGAGGAGGAGATGTTTGAATAGACACCCAGTGAGGTAGTGAGCCCTGCCGAGTCCTAGGGCAGAATGTTCCAGGCGGAGGAAACCGCAAGTGCAAAGGTCCTGAGGTTGGCATGTTCCTGAAGCAGCACACAGGGCAGTGCAGTGAGGACAGAGTGAGTGAGGTGGAGAGAAGAGCTGAGGTTAGACAGGCAGGTTCTGATCAGGGAGGGTCTGATTCCAAAGGTGAGGCTCTGAGCAGGAGAGCGGCGTGTTCACACAAGTCTTGAAAGGATCATGATGGCTGCTGCATCCACCATCTATGGAGAGCAAAGGTAGACACAGGAAGATCGGGCTAGGTGAGCACGATGGCAGCTTAGACTCGAGTACCTGTGTGGATAGGATGAGAATTGGTGAGTTCAGGGCACAGCAGGAAGGTGGAGCTGGCAGGACTTGCTGATGGATTGGTTGTGTTTGGGGCCAGAGTGCTGGCCCGATTAAAGGCCTTTTAGTGAGATGGGGAAGACTGAGGGAGGAACAGGTGTGCAGAGGAAAGCCCAGAGGTCTCGTTCCAGACATGTCATGTCTGAGGGACGTACTAGACATCAGACAGCGATGTGGAACAGGCTGTTGGGCACACGTGTCTGCAGTTTCAAGAGAGGTCTGCCTGGAGATGGACCTTGGGTAATCGCTAGCGTTCAGATGGTACTTAAAGACGTGATACTTGTGAGCTCATGAGGGAGGAAATGGAGAACAGGGGTTGGCAAGCAATGTCTGGAGACATTTTTGGTTGTCATGGTGGGGGGAGAAGAGGGGGTGTGGCTGACATCTAGTTTGGCAGCAGCCAGCGATGTTGCTCAGCATCCTGCCATGCACAGGGTAGCTCCCCACCACTGAGAATTATCCAGCCTCGAATGTCAATAGTGTGGTTGGCAAACCCCGGTGTAGATAAAGAAGAGCGTAGATGATGGAGCCCTAGCTCAGCCTCTCAAACTTTAACATGTAGCCAAATCACCTGGGGGTGGTCTTGCTAAAATGAAGACTCTAATTTGGTAAGCCTGGGGCGGGACCAGAGATTCTGCATGTCTGATGAGCTCCTGAGTGATGGAAGTCCTGTTTCTAGCCCACACCTTCAGGAGCATGTTCCTAGCATACTCCAATAATTCAGACCTTGGAACAAGGACAGGAGGGTCTCTCTGGCAAAGGTGATTAAGAAGGACTGGCCAGTGAGTGCAAGGAAAAGCAAGAGAACATGGTCACCTGGAAGACACATGTCCTAATTGTTACAAACGGTGTCATCTGCTACTCAGAGTTCAAGAAAGTTGAGGATTTGGGCTTTGGCCACTGGGCTTGGCAAGAGGGAGGTCATCCATCACCTGGACCAGTGTGTCTTCAGAGGAGTGGGGAGGTGAGAGCCCAATCTGAGTGGCTCACATAGAAATGGGAGGTGAGGACATGTTGATAACATGGAAAGCAGAGAAATGAAGCAGCAGCAGGAGGGAGAGGTGGGGTCCTGAGAGGTCTATTTCTTTTTTAAGATGGGCACTGTCATAGCCTGTATGTATGCTGATGGGAATTGTGCAATAGATGGGGAGGAACCAATGATCCAGCAGAAGGGGTGATTACAGGAGCAAAGTCCCTATTTGGCAAGAGAAGATCCAGCGGTGCAAGTGAAAGGGTTGGCCTTAGACCGTTGCCGGTGGGCCTTAGATGCATTGTAACTGGGAGAAGGTAAAGTGTGTGAGCATAGAGGCAGGTAGGTTGGTAGATTCTGCATGGAAAAAAACTTTTTTTAATTCTCTTCAGTTTGTTTCTGTTTTCTCAGTAAAATTGGAGGCAAAAAACACTTGATGGGAGAGTGCAGGAAGGGAATGTTGGATGTGTGAGACGTAAAATACTCATCTCTGACAGTAGAAACATGAATTGAACAGGCAAATTAGGATAAATCCTCCAATAAAGTAGGATTTAAGGCAAAATGCATGAGATGGAACCTGCTGCTCCTAAGGAATTATCAATTTCATGTGAATGACAGTTTCAGTCACAGTGCAGCTCTACAGGATGAACACGCATGTGCAGAATCACACAGCATTGACGTGTATTAATATACAGACGGTCCCCGATTTAGGATGGCTCAACTCAGGAATTTTAAAACTTTACAATGGGTTTGTCAGGGTATAAAATGGGTTTTTTTACTTAAAATATTTTCAACTCACAGCGGGTTTAGTGGGATATAACTCCATCGTAAGTCGAGGAGCATCTGTATAATGACAGTTGTTAGAAGCATAACGGGAAACTCACAAAAATACCTTGATTGATAGAGAGGGCAAAAATAAATGAGGATATAGAGAAATTAAATAAGATAAACTGATATAATTAGCCATCAAATTTTATATCTTCAAACAAAGGGTACTTTTCTATAGTCTCCAGATTTTCTATAATAAATATATATTACTTTATAGGAATAGACCATGACTATTTTTTTTTTAATTTTTTTTTTTGAGACAGAGTCTCACTTTGTTGCCCAGGCTACAGTGAGTGCCATGCTCACAGCAACCTCAAACTCCTGGGCTCAAGCAATCCTGCTGCCTCAGCCTCCTGAGTAGCTGGGGCGACAGGCATGCTGAGCAATCCTCCCGCCTCAGCCTCCCAGAGTGCTAGGATTACAGGCGTGAGCTACTGCGCCAGGCCGGACCACGACTATTAATAGAAAAAGAAACAAGAATAGGCTGCCTGGAAGTAGGAGCATGAAGTCAGGACATTGGGTTTTGCTTTGTTCCCTATAAAAAGGGGCTTCCATCTGCTTCTCTGGGAGGCAAGGGCAGTGTTTGCAGCTCTGCATCCCACGGAGCAGTTTCAGGGCCAAGCTTAGGAGAAACAGAGTTGTGCTGGCTGTTCCTGAATTTCCTGAATGCCGGTTCTGGTTTTAGGCATTTGGCCTCCTCAAGGGGACCAGAGTTGGCATCCTCATAGATATGTCAGCGATCAGCAATGGCCCCCAGAAAGAGGAGTTCCAAAGTGACCTCATGGTAAGTATTTGGCACAGGGAAGCAATGAAACCACCCCACCACTCCCACCCTCCCCTTCCTGAGCCTGCTAACCTGCAAAACAGGGTGTTTTGTAAAGAACAGTTCACACTTAATTAGCACCTCTGGTTAAAGAAATTTGTGGAGTTCTGAGAAATCCAAACCCAGAGTGATTTTCGGTTGCAGTGTGAACTTCTAGTATTTTCACCATAGCAGTACCTCCCAGCTAGGCACTTTGCCTCAAGAGCCCACGCATCCCTGGAAAGAGGCAATCAGCCGGAAGCTGACTCCAGCACAGCAGAGCAGAAGCAAAGGGCTTCTGGCCTTTGCTGGATGGAGTAGCCGCTCTGGTTTCTTTGGAGTCCAGGTTCCTGTTGGATACTCACCAACTATGGCTCGAGAGCATCGAGCAGACTGGCATCATACCCACTGCTCCCTCCCTGACTCACTTGCCTTGGAGAGAAACCACCACCCCTGACCTCTGTCTTCCCTCCCTGGGTGCCAGAGCTAGGTGCCAAAGACTCAGCTGCAGCACATGCCCAGAAGCTCACCCACATTCAGGAGACCCGGTGGGCGGGAAGCAGCTTGGGGCCAGCCACTGGGCTGAGCCTTAAGCAATCCTATTTCCGCACAGCTCACACCCCAGCCCAGAGAGGCCAGCAAGGCAGGAGAAGTGAAGCCAGGCTCTACGTGCCCCCTGGCTCTGGGAGCCACTGATGTCCTTTTGTCCAACAGAGCCTCATTGATGAGCAGCTAAGCCACAAAGAGAAGCTGTTTGTCCTGTCCTTTGGCACCGCAACCCAGTCCCTCTGGCCAGAACCCGTGGAAGTCAACGCCTCCACGTGAGTGACTACCCAGCCTCAACTAGGATATTTATTTGTTCATTTTCCTCCCTAAGTGTCAGTGTCATAATTGAATGATTAAGGTGCAAACCCAAGACCTCAATAGCTAAGTGAGTACAAAGAGGCAATTCACAAAAGCAGAAGCACAGTAGCCAATAACTTTTGGAAAGATGTTCACCCTCATGAGCAGTCCACAAAATGAAAGACAAGACAACCACAAGACACCATTTGTATCCAGCTAACTAGCAAAGATAGTTGTATTATTGTGAAAATAACACATACATGTTTTTAAAAATCCCAACAGTGTGAAAGGATAAACATTAATAAATGAGTCTCCGTCTTACTCCAGACCACTTCTCATCTCCAGTAACAGTTTCTTGTGTCTGCTTCTACAGACAGTCTTTGCACACACATTCTTCTGTGTGTCTACCTGCTTATTAAACATAAATAGGGGCCGGGCGCGGTGGCTGACGCCTGTAATCCTAGCACTCTGGGAGGCCGATACGGGCGGATTGCTCGAGGTCAGGAGTTCCAAACCAGCCTGAGCAAGAGTGAGACCCCGTCTCTACTCTAAATAGAAAGAAATTAATTGGCCAACTACTATATATAGAAAAAATTAGCCGGGCATGGTGGCGCACGCCTGTAGTACCAGCTAGCTACTGGGGAGGCTGAGGCAGGAGGATCGTTTGAGCCCAGGAGTTTGAGGTTGCTGTGAGCTAGGCTGATGCCACAGCACTCACTCTAGCCCAGGCAACAGAGTGAGACTCTGTCTCAAAAATATATATATATTAAATAAATAAAATAAACATAAACAGGAGCACATAACACTGGTCTGCACCTTGGCATTCCACCTAACCTTGAATATCATTCTCTGGCAGTACATACAGCTCTACCTCATTTGTTTTAATGGCTCATAGTATTCCACAGCATAAACATCCTTTATTTGGGAGTTTTGAGTTTGGGATGTTTTTTGAGGGATGGCAGGGAGGTGCGTAAGAATATCTGCTTCCTTATGCAAGTAAAGTAGAAATTTCTTTTCCACAAAGGCAATATCCTCGATTACCCACCATGTGTTAAGCACCATGCCGGGTACTTTACACATATGATTGTGTTTAATATTTATAGCCACCCCATGGAATAGGATTATTATCCTTGCTTTGCAGATGAAGAAACTCAGGTTCCAGTTAGGGAAGATGCCCAAAGTGGCAGAGCCCAGACTGGATTTCAGATCCCAGGAGAAACCACATGCTTAGCTTCCCGGGAGGGAGGCCCCTTCCCACCACTAGATATAAAAGGGGAACACGTCATGTTTCCTGCCAGAAACCAGAAATCCCTGGTTTCTGGCAGCTTTGGCTTTGAATCCCAGCCCTGACAGTCCCTGGGGGATCTTGACTAGTCCTTTAACTCTCTCATTTGCAGAGCAAAGCCAACCATACCTACTTTTCACAGAGTTGTGAAAAGGAAATGACAAATGAGTAACTGGCACGTGGCAGGTCCTCAGTGAATGAGACATTTTTTACTCCCATTTCCACTCTAGTTAGATCACCAATCTCTGCAAGGTTAGTTAGGCCTGGAAGTCACCTTGACATCACCTAGCCAAAAGTTCTTCAACTTTGGTCATTCCCGAGCTTCCCTGGTCATATCCCTCTGTCACATCCATGCCATGTGTACTATTCTTTACTTTTTGCCACTTGTCCTATTGTCAATTTACTTATCTTTATTTTTAAATTTATTTTTTATTATCAACTCTATTTATGATTGAAGGCAACTTTCTATCAATACCATCACTGAGATGCCCATATCACTTGCCATAATTGAAAGTATCCATGTAAGTAAATACAATGAAAGCAAAACAATTTAAAGACATCAGATTCCAGCCTGAAACCTATTGGCTGGAGAAGGCACAAGGACTGGGACTTGTTCTATTTATTCAAAAGAGATACTTGACAGTTATAATAATGGAAGACAGCCTTCTTATTAAATAGCACCAACCTGAGATTTTCTTTTTGAGAATTTTGATTTTTTTTTTTTTTTTTTTTGAGACAGAGTCTTGCTTTGTTGCCCAGGCTAGAGTGATAGAGTGAGTGCCGTGGCGTCAGCCTAGCTCACAGCAACCTCAAACTCCTGGGCTCAAGCGATCCTCCTGCCTCAGCCTCCCGAGTAGCTGGGACTACAGGCATGCGCCACCATGCCCAGTTAATTTTTTCTATATATATTAGTTGGCCAATTAATTTCTTTCTATTTATAGTAGAGTCGGGGGTCTCACTCTTGCTCAGGCTGGTCTTGAACTCCTGACCTCGAGCAATCCGCCCACCTCAGCCTCCCAGAGTGCTAGGATTACAGGCGTGAGCCACAGCACCCAGCCTGAGAATTTTGATTTTTTGAGGTAGAAAGAGCAGAACTCTTTCGCTAGTGCCATGCAAACTGTTTAAGCAAGAATGTATCAAGTTAAATAATTTTTCCTCTTACCAGCGGTGTGTATCCCAGCCATGTAAGACATGGCCACACAGCTGTGGTGCCTTCTCTCAGAGCCCTCTTGGGCTTGGGGGATGAACTCCAGGCCTCATGCTCAGTTGGGTGTGACCGGGTGGGGAAGGGGGAACTGAGCTCCAGACCCTCATACAGCAATTGCTTAATTCTGAGCCTCAGTTTCCTCATCTACAAAATGGGAATAAAGATACCAACTACCTCAACGAGTTGTTAGAATTAAATGAGCTAATATCTGGCCTGGGCCTGGCACCCAACTAGAGTATATAATTAAGTCACCGTTGTCATCTCCCTCCAGCCTCCAGGAACTCAAGCTCTGGGTAAAGACACTGCAACCTGATGGAGGCAGCAATTTGTTGCAAGCCCTGAAGAAATTCTTCACCCTAAAGGGGCTGAATTCCCTGGTGGCCATAATGGGGCGCTGGTAGGTCTCCTTTCCTAAGCGGGTAAAAGACTACATGCAGGGGGTTGAAGAACCCAACCACTGTTCAAGAAAAGATCGTGGAGCATGACTCTTCACACTTGCTTGAGAGAAGGGTGTTGTTCACAGGCCACCCACCTGCAAGTGGGGCAGGGCAGCCAGGCCCTGTGTCCCCCCCCCCAGCCCTACATCCCACACAGGTGACCAGGGTCACAGGTGGTCAGTTAAGAATGCATAGGTGTTCCCTGGGAGCTACCGTTTTGCTCTGGAATGTTCTCAGAGTGGTTTGACTTAGGGTGCCCACTTCTCTTCTCCTGTCTCCTCCCCAGCCCAGATCAGCCTTGTGAAATCCTATCTGACTACATCCAGCAGTCCAGCATGGGAAGGGACCTCGTCACCCACATCATCACCTACAAATGTGGTGATCAGGTGCCTCCTGTAAGTACCCGAGATTCTCCAAGATTTCCCTTGGATTTGCCAGCAGCCCACTGGGCGGGCCTGTGAGGCTCCCTGCCTGGACAGGGCCCAGGCTGTGGACCAGAACACACCTCCCCTTGGGCCTAGTTCTTCCTTTGGTAAAATGGGAGTTGAGAGGTTCAGTCCAGGGGAAAGCTTGTTAGGTCGTCAGCGTTGTCTTGGGAGGGCTGACCCTGTCACCATGCCCACAGGCTGTCCTGAAGAACCTTGCAGAAGCTGTTGGGGGCTACTACCACTGCTACAGCCCGGGGACAGAGGTAAGCCCCTCTGCCAGCACTGACCCTCCTCCTTTCTCTCCCTGCCTGTCTCCGGGCTGTGCCAGGACATCTGGGCCAGGGCCTTACGGTGTGCATGTTTCTCTCTTCCCTCTGCCCTGCAAACGACCCATATTCAATGGTTTTATGCAGGTAAAATCAGGTTAAAATGAATATATGGGAGGAGCAGGGACAACCTGAAGCCACAAGAGACCCCTTGGTCAGTGTGTCCGACGAGTTGATTGCATGCCTTGGAGCCTAGAGGCCTTTGAAAGCCTGGCCGGCAGAATCCTCAATCACTGTCCTGTTGCCATTAATGTAGGTCTCAGCCTACCTGTGTCCCCACCAAAGCCCTGAGTCTGAAACAACTGCCTCAATTTCTCTCCTGTATAGACCACTCCTACTGCAAGGGACCCATAACAGGGCAGAATGAGCAATCGATCCTGTGTCATTCCATTCATTAGTGTCCTCGTCCCAGTTAATAACTACATCCCATGCACACAGTGGAGGCAGCAATGAGCAAACATGGGTGCAGATCCATTTGGCAGGTCAAGAATCCAACCATCTGCTCAGCTAACAGGCTGTGCCTTGCCTATCATTAATAACCACGCGTAGGTGAGTGTTTGCATCCCATAAGTGTGTTCAGGCATCACAAATCTAGCATTTCACCACAGTGAACCAAGGTCAGGCAGCACCCCATGTGGACACCTGTCATTGCCCAGACTCTGTTTTTAGGTGATGCAGACCCCAGAGGCTGGGAAGGCAAATGAATGAAACTGGCTGGTATGAGAAATATTTTATCTTCAAACCTGTGGCCCTCTTGGCTTATCTATTGCTTTCCTGTTCTGAGTGGAGAGACACTCTTCTTTAATATGAGCAAAACAAACAGGGCAAGGATGGCAAACATTACAACTGATTTTCTGATGTGGAGCTACAGAGAGTGGCAACAGGGACTGTGGCAAACTAGGTCACATACGCCTGTCTAAAGAGGCAGCCTCTTCCCGTGGTTGCTCAGCCCTGGCCCATGGTTGCTCTGTAGGAATGTGACGTCAAGATGCCAGATCTTCTGATGTTTCAAGAATAGCCAGCTATCTGGATAATTTGTGTGTGTGTGATTTATTTGCATTAAAAAAATTGACATAACATAAAATTAACCTCTTCAAAGTGAACAATGCAGTAGTGTTTTAGTGTTTTAGTACATTCACAAAGTTGTACAATCACTGCCTCTATTTAGTTCTAAAACATTTCTGTCACCCCAAAACGAAGCCCTGTGCCCATTAAGCAGTCACTCCCCATTTCCCCTTCCCCAGCCCCTGGTAATCACCAATCCGCTTTCTGTTTCTATGGATTTAACTATTCTGGACATTTCATGTTAATGGAATCATGCACCTTGTGTGTCTCTCTTCTTTCAGTTAGCACGATGTTTTCAAAGTTCATCTACGTTGTGGCATGTATTGGAACATCATTCCTTTTTTTTTTTTTTTTTTTTTGAGACAGAGTCTCACTCTGTTGCCCTGGCTAGAGTGCCGTGGCATCAACCTAGCTCACGGCAACCTCAGACTCCTAGGCTTAAGCGATCCTGCTGCCTCAGCCTCCCTAGTAGCTGGGACTACAGGCATGCGCCACCATGCCCGGCTAATTTTTTCTATATATATTAGTTGGCCAATGAGTTTCTTTCTATTTATAGTAGAGATGGGGTCTTGCTCTTGCTCAGGCTGGTTTCGAACTCCTGACCTCGAGCAATCTGCCCGCCTCAGCCTCCCAGAGTACTAGGATTACAGGCGTGAGCCACCACGCCCGGCCTCGTCATTCCTTTTTATGATAGAATAATAATATTCTAGCATCTGGTTATACCACATCTTGTTTATTCAACTATTGATGGACATTTGGGTTGTTTCCACCTCTGGCTGTCGTGAATAATGCTGCTATGAACATGTGTGTGAGAGCATCTAAGTCCCTGTTTTCAGGGACTTTGGGCATATAACTAAAGTGGAATGGCTGGATCAGATGATAATTCTATGTTTCATTTTTCGAGGAAGCTCCAAGTTCAGTTTGTTTCTGCAGCAGCTACACCACTTCACGTCCCCACCAGCACCGTACAAGGGTTCCGATTTCCCACATCCTCGCCGACACTTGTTGTTTTTCATCTTTTTAAATTATTGTTATACTTACCTGGCAGGGGAGATACCATGATCATAAAATTATCATTATTAGTAGTGTAGTCATCCTAGTGGGTGTAAAGTATTTCTTTACATTTGTAATGTTAAAAAACCCCTCAATTGTTTAAAAGCTCTGCAGGCTGGTACCGTGCAAAGGAACCAAGTGCATTTGCAGGTTCCACCTGGCACACGGAGCCTAGGTGTTAACATCTGCTTTAAACAGTCTGCCATTCAGCTTCGGGCATTCACCTGGCTGCCTGCCCTTTCCTGCCCGGCGGCTGCTGGCAGCCAGGTGAGTTTGGCTGATTGCTCCCACCGCCCTCAGCTCTACGCCAGCCGGGAGGTGGACGAGCTCCTGGCAGAAACCCAGAGGGCCCAGAGCGTCCTCAGCCAAGTGCAAGCCCTGCACCGCAGCAGCTCCAGCAACCCCTGCGAGGAGCTCTCCTGCATGATGGGAGAGGTAGGTAGTGAGCGTCCATTCTGGGACCTTCCCCCAGAGGCACTCGGCCGCCTCCTCCCTCCATTCCCCTTCCTCACCTGTCTCTGGGAGGCACAGCTGCCAACGTCCTCACTTCCTGAAAGGAAAACAAGGCAACGCCCAACCTCTGCCATACTCCATGGCTCTGGGTAGGCTGGGCTAGGCGGGCCTACCACGGTGCCACAAGGATCCTGGTAGATTTTCCAGCTGAAATTTTTTCTTTCTTTCTTTCTTTCTTTCTTTCTTTCTTTCTTTCTTTCTTTCTTTCTTTCTTTCTTTCTTTCTTTCTTTCTTTCTTTCTTTCTTCCTCCCTTCCTCCCTTCCTCCCTTCCTCCCTTCCTCCCTTCCTCCCTTCCTCCCTTCCCTTCCCTTCCCTTCTTTTCTTTTCTTTTTTTTGTTTGAGGCAGAGTCTCACTTTGTTGCCCAGGCTAGAGTAAGTGCCATGGCGTCAGCCTAGCTCACAGCAACCTCAAACTCCTGGGCTCAAGCAATCCTCCTGCCTCACCCTCCCAAGTAGCTGGGACTACAGGCATGCGCCATCATGCCCAGCTAATTTTTTTCTATATATACTAGTTGGCCAATTAATTTCTTTCTATTTATAGTAGTGATGGGGTCTCACTCTTGCTCAGGCTGGTTTGGAACTCCTGACCTCAAGCAATCTGCCCACCTCGGCCTCCCAGAGTGCTAGGATTACAGGCGTGAGCCACTGCGCCCAGCCCCAGCTGAAAAATTTATTTCAGAGAAAGACCCGTGGGCTCCTGCCACACCCTCCATCCATCCTGCCACTCACTGTCCTTTTTCTCCCCGCCACCCCACCCCCACCCCACCCCCTGGCGCCTTGCAGAATGATGAAAACTTCAGCCTGTCTTGAAGAGAGTCATTCCCACTCTAAGCACCTCATGTAGGGCAAACATTCCTATATATTTTTTATTTTTTTGAGACAGAGTCTCACACTGTCACCCAGGCTGGAGTGCAGTAGCGTGATCATAGCTCACTGCAATCTCCAACTCCGGGCTTCAAGGGTCATCCTGCCTCAGCTTCCTGAGTAGATGGAACTACAGGTACATGCCACCATGCCCAGCTAATTTTTAAATCTTTTGTAGAGATAGGGTCTTGCTATGTTGCCCTGGCTGGTCTCAAACTCCTGGGCTCAAGCGGATCCTCCTGTCTCAACCTCCCAAAGTGCTGGGGTTACTGGTGTGAGCCACTGCACCTGGCTGACTTGGTTCATTTAACATCAGCAGAATAACTCAGGCAGCGTACGAGTACAAGTCCATAAAAGCTAAGTGCTGTGTGCACCACACAGAAAACTTTGCTGTGTACAGAAGAGACATGAGAATGTCCTTATAGCTTCATTGAATGAAGGTGTGGATCTGAGGTACCAGGCACTGGGACCAATGGTAGTGAAAGAGAAACAGCGCTGAGAGTCTGAGACCTTAAATTTTAATCCCAACTATTCTACAGATTATCTACAAATAATAACAACTATTAGTATTATAGTTCTCATTTACTGAGTCTTCATTATAAGGTAGGCACAATGTTTAATTCTTTAAATCCCTTTATTTTATCTTCACTACAGTCTGAGCTAAGTATACTATTACTTTTTACAAATTAGAAAACTAAAGTTAAGTGGTTATATAACTTGCCCAAAATTACAGAGATAGAAATAAATTGAATTTGGATTGAACCCAGGTCTCTCTCATGCCAAAACCTTACCAGGAGTTTCCCAAAATGAAGTGATTGTACTACTCGTGGTTTGCCAGATGGCTTTAGCTGGGACGTAGATTAATATATATATTTTTTAATGTTATCTATTTAAAACTAGCTCATTATGTTGTAATAGAGCTTTCTAAAATTATTTGAGTGTGAAAGGGAGTGAATTCTAAAAATTAAATACAACTGGGCTGGCATGGTGGCTCATGCCTGTAATCCCAGCACTTTGGGAAGTTGAGGTGGGAGGATCATTTGAGATCAGGAGTTCAAGACCAGCCTGGGCAACATAGGAAGAGCCCCATCTCTACCAAAAAAAAAAAAAAAAATAGCAGAGCATGGTGGTGCAAGCCTGTAGTCCCAGCTACTTGGGAGGTGGGAGTGAGAGGATAACCTGAATACAGAAGTTCAAGGTGGCAGTGAGCTGTGATCCTGCCACTGCACTCCAGCCTGGGCAACAGAGTGAGACCCAGTCGCTAACAAAAGCATTACATTCATAACTAAAAAGCTTTAATGTTACATGTTTGTTTTTTTAAAAATATTAATAATACATTGGTCCTCAGATACAGCAAAATCTATGAAGGTGGTGCTCAGATGTCTGAAATTTGGGAATTGCTGTTCTGTGTTTTGCTTATACGCTAGCGGTGTCATTTAACCTCTCAGAACTGTAGCTTTTCACTTTGTAAATGTGGGCGAGGGGCAGCTGGGCCAGATGAGGGCTCCCCAAATGAGTTGGTGTAGAAGTTGCCTTACAGTTCCCCAAAGCCTTGTATTTTGAGCCCACGGAGGGGCGACCTGTCATCTTGGAGTCTGTGGTGCTGGTCTTAGCGGATAAGGAAGGGACAGGGAGGACCGGCAAGTGCAAGAAGCAAGGGTGCGTCTCCCTCTTCCCCTGGAGACACTAGAAATCTCCAGGGAAGGGGATGGAGCCGAAGGGAGAGAGAGAGGCAGAACTGCCTTTAACCTACCAGGTAATGTTGTAAGACGTTCCACTTGGGGAGACTGGGTGGGTAGCAGAGACTTCCCAGCTCTCAAGTACCATTATGTAATGAGGCTTTTCTAACTTCATTTAGATTTCCACAGAGATTGCAAAAGGGCCACTCACAGGTCTCTTGCCTAAACCCCCGAAGCACGAAGCTCCTCTCACAATCGAGTTCCCAAACTTGGACACAACTTCAGCAGAATGGCTAAAGGTCAATGGTCTGAAAGGTAAATCCCCAGGGCAGGCAGGATCTGGGACATAGGTGACTGACTAAAAGGCTGAACCCCCCTGGGGCTCCTCGGGGACTGCCTCAAACCCCAACCCCACTATTTATTTTTTCAGCCAAGAAATTAAGCCTTTATCAGGTCCTGGCACCCAATGCATTCTCTCCCGTGGAGGAATTTGTGCCCATTCTCCAGAAAACCGTGTCATCCTCTATCCATGAGGTAATTCACATTCAGTTCAGCGTTCTCACCAGTCCCCAGCAGGGGAGCTCCTCTGTGGCTTTCACCATTGTCCTACATGTTCTGGCAGCAAGAGTCACAAGTGTCCGTGAAGGCCTATCTGGGTTCCCAGGGCTGGAGGAGGGTGGGCCAGAGGGCTGGGAGTGGGCTGCGGACTTTCTACCCAGGACTCTAGAACGCTCATCAAATAAATCTACCGTAACTGCTCTTCTCCAAGATCTGAAAATGAAACTTGGGAGATGGAGCAAGAGGGAGAAAATTGGGTGCCATAGTCACCTCCCCAACTCAGATGGGACAAGACAGACAGTCTCTTTATGTCCGTACCTTATCCAGGCTTCTACCTTTGCTCCCATAAAGTGTTAATGTATTTGTTACATGTCTAAATTCCCAACACATATGGAGTAGGAAGAGAAAATACTCCCTTCTTTGACCCTCTCTCCCCAATATTGAGTACAAGTCAACAGTCAGCGAAGGTTTGCTGGGTGGCTGAGCAGGTGGGCAATTGGAAGGAAGGGTGGAGAGAAGGATGAAGAGAATGATAGGCAGGTATATCGATGGAAACGTTGATGGATGGATGGATGGAAATGTGGACAGATAGATGGGTGGATGGATGGTTGGATGGACAGATGAGTGGATGGATGGTTGGATGAAGGGAGGCAGAGAGGGATGGATGGATGGATAGAAACAAATGTAAGCAGACAGAAGGATGGGAGGGAGAAATGCAAGGATGGATGACAGAATGGAATAAAGGAAATGAAAAGATGACAGTAAAAATTAAGGATGGAAGGATGGAGGAGTGAAAGGGTAGAGAAACGGGAGGAAGAAATAAGAGGTGACAGAGAGTGGGAAAATGGAAGACTGACAGGAAGGAGAGAGGAGTGAGGGGTGTGTAGTTCAGGAAATGGGTGGATGGATGACAAGGCGGACGGAGTGACAGAGAGATGGATGTGATGACTTGGTGGAGGGCGAAAGAACAGGATGAACAAATTGGATTTTCAAAGCGTCTGTGAAGGCCCATCTGGGTTCCCAAGCCTCAAACAGTATGTGCTAAGGTCTCCGCCTCTGCTCTCCATTGCCAAAGACTCTGGCCATGTCTCAGTGACTCTGACGTTCAGAAGAGCCTCCAGGGAAGGCGGGCTGGCCTGCTGTCCCGCACGGCCCAGGCAGGGGCCACACTCCTGAAAGGCCTCTGCTGCCAGCTCCAGACAAGGCTGTGACCTGGCTGCGTGGTGGTGGTCGTGGAGGGTGTGTGTGTGTGTGTGTGTGTGTGTGTGTGTGTGTGTGTGGTCGAGAGTGGGAGCAAATAATCTGACCTGGGCTATGTTCAGAGCCCGTTTTCCTCTTGTGCATCTGATTTGGAGACTTCGGTGTCCAAACTAAACTCCCCCACACATGCTTTTGTTCACCCTTGCTGAGCGCAGAAAGCAATGGTGCAATTTGAATGGCATGACGGGACGGTGAAGAACATTCACGTGGACCTGCCCTTCCTCTACGAGTACCAGGTCAGTGGTGGGTCCGATCGGTCAGAACATGGGCGTAGGAAAGGGGGACGGGAGGAAAGTGCCATGGGCTGTGGAGACAGCAGGCCATTGACCAGACTCCCTCTGGTAAAGAGAGTCTGTGTGCACCACCTACAGACGCCTCTGGAGTCTTCTCCACCCACTTCCCCAGGCAGGGACCCAGAGGCCTCCAACGAAACAGTTTCTGATCCTCTGGAGCAAGATCTACCTCTTCTTCATTTGATGCAATGAAATACTTTGACTCCCGTTCCTGGTCTTGGCAGATTTGTCCATGATTTAGTAGACCGGTCACACTGCCTGGATAGCCAGAGGCTTGACACTCCCTTCCCAGAAGCCATCTGGAATGTACCCACCTCCCCCAGATCCTTCATGCCCATCTGCTGAACCTCGCCGTGGCCCCTGCCTTTGCAGAAACAGCTCAGCAGGGCCATGCGGACATACGAGAGGCGGATCGAGTGGCTCTCTCTGGCCAGCCGGAGAATCTGGGGCACTGTCTGTGAAAAAAGGTACCTTTCCCCGGGCAGCACTCTTGTCATTCATGGGTCTGGTGTGAGGACACAGCATTTATCCAATTCCTGAGTCCCCTGTTGGTAGCACCAGAAGCCATCACTTAGATTAGGGATCCGAAATCTTTCAGTGGAACCCCCAGAGGAAGAAAAAGTCACCACCACCATCATGAACGTCAATAACATGATCATTGTATCACTTAGGATGCTTACAGTTAAAAAGCAGCAGGAACTAAATGCAAACTGGCTTAAACAAGACAAAGAAGTCTGATTAAGGTTACTGAAAATTCTAGAATAGATTTGATTCTGTCTTCAGGCATGGCTAGATTCAGAAGTTTATTCATGTCGGGGGCAAGATGCCCACCTGAAGTTCCAAAACTTAACATTCTACCAGCTTAGCACCCCTAGGGCTGTGGGCACCAGCCCATGCACGAGCCATTCATTCTGGCCCGGGGAGGGAGGTGTGATGTTCTGATTGTCCAGGGTCAGATGCCCACCCTGGAAGCTCAGAGTGGGGTCAGCTTCACCCAACACAAATGCACTGATGGAGGGAGAGTGTTTCCCAAAGGAAAATCAGGATATGGTTGCCAGAGGAGGTAATGGACGTTGAATAGGGAAAAACAATAAGCCATTACTATCATTCTGTACCTTATCTGATGTATCACCATGTACAAAATATCATACTTTGTAATATTATCCATCTATGATACAATTTAACTCTCAGAGCAACCCTATGAGGAGTCTTATTATAAATAGTTTATAGTTAAATACATCACAGGTCAGAGAGGTTTTGTGACTTGCCTAAGGCCACACAGCTGTAGGAAGTAGAATTTGAACCAAGGTCCTCTGACTCTAAATCTAGTGTATTTTCTTCTGTTATCCTTAGCTGTCTCAAAAGAAGAATGGGAGGAGGTGGTGGGAATATAAGATTTGAAGTAGTAAAAGAGGGAGATCAAATGGGGCTGGGGATCTTAAAACAGAGAGCAAACAAAGAAATAAAAACATTTCCCATGCGGCCCACACATACTTAGTTCCTTATCTTACGTGTTCATCTGGTTTCTATCTTCCCTGCAAAGATCTCAACCTATAAAAATATTGAATGCTAGTTCTTTAAAATAAAGAATTGATGCAAATCATTATATGAAGCTCCCACCACTTAAATCACCTCCACCACGAGACTTTATTCCATTGTAGAACCTCCTGGGAGAGAAGGTTCCATGACGCCCTTAGTCTACTCTTGTAAACCCACCTCTGTTGCCTTCAAACAACAGAGAAGATTTTGGACAGCTATGATGTTGGCATGCAAAATTCCCCTGGAAAAAACTTTAAATAGTAAAATGGAACAAAATAAACATTATCTGAGAGATTCGGTTCTCCCCGTAAAGCTTGTGTTTCCTCGTAGGGTGGTTATACTGCTCGATATCTCCGTGACCAATTCCATGTACATTATTCATATCCAACACTCCCTGCGACTGCTGCTGGAGGAGCAGTTGTCCAACAAGGACTGCTTCAACCTCATCGCGTATGTTCTTCAGGGTCTGCGGCCTCGGGGGTGGGTCTCGTGTGTTGGGATGCCATCACTGGGCTGAGACTTCAGGACACACCTGGACAGCAGATACTGAAGTTACAAGCACCCGGCATCCTAGGACCGCCATCGGTTTATCTGATTTGGGTGATCTTGCTTGGGGCACTGAATAATTAAATGGTTGCAGGACTGTCCCACTGGGCCGAAGGTGATAAGTGGCCCCAAAAAACAGGGCTCGATCACTCAGGATAAAGTAACTCAGCCCATTGCCCCATTTGGCTTTCAAGCTGGTGAACGTAAAAGAGAAAAGGAAGGTCCCCAGCCATGCCCGCATCTCAGTCCTCAGCCCGGTTCTAGCAAGCCACGCCACTTCAAACGTATGGATTCCAAGTTTAAATACAAATCTTATGTATATAAGTTTACGTTTATATATTTATAAAAGGTATGCAATTTTTAAAAACTAGTTTTAAAATTATATATTACATATAATTATATATATTTTCCCTTCGTTCCTCCCTTTGTTGAAACAGGGTCTCACTCTGTTGCCCAGGCTACAGTGCGGTGGGTGTGATCACAGCTCACTCACTGCAACCTCAAATTCCTGGGCTCAAGCGATCCTCCTGCCTCAGCCTCCCATGTGGCTGGGACTACAGGCAGGCACCATCATGCCTGGAAGATTTTTCTATTTTTTGTAAAGATGGAGTCTCACTCTTGCTCAGGCTGGTCTCAAACTCCTGACCTCAAGTGATCCTCCTGCCTCAGCCTCCCAAACTGCTACGATTACAGGCATGAGCCACCACTCCTGGCCTACAGTTTTTAAAATTGTATACCATTTTAACTAATTAGGGAAGACACTTGAAGTATACATTTTTACACAACCTTACAACAAATAGACCATGTTCGAAACTTGTTATGTCAGCAGTTAATTTTAGATATTACTCTATAACAAAGCCTAATCTTTCCCTAATAAATTCTACAAAAAAATGCTTAGAGAAACATTTAGAGAGTATTTCAATTCATTTATCCATTCAACATTTTGTTTATTTATTTGTTTTTTTAAGAGACAGGGTCGTTGCGGTCGGTGCGGTGGCTCACGCCTGTAATCCTAGCACTCTTGGAAGCCAAGGCCGGTGGATCACTCAAGGTCAGGAGTTCAAAACCAGCCTGAGCAAGAGTGAGACCCCGTCTCTACTATAAATAGAAAGAAATTAATTGGCCAACTAAAAATACATATGTAAAAAAATTAGCTGGCCATGGCGGTACACGCCTGTAGTCCCAGCTACTGGGGAGGCCGAGACAGAAGGATTGCTTGAGGCCAGGAGTTTGAGGTTGCTGTGAGCTAGGCTGACACCATGGCACTCTAGCCCGGGCAACAGAGTGTGAGAGTCTGTCTCAAAAAAAAAAAAAGAGAGACAGGGTTTCCTAGGCTGGAGTGCAGTGGCGCAATCATATATAGCTCACTGCAATCTCCAACTCCTGGCCTCAAGCAATCCACCTGCCTCGGCTCCCAAAGTGCTAGGATTACAGGCATGTGCCACCGTGCCTGGCTTTGGCAAAGTAGGGCCAGGAAATCTTCACAGAGGACATGCCCCTTTAGCTGAGTCTTGCCAGAGAGTAGGTGTTTGCCCAGCACATGGGAATGATGGGTTCGTGGGGAGGAAGGGTGTCCTGGTTGAGCCCCCATCCCCACCCCCACCCCCAGGGTGCAGCTTGACTGCAGAGAGCCAGGGAGGTGAGGAAGTGCTGGCAACACTGTTTTTCCAGGGAGCTCATCATAAAGGGAAAAGAGGAAGGAGAGAGAAGTTGCTGGAAGAATAGCTCCCCAGTGGAAGGAGGGAGTTATTTTTAAGCATGAAGAGGCTTAAACATGTATGGAGACAGGCAAAGGGTAGGGGGGAGTGCAGGGCAGTTAGGGGTGTGCGTATGTGAGGGGCAACCGTGGGCAGTCTCAGAAAAGACTGGCAACGGCGAGGTCCGGAGCTCCGGTGGCGGAATTGATCCTGAACTACAGACAGGATACCTTTTCCTTGACAAAGGGGACAAATTCTCTTCTCAGGGGTCTTAAATTCTGTCTTAGAGGGCAAATGAGATTATGTATATTTTTAAAAAAGGAATTATAGTATGAGAGGAGAGGGGAGATGTGCGGGGGTGGCAGGGAGACACAGGCTGCAGGAAGGAAGCTGACCCCAGCCGGTCCTCGCACTGTGTCTCGTGCTGAGACGTGTCACGACCAGCAAGGAAGTTTCGTGGCTGGCCCAGGCCAGTGACATCCAACGTTTTGGGAGTGTCACCAGAACTTTGTCCCCGCTAAAAGCCTGTGGAGCCCACAGCGGGGGCCACGGCGCGGACGTGATCCTGCCTAAGAACAAGCCCTCTTTGCTTCTTCAAAGGTTTGGAAGCGCAATCGAGAGCTGGAGGCCTGAGATGGTTCCCATGAGCCACAACAATTTACAGAGCGCCTGGCGGTAGGTGTCAGGCGGAGTCCGTGCTGCCGTCTCCCAAGCGCCTGGTGGGTGTCGTGTTCTCTGTCCCCCTCTCCACCAGGAAGCAGCTCTCTAGTGTCCCTGTCCTCAGACATCAGAAAACAACCGCCTTCTGCTCCCTGCTCCCCCCAGGGCCCGAGGGGGCCTCCTTCAGCGCCGCTGTCCCTGCCTCCCCAGGTGGGCCCTGAACCTGCAGTGTGGGGGCAGCAGGAACGTCCTGGGTGCCCTGCGGAAGGCTGTGGAAGTGGACTTCAAGGACAAGGACAAGCACCAATCACAGGGCATCTACCTCTTCACGGGGGGCATCCCCGACCAGGACATGGTGGGTCGACTGCGTCCTAGGGGTCTGTCATCCTCTGCGACCCCATCCATCCTCCCCTGGCGGGTGCCTCACAACCATTGCTCCAGCTCGATTTTGGAAACCAGCGCTTCCCAAGCTTTAGCGTGCAGACCACCACCCAGGGATGCTGCTAAACTGTAGGCCCGGTGTAGTAGGCCTGGGTGGGGCCTGGGGGTCTGCATTTCTAACAGGCTCCCGGGGGTGTCCATGCTGCCGGTAACCAGGTTCTCAAGTCCAACTCCCTGGCAATACCCTACGAAGATGTTTCTATCTTCAGTGCCAAGTACTAGACCAGGCACACGGTAGGCCTGCGGGAAAGATTACTGGGCTGGACAGACCAGAGCCCAGAAGCTTCAAGGCCCTCAGCCTCAGGCCTCTCCACCTTCTCTCCCCTGACAGCCCATGCTCAGCTCCTACATGGCCGAGGCCTGTGGGGGCTGCGACCTCCAGCTGAACGTGTGTCTCTACTACGTGGGCGAGCCGCAGATGGACACCACGCCCCCTGCCTGCTATGCCAGCCGCAATGACACGGCCACTGCCTACAGGGAGGTCGCCCACGCTGCTGGCGGCCGCTTCCACTGGTTTGGAGAAACAGGTGTGTGAGTATTATGTGGTCCCTTCATCTCTTCCTTTCCAGACAGGTGTCCCAGCGCCAAGAGAGCTCCTTTATACCACTGATGTATTCCAGAAAAGCGTTGCATGAAAATTACATTTTAAAAATTTGGCCGGGCGCGGTGGCTCACGCCTGTAATCCTAGCACTCTGGGAGGCCGAGGCAGGCGATTGCTTGAGGTCAGGAGTTCGAAACCAGCCTGAGCAAGAGCGAGACCCCGTCTCTACTATAAATAGAAAGAAATTAATTGGCCAACTAATACATATAGAAAAGATTAGCCGGGCATGGTGGCGCATGCCTGTAGTCCCAGCTACTCGGGAGGCTGAGGCAGCAGGATCGCTTGAGCCCAGGAGTTTGAGGTTGCTGTGAGCTAGGCTGACGCCCTGGCACTCACTCTAGCCTGGGCAACAAAGTGAGACTCCATCTCAAAATAAAAATAAAAATAAAATGAAAAACTACTGTCCTAGATAGGGACAGTCACAGTGGCTGCACGACAGTGTGAATGGACTTAACGCCACTGAACTGCACACTTAAAAATGATTAAAATGGCAAGTTTTTAAAAATTTCTTTCTAATCTCATCCTTTGGATGAGAAAAATGATAAATTTTGTTATGTACGTTTTTTAACCACAATTTTTTTTTAAAGTTAACACAAAAAAAGTAAAACTTTGAAAGTATTTTAGGGTCAGGTATGGTGGCTCACACCCATAGTCCTAGCACTTTGGGAGGCCAGAGCAGGAGGATTGCTTGAGGTCAGGAGTTGGAGACCAGCCTGAGCAACAGACCCCTTCTCTACTAAAAATAGAAAGATTAGCCTGGTGTGGCTGCATGCACCTGTAGTCCCAGCTACTTGAGAGGCCTCCTACAGGAGGATTGCTTGAGCCCAGGAGTTTGAGGTTGCTGTGAGCTATGACGACACCACTGCACTCTAGCCAAGACAGAGCATGACCCTGTCTCAAAACAAACAAACAAACAAACAAACAAAAAAAAAAAACAAGTATTTTAGAATGTCAGAGCTGGAAGTGCCCTACAAATTCCGTAATGTTTCCCAATGCATAGTATTTTCACAACAGATGGTGGCGAGACAGCTGTAAATGTCGCATGAAGCAATCGTTTCTTATTGTGATAGTTGTATCCTTGTTTTAACATTCTTAGAAAAATACTTCCCTTCCCATTGTCAACAGTGACATCAATCTTCTGTTTTAAATATACAATCATGTAGCGCATAATGGTGTTTCAGTCAATGATGAACTGAATACATAGCTTAAGATTATCATAGTATATTTTTACTGTGCCTTTTCTATGATCTGCTTCGATGCACAAATATTTGCCACTGTGTTACAATCACCTACAGTGCTCAGCACAGGAACATGCTGTGCCGGTTTGTAGCCCGGGAACAATAGGCTGTTCCACGTGGGGTAGGTGTGTGGTGGGTTACTCCATCTAGGTTTGTGCAAGTGCACTCGGTGATCTCGAAATTGGTAAGGATGCATCTCTCAGACCGTGTCCCCATCATCGAGCAGTGCATGACTGTACTTTTAAGTGAACCAAAAGCAAATGGATTAAAATACACATTTGAAGTAAATCATGGTTTAAGTGGGATGCAGACAAGACAAAACCATGACAGCGATAAGGGAATGATTGAGGCTACAACGCAGTAGTGCATTCCAACCTCTTTGATTCAGAAGTGAAATAACTCCCAGGATGCACTTGCTGCGCCTGTGGTTACAAAATCAGCAGTTGAACTCTGGGGCCCTGTCTCCCAGCTCTTTCTTTCCTGAAAAATTCTGGGTAACATTTAAGTTTCTATTGGTAATTATCACTTACCCAACAGCTGTTATATGCCAGACACAGTTCTAAGCATTTTACAGATACAGGTTGAGTATTCCTTATCCTAAATGCTTGGGACCAGAAGTGTTTTAGATTTCAGATTTTTTTCAGATTTTGGAATATTTATAGGTTGAACATCCCAAATCTGAAAATCCAAAATCTGAAATGCTCCAATGAGCATTTCCTTTGAGCCTCGTGTTGGTGCTCAGTGACTTTCAGATTTGGTAGCATTTTGGATTTTAGATTTTTGGGTTCAGTATGCCAACCTGTATTACGATTTGTTCCTCACAATAACCCTATGAAGTAGGTGATGATTATCCCATTTCACACATGGAAAAGCTGAGACACAGAACCCAAGAGCACACAGTTAGTTAAGTGGTGGAGCCAGGAGTTGAACCCAGGCAGCCCAGCCCCAGAGTCTGTCTTTGTAGCCATTGTACTCTAGTCACCCTCAAACGAGACATCAGTGTTCACTACAGACGTTACATACTATGACACTTCCAGGGTAGGTCCTTTTCTTCATTGGAGCCTCAGGACTTTTGCACCTAACCTCCTTTTCTTGTCCCTGGGTCACAGGGCCAGCCCCACTGTTTGGTGACCACACCACACCTGCCCATCCTCTTCACCGCTGGACAGTGTGGGGTGAGGGCTGGTCAGCTCAGCCCGTTAAGGCCCCACCCTGTTCCTCAGACTCCAGTCGCCTCCACAGGTGCATCCAGGTGCGGACACTCGCAGGATCGGCCCCTGTCCCCACGCTCACAGTGTGCTTTGTTTCCAGGCATTTATGAGAGCGATGACATCAACTCCATCACGGCCGAGATGGAGAAGGCTCTCAACTACTCCCAAAAGGTACGCCGTGGGCATGGACCAAGCGACTGCATTGGCTTTCTGTATTCATTTTCTGTGGTTGCCATGACAAACTACCACAAACTGGGTGGCTTAAAACAACACACCTTTGTTCTCTCATACTCCCAGGGGCCAGAAGACTGGAGTCAGGGTGTCAGCAGGGCCACACTCCCTCTGAAGGCTCTGGGGAGAATCCTTCCTTGCCTCTTTCTAGCTTCTGGTGGTGACTTTTTTTAAAAAAAAATGGCACTGGATGTTCTTTTAAAATGGCAGGAATGACTTTATTTAAGACTACTGCAATAGGGGAGAGAGATGGAACTCGACTCTGATGAGAACAATGATAGCTGGGGGTCTAGAGCCAATGAGTGGAGTCAGTGGGTGGAAAATAAATTAAGAGGGACTTGATTAGATGTCACAGGCAGGGGACATCTTGATTAGATGTCACAGCCAGCTAAAGGCTGGCTGGGGACTAAGATATTAATATCAAGGTGGGAGATGAGGAATTTGATTGGATATCAAGGGTGGAGGGGATCTCACTAACTGGACTTAGCCGGATTATTGGCTAAAATTGGATTCAGCAGGCCAGTATCTTGTTGAAAAGGAGGCTCAGAGGAACCTGAGTTTGGTCAAGGAGGGAGTCCTTGTCACCAGCAATCCTTGACATTCCTTGGCTTGTGGCAGCATAACTCCAATTCCTGCCTTCGTCTTCACATCATTATCTTCCTTCTTGGCATGTCTGTAGCTCTTCTTCTAAGGACACCCAGATTAAGGGCCCATTTGACTCTAGTATGACCTCATCTTAATTTACATCTTAATTACATCTGCAAAGACCCTGTTTCCAAGTAAGGTCACATTCACAGGTCCTGCATTTTCAGACTTCAGCCTGTCTTTTGAGGGGACACAGCTCATGCCATGTCAGCTTCCCTCTTCATGTCCTAATCCACTGACACCCAAGGCTTCAGGTGAAACATGAGCGTTTCCTACAAGTCACTGGTTTTAGGTCTGGGTGCTGTACATTCTGCCTCCCTTGAGTTCCTTGAACACATCAAGCTCATTCCTAAACTCTGGGCCTTTACATCTGCTGTTTCCTCTGCCTGCCATTCCCCTCCTAGGTCTTCCATGGCTTTCTTTCTTTTTTTTTTTTTTTTTTTTGAGACAGAGTTTCACTTTGTTGCCCAGGCTAGAGTGAGTGCCATGGCGTCAGCCTAGCTCACAGCAACCTCAAACTCCTGGGTTCAAGCGATGCTGCTGCCTCAGCCTCCCGAGTAGCTGGGACTATAGACATGCGCCACCATGCCCGGCTAATTTTTCTATATATATTTGTTGGCCAATTAATTTCTTTCTATTTATAGTAGAGACGGGGTCTTGCTCTTGCTCAGGCTGGTTTCAAACTCCTGACCTTGAGCAATCCGCCTGCCTCGGCCTCCCAGAGTGCTAGGATTACAGGTGTGAGCCACTGTGCTCTGCCTGGTTTTCTCTTCATTGTCCAAGATGCACTAAAATGTCACTTCCTCAAAGAGGGCAGGTGAGCAGTGCAAGGTGCAGGGGCCAGATCACTGTAGGAGCCATGAGCGTGGGAACAAGGGGACAGACATGAGAACACTCAAGGAAGAACACTCCCAAGTTCCTTACTGGGGGACCCTGTAGACAATGGTGCCATTGACCCAGAGAGAGAAAACAGGACGGGGGCCCATGGGGGGTGCAGGTGAAGGTGGACTTGGGACAAAGGTGAGTTTGTGGGGCCTTGAGATCAACAAATGAGGATATCCTATGGCAGGTAGGAAACAGCTATGGCTGAGATAGCAACTTGGGGCAGTTGGAGCCATGCTGGTGGACAGAGAGCATGTAGGGGCCACCATCCAGGCAGGAGAGGTATCTACGAAGGGTTCTCCCCCGACTCGTCATTTGCAGAATGACCCATCTCCCCAGCTGGCTTGTGGACCCCTGGGAGGGCAGGGCCACATCTCCACGTTCTTTTCCTCTGTGGCCATTGGATGGGCAGCTCTGAGGCTCCGCTGGACCTGCCTGAGCTGTCCTGGAACCAGCACCCTTCGGTGCTTTTTAAAGTCCCTTCTCCTCAGGTGCACTATTCCCTCACCTGAACAACTCATTTGCAAGGTGTTAATGGACAGTAAAGGCTCCATCCACCCTTCCTTAGGATGCTTATTTACACTTAAATGGTGTCTTCTAGTGCTTTCACCGAGAGTACTGGAGGAACTTTTGGGCAGCTGAGAAGTTTGTAGGCAAAAGGAACTCAGTATTACGCCACTGCTGTGCCAGTACTTGGAGTCAGCCTGGCATATGGTGAGCTGACCAGCCCCTGTGCAGGCCACAGTGCCTTATAATGGAAGGAGCGCTGGCTTTGGAACTAGCCCACCTGGGTTTGAATCAAAGCTTCTCTACATACTTTTAGCGTCACCTTAAGGACAAGGACCTTAAGCTCACAGAGCTTTGGTTTCCTCCCATCTGTAAAATTAAGGATACAATAGCACCAACCCTGCCAGCAGAGTTGGCGTGTTCTTGTTGGCGTGACATTAACTAGCCCAGTGCCTGGTGCATCCCAGGCCCTCCATGCCTGGGACTTACGGTTAGTGGTACTGATCCACAGCACTGTCACCCCAAGTGGCTTTCTAGGGACAAAAAGAGGAGTCCAGGGGATGCCAGGGGTTCCAGTAGACTGAGACATTCCTTCCAGGTGTGTGTGTGCCTGTCTGTCTGTCCGTCCACGGGGGCCGGGGTGCTGCTAACCCTCCACTCCCGTTGCAGTGTGCCTTACTGGTGGCCTCCCTGAAGAACCACTCAGGAAAAGAAAAGGGAAGTGCAGATCTACAGAAAGAAAAGCCAAAGATGCTCCAGCAGAGAAGTCAGCCCAAGAAACTCTGTTCTCCCAAGTCCACGGCCCACTCAGTGGCCAGAATGGTTTGAGTCCCCTCCCTAATAACACTCAGAGCATTTGGTTTCCACTTTGGCTCCTGGTCTTTCCTGAACTTAAGATGCCCGGGCCAGGCCCCAAGCCCCAGGGCCAGCAGGGTGGGGGTGAGGGCTTCCATGATGACATCCCACAGGTGCCTGTTGCCCTGGCAACTCCCCTGCTGGGACCTGCTTCTCAGCTCCGGGGGCTCCTCTGGACTCCCCTCCCCTACCTTTGGCTCTGCCTGCCTGCCCCAGCCTGATACTGAGGATGCCGTGGAATTGACAGCCACTGTCACATCTGCTGCCTTATGCTGGAGGGTCTGTCAGGGAAAGGGAGTTAGGGTCTCTAACAGGCTCTGTTGCTGCTGCCCAAGGCTTAGCAGGGACCTGACGGGAGGCGGAGGGTGGACCTGTACCTGCTGGGGCTTAGCCCCACCCCCACCCTCTCAAATCTGTCCTGCATGAAATACCCACCCCCCGACCATGGCGGTCAGGGGGCCTCCGGAGGGAAGACCCCAGACACGACTGTGCTTGTGAGCCGAAGGGGCACTGAAACCCATGAGTTCTTCAGCCTTTCACTGGTTGACGGGCCCCTGTGAACACAGCACATTTCCAAAATGAGGAAGTCCGTCCCAGACAGTATGTAGCTTCTTCCCAGCCAAAGGGCTGCATTTGCCAGGGGATTCTGTGCACACAAGCGCTGCCCTCATTCAGAGAACACCAGATTTCAGGAGCCAGCCCTGGCACATCACCCTCTCGTGCCTTCCCAAGTTCTGGGGTGCAACGCTGGAATCTCAGGGCTCCCCTCTTGGGCTGTCAGTGGTTCCTGAGTGATTCACTGTGAGGAGGCTGAGGCTGTACAGGACCTCTTGTGGGCCCTCCCGATACCAGGCTAGGGGCTCCCTGGATGGCAGTTCTAGGTCTCTGTCACAGCAGCTCACCATGGCTGGTACAGTACCCTGGGTGACATTCCAGTTGTGCCCAGTAAGGACAGAACTCCTCCCTTAAAACTGAGGTGCCCAACAGGGAGAGAAGTTACCCACATAATTGCTCAACATGCTGGAGGCCCTGATATCAGGCCAGTAGGAAGAAGGTCAGGCAACCGGTGCGACCAGTGCAGTTGGCAAACCCCCACAGCTGTCCCAGCGTGCTCTCTGTCTCGCATGCCACATGCGCAGGCACAGGCACAAAACCCAGAGTCCCCTCTGAACCCCCTGCAGGAGAGGGGCCAGATGTGCCTGAGGAGTCCCCTCCCTTCGGCTCCTCCCTGCAAAGTTCCTCAGTGACAGATTGAGGCTGGGGTGAGTGGGGCACTGCCCACCACAGAGAACAGGCCTCTGATGGGAAAGAGGGCCTGTTTTCTAGAACGTTAAAGATGACCCTGACAGAGAGAAGAGCCCCTCCTTGAAGGCTCTGAAATGGCGTCCACCCAGTGGCAGAGCAAGCACCTCGCCAGGTAAGGCATGTTCTCGGTCACGAGGGGTGAAAGGGCGGCTTGGGCACAGCTGAGGCATGGATTAATAACTGTAGTGCCGAAAATTATCCATGATCAGGATGAGTCTCGATCACGTGCCAGCCCATCTGTGAGACTGTGTGGTTTAAAGCCTGTGACGATCCTGTGCGTAGTACTCGATCAGCTCCCTTTCACTCCAACTTGGGCTGGGGGGGGGAGGTGCTAAGGATAAGGTGCCCTGGTCGTGATGGGCCCCGTGATATTTACGAAAGCAGTCAGCGAAAGGCCAAGGCAGGACAATCACTTGAGACCAGGAGTTCGAGACCAGCCTGGGCAATATAGTGAGACCCTCCTCTCTACAGAAAATAGAAAATTACCCAGGCATGGCGGCATATGCCTATAGTCCCAGCTGCTTGGGAGGCTGAGGCAGGAGGATAGCTTGAGCCAAGGAGTTTGAGGCTGCAGTGAGCTATGATCATGCCACTACACTCTAGCCTGGGTGATAGAGTAAGACCCTATTTCAAAAATAAAAAGGAAAAAATAGAAAGAACCTAAGACTGTGTATCCTATTTCTAACATCAAAGATATGGCAGAGTGGCTCAGAGCTGAGTCCGGAGTCAGCAAGGGGATAATCACTGTCCTGTTTCTGACCAGCTCTGAGTCCGCCTTCCCACATCTGCAGCCTGGGGGCTGTGGGATGAAATGGGGCAGGATAGGCCAGGACTGAGCACCACACCTGGTGGATATCTGAACTCTGGCTATCACTGATCCGGGAGAGGCCAGAGGACTTCAGATGGGAACAAGAGGAGCGTCAAAGCCATCTTGGAGCCCCACTTCCTGGGGTAGAGTCTAGCTGGAGTTGAGGAGTCTCTAAGTCAGGCTGTATAGCTTATCACATGGACTCACTGGGCTGCTCCAGCCAACAAGCTCAATGTCCTTTAGCTGCAGCCCAGCCAGCGAAAGATGTGACGACAGAACCAAGGAGGAAGACCAAGTCACAGGAAGAAGAGACAGCTCTCTCGCTGTTCTACACAGACACAGGGAATAAAGTGGGTAAGCTGGGGGCTTGCAAGTGTCCAGGCAGCCCCTTCACCCTGTGGGAACTGTTGACGGACAGTGGGCCCTATGGGAAGGAGACCCCTCTCCTACTGTCCCAGGACATGGGCTGCAGTGCCTCTGGAGCCAGGCTGTCTGTTACACTACGCAGTTCTCCCAGCCCAGGGAAATGGACATGGAAAGGCTTGGCACTGGCCAGAGAATGAGGAGAGTTCGTATTGAAGATGAGACCTCTGAGACCCTTGGGAACTCTGGCTGCATCCACTGGAGGCAGTTTCCTTAGCTTGGAGGCAGATTGGGAAGGGAGCAGGGATAGTTCATTCCCAAGGCCAGCCTGATGGACTGCTGCCAGAGGGTGCAGACTCCAGCAGCAGGTCATGCAGGTGGGAGGTCCCTCTCAGCAAATGGCACCTAAGGAATTTTACAGCTGACTTGATTGACAGAGAAATTGACACGAGAAAGGGCGCAGCTGGGGGAGGAGGGGGAAGAGGTGCACAGTGTCTTAGTCTACTTGTGTTGCTGTAAAGGAATACCTGAGGCTGGGTGATTGTAATGAAAAGAGGTTTATTTGGCTCACAATTCTGCTGTCTGGAAGATTGGGCATCTGGTGACAGCCCCAGGCTGCTTCCACTCAGGGGGAAGGCAAAGAGGACCAATGTGGGCAGAGATCACACTGCGAGAGAGGAGGCAAGAGAGAGGGCAGGTGCCAGGCTCTTTTTTAACAACTAGCTGTCCTGGAAACTAATAGAACTCACTCACTCCCCTATCCCACCAGGGAAAGGAGAGCATTAATCTATTCATGAAGGTTCTGCCCCCATGTCCCACCCAAACACCTCCCACTAGGCCCCACCTCCAACATTGGGGGTCAAATTGGGGGTTTGGAGAGGTCAAACATCCAAACTATAGCAGTGACTTTGCTCTGTTTCTCCTAGGCGCAGTGTATAAGAAGTACCCTCAAGGAAGGGGTGTAAGAAGGACTAATTCTTCCATTCAGTTGCCCAGAAAGGATACAGTTTGCTCAAGCAAAGAGGTACTGAGATGTCTGCACCAGCACATGCCCCTTAGGCAGTACAGTAATTCCCTCCACCAACTATTACTTCTAGGAGGTGGGCAGGCTTGGAAATAAGAACAAACCTGCAAAGAATGACTGCTTACTGCAGCAGATGCGATAAGGGTTAAACAGATCAGATTCAAAATCTGGGTCTGCTGCTTCCTAGTTGGGTGACCTTGGGCAAGTCACTTAGCTACACTTAGTATCTTTGTTTGTAAAATAAAGACAGTTGTACCTGCTAAGGAAATTTATGTGAGGATTAAAGTGTATTTTGTATAAAGTACTTAGTGGTATCAGATCCTGTTGGTTGCAAGCAACAGAAATCCCCCTTCTTGTTCCTATAGAGAAGATAGAACATCTTTCTTCCCACAATTATTTAATGAAAGCCTGAGCCTGGCTCTGATTGTGCAAATCCTGGATGCCATGCTGCTCTGATTGTTTTGAGCCTGCCTGACTCAGCCTCCCAAGTAGCTGGGACTACAGGTTCATGGCATCATGCCCGGCTGGTTTTTAAAATTTTTGTAGACATGGGGTCTTGCTATATTGTTCAGGCTGGTCTCAAACTCCTGGACAAATATGAGGTTTTAATAAATGAGCCAGGCCAGGCATGGTGGCTCACACCTATAATCCCAGCACTTTGGGAGGCCAAGGTGGGAGGATCTCTTGACCCTAGGAGTTCAAGGTTGCAGTGAGCTGTGATGACGACACTGCATTCCAGCCTGGGCCAGAGAGCAAGACAAAAAAAAAAAAAGTCAATCATTCCATTAAGCCTCAATTACTTAAGATAATAGTTCTTTCCTTCATTCTAAAGTGGGTAGCAAATTATGGGCTGAAAAAATTGAAGCTGGAGATCTCCAGATACCTCGGTTCCTGCTGCGCTCATCAAAAGTCAGCACAGATATCAGCATCTGCCAAGTACTGCAGTGTCTTCCCCAGCATAGAGGTCAACGTAAGTCACAGTTGCTGTTGCTGTCCCCCCTACCCCCAGCTCCTGCCTCTTCTCAGCCGCAAGTGGCAGAGAGCAGTGCACGGCGCCCTGGCATCTCTTCCTGCCTATAAGAGCACCACCCCCAACGTGGGGCTCCCCTGGGCAAATAGGAGACGCAGAATCCTGTTGGGAAAAAAGCCAGCCCCCACCCTCCTAGAGGCCTGAGATCACACTCCAGGGTTGCCAGGCTCGTGGAGGGAGAATTAGAAACAGTTTCTGGGCACAGACAGTAGAGGCTTTGCAATCACCCCCGAGCCCTCTGTACCCCGACACTGACAATGGTGTGTTAAGACGGCAGCAAACGGGGGTTATGGTAGGAAGTGAGGTGGTTCTTGTCTCTATTTTCTAATTTGGGGGTAATGTTTTGTCATTGTTTTGGCACTGGAACAAGTACTTTTAGTACAACATGAAAACCTAATCATTTCTCTCCTTGCCCTTTTGCACTGCGTTATCAACATTAGGTTAAACTAAAATAGCCATGAAATTCACAATGACCCGCTTATGGTCATTCTAGCATGCCGCCCCTCTCCATTGAAGTCATCTTTTGCTCTGAAATGTATGGACTTCTCGCCCCACCATGCAGGGTTTTCTATTTTAAAATTTAGAGATACTATGTTTTTATCACGACAGTGACCGCCTGTGCCACAAAACCATCATCCTCCTGCCTCTACGCGTCCTTTGTAGAACCATAAATCTACTAGTTTAGTAAAAGAAACAAAGGCTTTTAAACAAACAAAAATGCATGCTTAACAGATGTTTTGGGAATTGTGAACCACACGAATAACTGTCTTAAGGGGTGGCGGGGCTTCAAAGAGGCAGCTGAGGGGTGGCCGTCGGCCTTCACTTGCCTCGCTGCAGGGCGTGGTGAGGCACATTCGGTGGACGCCCAGGGACATGGAGCTGTACGTCAGGTGCGTGGAGAAGGTGATGAAGCGCTACATCCAGAGGCTGCAGTGGCTGCTGTCTGGTGAGCCTGCCCACCGTCCTGGGGGTTATTGGGGCAGGAGAAGGAGGGGAGGATCTGGGGCCCCTCCTGGAGAGATAAGGCCAGGAAAGGACTTTGCTATTGATTAGGAGCAAAAGGAAGCCGCTAAATGGTTTTAAAGAAGGGGAAAGTGACTAGGCTGGCATCTTTAGTAATCCCTGTGATCACCGTGTGGGAAATAAGTTGTTGAGGGCACAGAGTGGAATCAGGGTGACCTAGTCTTGCCCAGGTGAAAGATTAAGAGCGCTGGAAAAGGCATTGAGATGGATGAAGCAGGCAGAGCCAGAGAGATGTGGGAGATAAAAGACAGGGTTTGGTGGCTTGCAGTGTTTCCACTGTCTGGTTCCAAAGGTGGACCTCGGGCCATTTGTGGTTGGAGGTCCCCCCGCCAGCACACTGGCTGGCTGGATATCCTCATGGAACCCCCTGCTTCAGGAGGGCTCCCCTCTTAGTCTCCTTGTGTCACGAGCATTGCCAGAGAACACCCCAGGTGAGTCCTGGCGGCTCCCGGGCAGCAGGTGCAGCCAGCTCAGGCTGTTCCATTTTGCGGCGGTTTGTCAGTTTTCCCGACTGCCGCCAGTGGCGTGTTTCCAGAACACTGGACACATCACCCTCTGCTTGCCTGGCTTTCCCCCGTCTTAGCTCCGTTTGGGACCAGGGCCAGAGGTGGTCTGATGGAAGCGTGGATCAAAGCAGCTGGGTACTGATCTTGGCTCTGCCTCTGCCAGCTCATGTGATCCTCCAAGGCCCCAGCCCTCTGGGTATCCCCTGGGGCTGAATCCCAAGCCCTTTAACGACCTCTCCAGCTCCAGCTCCCGTCCCTCTCTCTGTGGGTCTCTCCAATCCAACCTTGTCGTTTCCCCACATCGGCTTCTCTCTGCCCCTCCGGCAGGCCACTCTCTCCTCCCCGTCTTCATGTCCTGTCTAGGCTGTTCCCTCTGTCTGCCCACCCTGGTTAACTGCTGTGCAGCCTTTCTTGGCTTTCTGGCACCCCACCCTAGATCCCTCTATTAATAACTTCAATTATCCCCATTTCCATGACACTCCTTTGTCCTAACCCTGGGCAGGGTTGTAATTATTTAACATCTGTCTTCCTTGCCCAACCATAAGCCCCGCAGGGCGGGGACCCTCCTCTGTTCACCACTGTACTTTGTGCAGTACCAGGCACGTAGCAAATGCTCAGTTAACTTCTGAGGACCAGCTGACTGACTATGTGCTCCCTAACATCTTTTCCAGCCCCAGATAATACTGTGACACTATTTAATCCAGTCACTTAATTTTAGGGGTGAGGAAACTCAAGCCCAGAGAGGTGATAACCACTTGTGCAAATCATTATGGGCAAAGCCGGGGGCCCAAACCACCCCCTGGCTCTGCCCTGGGACAGTTGACCCTGCCACAACACCACAAAGGCTGTCTCCCCCTGGGGTGGTATCCACTCCACTATCAGGCAGGCGACAGGTATCGTGAGACTTTGTGCAAGACAGACACAGTGAGGAAGGCCACCCGGCAGGACCCCTCACCATGTCCGGCCTCTGCCCCCTCCCGTTTCGGAGCAGGGAGCCGCCGACTGTTTGGCGCCATCCTGGAGAGCAAAGTGTGCATCCTGCTGGACATGTCCGGGTCCATGGGCCCCTACCTGCCCCAGGTGAAAACAGGCCTGGTTCTGCTGATTTGGGAACAGCTGCGGAAGTGCTGCAACAGGTAGGAGGCCGGGACCCAGCTCAGGGAGATCGAAGGGGCAGTTCCTGGGGCTTCCTTCCCTGGCCAAGCACACTCCTTCCTCTCGGTTCCAATGGGCCTGGAGGTTTCTGAGATGCTCTTCCAAGTAGCTTACCTGGGCAGGGAAGAACACTGCACTCTGCTTAGCGGCAGAAAGAGAACAATTTTTAGAATCCATTTCAGGCCTGGGAATCATCACAAGCACGGCAAAGGGACCACCATGTGGCCTTGAATTGTGGCTTTCAGCTGAATTTGATTATCTATTTATTTTATTACTGTTATTTATTTATTTTTGTGAACTTTATTTTTAAGCGGGGGAAGTTGTTTGTTCTCTCTGTCCAGAAGGGATGACCCTGAGGGGACAGCAGGGTACTCTGGTCCCAGGCTGGGACTCATTCTTGCCTTAATATGGGTAAGCATTTATTGAGTGCTTTTTGTGTGCCCAGTGTTTCACATGCGTGATTTCATCAATCTTCACAGCCTATAGGGTTTTGCTATCCCTGGTTTTCCAGAAAAAGGAAGATAAGAGTTAGGGAGGTTAAGTAATTTGCCCAAGATCACATAACCAGTCAATGGCTGAGCTAGGATTTAAACCTGTTTCTCTGCATCCACTATTGTCAGCATGCCCCTCTTGTTCTCAAGGGGCCCACAGCCTTCTCCCTGAGGGGCCACAGGGCTTGTCATAGGGGTGTTCAGTGGCAGGCGTCAATAGTCCTCATGAAGGTGACTTCCCCCGAATTCAGTCCAGACTGCCCTGCTCTAACCAATCTTCTTGCCCTCTCCGCCCCTCCAGTTTTAACCTGCTCAGCTTTGCAGATGGCCTCCAGCCATGGCAGGATGCTCTGGTGGAGACCACGGATGCAGCATGTCACAAGGCTATGCAATGGGTGACCCACCTGCAGGCTCAGGGGAGCACCTCGGTCTTGCAAGCATTGCTGGCAAGTTCTACCACTGAGCCCAACCCCGAAGCAAAGCGAATGCCGGCGTCCCCTCTACTGATATTGCACAATGCTGTAGGATTTACAAAGAGCACTTTGGAATTTACAAAGTGTGACTTCATTTCATCTTCTCAGCAACCCAGTGAGGAAGGGATTCTGGTTGTTCTCACTTTATAGGTGAAGACACAGAGAGGTTAGGTGACTTGGTTGGGGTTAACCAGCTAGGAAGTGGGCCATGCTTTTCTTCCTAAACCTTAGCAGGTTCCTTGGTTCGTCTTAGGCTGAAAGGGGAGTCTCTCAGTATCACCGGACAACAAATCAGTGGCATCCGGCCAGACACGTTTTCTCTGGGGACAGCAGGCCCCACCTTCAGGCAATTGTTTTTTGTCCTTGTGGGCTTGCCCTTCCCCTTTGCCTGACAACCTAACAACCTTCCTGTGCTCTTTCAGAAAGCTTTCAGTTTTCACGACCTGGAAGGATTATACCTCCTGACCGACGGGAAGCCAGACACGAGCTGCAGCCTTGTTCTCAATGAGGTCCAAAGACTCAGGGAGAAGCGAGACGTGAAAGTACACACCATCTCCTTCAACTGCTCAGACAGGTGGGCAGTAAGGACTCGGTGCTGAGTTTTATTCTTTTCTGAAGGTCTGAGCTCCTCGCCTAATCCGGGGACTCACTCAGATGCTGTCTCTCCTGGGCCCTACGCACATAAGTGACAAATTAGGAGAAGCATTACGTCGTAGCCTCCCTCTGGATCTTTCTTGGGGACACATCTGTGACTCGGGAGGGAAAAAAGCTAGAAGGGAAAACCTAACAGATTAACATAACCTCATTATGGCATTTTCATAAACAGTCACTATAGAACAACATCTAGACTGGAGACACTCAGCTCCTTTAGCAAAAAAACTTTTATCATTAGCAAAATGGATTACACAGGTCCATATTTTATCTCCCTGTCGAAACCATGAGCTCTGTAAAGATCACACTGTGTCCCTTACAGGCCTGTCACATAGTTAGCGCTGGTTAGATGTCTAGTAGGAGAACGGACTGGGAGAGTGTACCTGGTGACGTGCACAGTGGTCTCCATGGCACAAGGCAAGGCCCACCACCAGGCCGTTTTCTCTTAAGCCCCACAGCCTTAAGGTCCCCATGGGACTGGGGGCTCACCAGGAACTTGCCTGGTGCAGCCTCCGTTCCTCCCCGCAGAGCTGCGGTCGAGTTCCTGAGAAAGCTGGCTTCGCTCACGGGGGGCCGCTACCACTGTCCTGCCGGTGAGGACACGCTCGTCACGATCCACAGCCTGCTCACCAAAGGCTTCATCGAGGAAAGGGTAGGTTGGGGAGCTACGTAGGAGGTCTGTTGACAGCCTTGGGGTTTCCCTTCTCACTAAAAAGATCTCTGCTTCTCTCATGAGACAAAGCATGGACTAACAAGTGTAGAATTTCCTTGCTGATGTCCTCTAGGATAGGCCAACTCTCTTCAAGGCTGGGAAAGAAGCAGGGTTTGGGGGTGTTATTTAATAATGGCCAGGCCACACTTATGTTGCTTTCTATAGATTATTCCTTTTAATTATTGTACCCTTCGACAGATGAACGAACAGGCTCAGGGAGGTGTAGGCATACACCAGATGTCACAGGAGCTGAGGAAGCCGAGACACCTGTGATCGTAACCTCTGTGCTTTCATTCCTGCACATTTCACGCATTCCTGTAAATTCACTGAAACACAGACATTCTAATTATCTGTTAAGCAATAGATCTAGTACAGTCATAGGTTATCTATTAATAAATCCAGCAATGTCACAGGGTCTGATGATCCTCTTTTGATTTGATGGAAAAATTCTGCCCATATTTATGTCTTTTAAGAATGCAGGGTTGCCAACGATAATACTTCCAGGGCAACAAATTATCGAGTAAGATAATCGATCAGAATTCCAGCTTGCTTTTTTGGAAGTTAAAGGTTACTTTCACATGACATGCCATCATTTTTGAAGTCTGGATGGCCTTATAATAACTGCTTTGTTTGAGTTACTCTTCTAGGGACAAAGATTACCAATAATACAGGCAGCAGAAGAAGTTGGTAAAAGTAATGAATAGTCACACGAGGGTCCTTATGACACAGGAAAACAAATGGGTCTACTGTGAAGGTTCTCAGTTTAGTACCCATAGAGTCAGATTCTTTGAGTGATTTCTGCTTGTAGAGCGGGATCCCTGCTACCACTGCTGGGAAAAGGGACAGCTTCATCGCTTTCTTAGAACTTAATCGTGAGACGTGTGTTTTTAAGGCTAGGCTCTGCAATTTTATTATTAATACTTAACACACACACACACACACAAAAGCATGCCTGTGAATCTCTATTTTTCTAGAAGAAACAGAGAAAGACCTGAACAGGTTTCACTGAGTAGCAGAGAGATGCCATTTCAGTTCTACTGAGCCTGCAGAGTGTCAACTTCACTCAGCTTCAGAGACCATCTTGCCTGGCCACCACCCTCTCTCTGTGTTGCCTCTCATACATCTTATTTCAAAGTGTCCCATTGGCAGAATGACTGCCTTGCTAGGTAGTGAGCTTCCCATCCCTGGAGACATACATGTTGAAGCCCACAAGATTTCCTACGCTGGGCAGGAGGCTGCATTTAGTTAGATCCAAAATTCTTCTGAGATTTTAGATTTTCAGGTCTCATCCAGTTACCAAATGGATCAAATGTCACTCTCATTCCCCCTTTCCAAGGACCCAAGGATCGCGTTGCCACCATTTGAAGGAGATGATTTAAGGAGACTGGCCCAGGAGATCACCAAGGCCAGAAGCTTCCTCTGGCAGGCCCAGTCCTTCAGGTATGCCCTTCGAGCAGCTCCTCCCACCTGCCACGTGGCTGCGCCTACCCAGGCTCTGGGCCCAACAAGAAGGGCCTGCCCGGTCACCACACCCCTGCTCTGAGAGCTCCTGCCCTACCTCTCCCTACCAGCCCAGAAATCTGGGCACTAGGGGTGCCCATCTTCCTTCATCTCCTGCCCACCAGATTCCAACTCCAGAAGAAAGACAATATGGAAGCAAAGGTCGCTCTTCTTTAGAGAAGTGCCCTCAGGTAAGGGGAGGGGAGAGACTCTGCACATGTCAAGTGTCCAGGGGCCAGGTGGCATGCACTATTTTGTGGACACTAGTAACTATGGGGATGGAGTGGGCCAGAAATAATGATTCCTCTAAGCAGAAAGGTCATGCTACAAGGGACCTCCCACTGAGAGAAGCTTGGCCCTGAGGGTGGGATGTCATGGAAAGCAGTGGCCCACAGGTCATCCACAGAAAACATGGGGCCAGGCACCAGGATTTCCCGGGAGCAGAGGAAGGAAAGGCTCTGTTCTTTGTGTGGGGGGCCATGCCCATGTCTACCCTAACTCTCCTGCCCTGTCCCCCTACGCACCCTGCACTCCAGCCACAAGATTGTCACTCGCTGGGGAGCCCTGCACCGAGCTCCCTACCTGGAACACGCTTCCTGCTATCTGCCTGGTGACTGCTGCTTGACTACCAAGGCACAGGTCAAATGACATCATCGTTTCCATTGTGAAGATGTCCCTGGGACCCATCTAGAGAGAGGGGCCTTCAGGCAGAGCTGGGAGCCTCCAGCCTTCCTTTCATGGTGTCCCAGCCAGCCATACTCCTCATTGCACTTAGCACTGCATGTCGTGACTCTTCGCTCACTCACCTAACTCTTCTCCTTGACCGTGAGCTCCCTGCGGATGAGGGGGGGGGGGCGGCAGGCACGTAGTAAACAGTGAGCGTCCAGCTGAGCTGTGGAGCCCAGCTCTGGAAACCAGCCAAACGGGGTTGTTTCCACCCTGGTCCTCCCTGTGCTGCTGCCACCCTGGCCCACAAGAACCAACACAGATTCACCATCAGCCCATCCTCTGCACCACCCCTCACCTGCCAAAGGCTGCTCTGGAACCCAGTCCAGAGCGAATGCTCTGCTCAAGGATGTCAAAGTAAGACTGGCTCTTCAGGGCCCAGCCCCAATAGGTACATGTGAAATGAATGTGTCATGTATTATGTCATCGAGGAGTCATTTTCTAAAAATAAAAAATTGCTTTATTTCATTAATAGGATATCAAAAATGATTTTAACTGTTTGAAGTGACCATAGGGGAGATTGGGTGTGTGTGTGTGTGTGTGTGTGTGACTTTTTGGTGAGATAAAACTTTATTAAAAGACTCATATCCAAGCCCAGTGCAGTGGCTCACTCCTGTAATTCTAGAACTCTGAGAGGCTGAAGTGGGAGCATTGCTTGAGGTCAGGAGTTTGAGAGCGGTCGAGCGAGAGGTGGAGCCCCCCTTTGTCCTTTTTCTTACTAAAAAAAAAAAAATTTAAGGGAAAAAAAAAAAATTAGCTGAGTGTGGTCCCAACTACTTGGGAGGCAGAGGCAGAAGGATCCCTTGAGCCCAGGAATTTGAGGTTGTATGAGCTAGGCTGACACCATGGCACTTTAACCCAGGTGACAGAGCAAGACTCTGTCTCAAAAAAAAAAAAAAAAAAGACTCCTATCCAGAATATATAAAGGACTTGAAATCAATAAGTAAAAGACAAACATCCCAATATTTTTTAAATGGACAAAGGACTCAAACAGGCACAAATAGACAATAGGTATATGAAAAAGTGCTCAACAGCCTTACCTATTGGGGAAATGCAAATTAAAACCACAATAAAACATGACTACATGCCCACTAGAATGGCCAAAAGGAAAAAGATTGACTATATCAAGACATGGAGTAATTGGAAAATTTATATGTTGCCGGGGTGGAGGTGGGGCAGGGAAGTGTAAATTGATTCAACCACTTCCGAAAACTATTTGGCAATTTCTGCTAAAGTAAAACATGTGCCTATTATGATCTGGCAGTTCTACTCCAAGAGAAATGAGGGCACATGTTCAATAAAAGACAGACAAGAATGTTTATGGAGCTTTACTCCTAAGAGCCCACAACTGGAAACCACCCAATGTCCATTAGTAGTAGAATGGGCAAATAAATGGTGACACATTTGTACAGTGGAATACTACACAATTTAAAAAGAGTGAGCTACAGCTATATTCAACAAAATGTATCAATCTCGTGAACAATATTGGGCAAAAGAAACTGGACATAAAAGAATACATACTGCTGGCCAGGCAGAGTGACTCACGCCTGTAATCCTAGCACTCTGGGAGGCTGAGGCGGGTGGATCCTTTGAGCTCACGAGTTTGAGACCAGCCTGAGCAAGAGCAAGACCCCCATCTCTACTAAAAATAGAAAAAAGTAGCCGGGCATGGTGGCGCATGCCTGTAGTCCCAGCTACTCGGGAGGCTGAGGCAGAAGGATTGCTTGAGCCTAGGAGTTTGAGGTTGCTGTGAGCTAGGCTGATGCCACGGCACTCTAGCTGGGGCAACAGAGTGAGACTCTGCCTCAAAAAAAGGAATACATACTGCATGCCATTGATATGAAGTTCAAGAACAGACAAAACTAATTGTGACATAAGTCAGAATAATGGTTACCCTGGTGGTGGTGGGGTCACAAAGGGACATCTGGGGTGCTGGAAATGTTCTATATCTTGATGTGGGTAGTAGTTATATTGGGGTACACATAAGTAAAAATTCATCAGGTTGTTTAAAAACAGTTACTAAGGGTTGGTCTGAGTGCAGTGGTGTTTACAACTAATTGATCACAACCAGTTATAGATTCCTTTGTTCCTTTTCCACTCCCACTGCTCCACTTGACCAGCCTAAAAAAAAAAAAAAATACAGTTACTAAGGCTTGACAAGCCTTGTTCTGAGCAGGCTCCATGCTGGGTCCACAGCCCTGGCCACCGCGAATCTCTGTCTGCTCCATCTTGGACAGCTCCATCTTGGACCCATTCTGGGTCACCTCTGTAAACACAGAGAAAATGGCCAGTGGTGGTCATATTAGTTTGCTAGGACTATCATAACAAGATACCACAAACTGAGTGGCTGAAACCATAGGAATTTATTATCTCACAGTTCTGGAGGCTGGAAGTCCAAGATTAAGATACCAGCAGGGATATACTTCCCTCCAAGGGAAGGGTCTATTCCAGGCTTCCCACCTCATTTCCCGTAGCTCCTTGGCTTGTGGCAGCATAATTCCAATGTCCACATGATGTTCTCCATATGTGCATGTCGGTGTCCAAATTTCCCCTCTCTCTAAGAACACTAATCATATTGGAGTAAGGCCCCATTCCTACTCCACGATGACCTTATCTCAACTAATCACATCTGTAATGACTCTATTTCCGGAGATAGGATTAAGTGCTAGGGACCGGGACTTCAACATATGAATTGTGCAAGGGACACCATTCAACCCATGGCAGTTGTGTTGTAAGCTGTGCTTCTCCTTGCAAGACAACACCGGCAGCTGGTACGGGGGAATAGGAATTCTGTGGCCCTGCTGGTGGCAGAGGAAGAGGCTTCTCCTCGTGAATGGAAGGATGGACCAGAGACACGACTTGTGAAGTGGAAAAGTGCAGGACCTAGGTTCGAACCCCAACCTCATGCTTGTCCTTTCATGGCCAGCAAACGGCTGTTATAGGAGATGAAAGCCAACACGCTGAGGATAGCAGGATGCAGATAGAAAGCACCAGAACCATGCTGGAACTGCTTTACCTTTGGATTTTTTGTTATTTGATATATTAAATTCCTTATATTTAGGTAAAAAAAAAAAAAAACCAAAACCCAACCTCATTTATATAACAACGGTGACAGCTACCATCAGTTGAGCATGGTTTGAGCAGGCACCATGCTCAGCATTTTGCATGTATCATGTTAGCCATAAGCCTCTCAACTTCACAACTGTAAAGTACATACCCTTTCCAGTTTATGGATGAGGAAACTGAGCCTTGTAGCTGCCAAAAAAAACATGGCAAAGAAGTGGCAAAGTCAAGGTTTAAACCCAGGGCCAGCTGGGTGCAGTGTCTCATGCCTGTAATCCCAGCACTTTAGGAGGCAAAGGAGGGAGGACCACTTTTCGAGGAGTTAAAGACCAGCCTGGGCAACATAGTGAGACCCCATCTCTAACAAACAAACAAAAACACCCAAACCAGGGCTGATCCATGGCGTTTCCCCACCACACTCTGAGCCCCTTTTCTGAACCTGTCTCTAAAATCGCACTAGAAACAGAGTTGTTAAGGTTAACAAGATACCTTTTACCACCTGACACATGGTGTGTGCAGGCTTACGATTTCATTTTTCTCTTCCCTGCACCTATGCCCACAATGGGTGTCATGTGGACGGAGCCCTTCCAGTCACCCTCTTCAGACCAAAGTAACCGGCTCTCCCTGCTCCTAGCCCCTGTAGCTCCATTATAGCAGCTGTGTGAACACGTGCCTGCCCCTCTGGCCACGTGAATGAGTTTTCCAGGGAGGGTGTGATTCATCTGGGTTCCCAGAGGGGGAAAAGGCCAGCAGTGTAGAAGCGCCCATTAAATGTGAAATGATGGCATTGGTGAATGGATCAACGTAGAGACTGGGGGAAGAATGCAAGAAAGGAAGGGTAGACAGGTGGGTGGAAGAAAGATGAATTGGAGGGATGGGAGGTTGGACAGATAGGTGGAAGGGTGGACGGATCGATGAATGGGTGGAAGGATGGCTTGACCAACAGTTGGAGTGATGAATGGGTGGAAGTCTGACTGACAGAGGGAAAGACAGATGTAATGACAGATGGATGGATGGACAAAAAGAAGAGTAAACAATGAGTGGAAGGAAGGATGAATGGGTGAAGAGACGGATGGACGATGAAGTGGGATGGTGGATAAATGAAAGGGCGGCAGGAGGAATCAAGGCAGGCTGAACAGAAAGGAACGTGTGGGAGAATAGATGTGGGCGTGTGGTTTGAAACACTGTTGCTTGGGGTTTCAGGACGACCGTGCGGGCGGGACAGAGGCCAGCACCCAAGGTCTTTGCGTACTTTCTCCTCCAGAAGCTCGGCCCTTTTCGCTCCGTCCCTACCCGACCCCCCCACGAGCGCCTTCGGGGCCGGAAAGAACGCGCAGCTCGGGCGCCGGGAGCCCGTGGGACACTTGAGAAAGTGTGGGAGTGGGCGTGGCGGTCCTGGGCCCCGCCCCCGGCCGGCCCCGCCCCCCAGCCCAGACCTGGCCTGAGCCCCGCAGCGCGGCGCAGGTGCTGGCATAGCTTCGGGAGCCCAGGCAGGTGAGCGCGGGCCGGGAACGCGGGCGTGAGCGGGAGAGGAAGGGCGAAGGGGCCACCTCGGGTGGGGACTTACCCTCAATCTGCCCCGGGGCACCCTCCTCCTGCCCCTGCGAGGCCGACGCGCCTGGGGGTCGTCAGTGACTGGGTCCCCATCGACCTGGATTCAGGCCGAGCCATTTCCAGCGACTCCATCAAAGTTCCCTAATGTTCTCTGAGCCTCAGTTTCTACCTCTTCTTCACTGCGCTGCCAGCACTGTTCTAGGTGCTGGGGACACTACGCTGAGCAAAACCCTCGTGGAGCTTGCATCCTAGGTTTGCAAAGCTCTTGGGCATCTTTCTCCCGTGAGCACCCTGTGAGGAAGAGGAGCAGCCAGGGTTTTTTGGGTCCATTTTATAGGTGAGGTGCAGTGAGGTTTTAAGGATCTTGCCCAATGGCACACCCCAGCAAATGGGTACCTGAGCCCTTGCCACAAAAGTCATCCCCTTTGGGTAGAAAGAGCTCTGGTCCCACAGACCCTTTCCCAGAAGAGTTCTCTGGGTCTGGGTAGAGGAGGGCTCCACTCTTGGGCTGCATCCTCTCCTGCCCCTGGGGGAATTAGGCCCATCCTCTGTGATCACTCTGATTTGGGGTGTCCTTCTGTTAAACCCATGAAAGTTAGTGCTTGGGCAGGGCATGACTATATCCCTCACCCAGACCTTTGGCCAGCAGGGCAGTGACAGAGGAGACTAAAATTTAGATTCAGCCCCAATGGCCGTCAGAGTCCCTGCCCTGTGACCACAACCAGCAGCTACCGTGGAGTTTATTAGTCAGTCAGTTACTCAACAAACGCCTGTCCTGTCATGCAGCCAATGTGTGCAGGGACTCACCTATCTGCATCTGTAGGGCCTGGCGCAAGGCAAGCCCTTAGAACACAGCTGCTATTATGATGATGATGACAATGATGATGACCTGGCCCCTGGTCCAGCCTCATTCAGCCTCAGGTGGAGTGGGAGGTGGGGGGTGATGGTGGTAACAGTGACTGATAGCCTGGCTTACTTTAAGTCTAGAGCAAGGAGGACAGGATCCTCAGTGCTGTCCCTCTAGGACCATAGACCTGACCCTGAAGCCTGCAGGGGGCTGGGACAGACCCTGTGGTGCCAGCCACCTGCACTTCTGCAGGGCCTGGGAGAACCAGAGGCAGCAGGTGTCGGGGCAGGGGCAGGCGTAGCGCTTGAAATCATGTACAAGTTTCCAGGGTGCAGAGCCCTTATACATCTCACGAAAATTCTTCTCCTCCTCCTCCTCTTCCTCCTCCTCCACCCATGTCCGTAGTCAGAAAACAGTCACCTCCCAGTCTGGTGAGGTTCCCTCTGGCATGATGTGACCTATCTTCCTCTGGTGCTGCACGGGAACTGGGATTTTAAGGAACTGGTAAAGTCAGGAATGCTTGGGATAAATCTTAGTCACGAAGTGTGACTTGGACCTCAGTATGCCCAGCTCTAAAGTCAAGGCTTAGCTGCCTTGTCTCTGACCATTACAGGAGGCTGCAGCCACCCTGGAGGTTCTTGAGATGCTGAAAGGGACAGGTTCACTGGGAACTCAGAGGGTCTCCAATTTCCACCTGGAGTTCTCTCCTCAGGCCTAGGAGTCTGATAATCTATGTGACTTGAGACAACTCTAGAACATTCTTTTTTGTTTTTTTAGACAGAGTCTCACTTTGTTGCCCAGGCTAGAGTGAGTGCCGTGGCGTCAGCCTAGCTCACAGCAACCTCAAACTCCTGGGCTCAAGCCATCCTTCTTCCTCAGCCTCCCAAGTAGCTGGGACTACAGACATGCGCCACCATGCCCAGCTAATTTTTTGTATATATATTTTTAGTTGGTCAATTAATTTATTTCTATTTTTAGTAGAGACGGGGGGTCTCACTCAGGCTGGTTTCGAACTCATTACCTCGAGCAATCCACCCACCTCAGCCTCCCAGAGTGCTAGGATTACAGGCGTGAGCCACTGCGCCCGGCTTAGAACGTTCTTTCTTCTGTTTTTCCCCACAGGCGGAGACGGTTTCTGGGTCCGTATGGCTCTGTAGAGGATGAAGCCCAACCCCACAGGCAAAGCCGCAGACCAGGGCGAGAAGAGCTGCCCTGTCTGCCAGGCCTGCGGAGGGGTCTCAGGCCCAAAGTCTGGTTTAGGTCCTGGGCCAGGGCCTAATTCTATTCCAGGACAGGGGGCAGGGCCTGGTTCTGTGCCGGGACCTGGTGCTGTTCCAGGACGTGGGGCAGGGTCTGGTGCTGTTCCAGGACGTGGGGCAGGGCCTGGTGCTGTTCCAGGACGTGGGGCAGGGCCTGGTGCTGTTCCAGGACGTGGGGCAGGGCCTGGTGCTGTTCCAGGGCCTGAGTCGGGACCTGGTGCTGTTCTGGGGCCTGGACCAGGTCTGGGCCCTGGGCCGGGAGCTGGGTCACTACCTAGGCCAGAGGTAGGGCCTGGGCCCAGAAAGGGGTCTGGGACTGGTCTCAAACCCAGTGAGTCAATGACAACCCCAGCACCAGCGCCACAGCAGAAGACTCAAGCCAAACCTGAAAAGGCTCCTAGGCAGAAGGTTCTGGTGACTGGAGGAGGAGGCTACCTGGGCTTCACCCTGGGTTCTAGCCTGGCCAGGAGCGGCACTTCCGTCATTCTGCTCGACCTCCACAGACCCCAGTGGACACTGCCCTCAGGGACCGAGTTCATCCAGGTACAGGGTCAAGGGTCTCTGGGGACCAGTGGTGGTGGTTGGGGACAGTGTCTGATGTCAAACCAGTGGCATGGAGTTTCAGAGCACAGGCTCTGGGGCCAGACTTTGAGCTCCAACTCTAGCTCTGGTACTTCCCAACTGGGCAGCTGCAGCCTCAGGCTCCATATCTCTGAACCTCACTGTCCTCATCCTCAGACAGGGGACAGTAATAATACCCATTCCACAGGGTCTCACAGGGAGATGACAAGGAGATAAAACACGTAGCATAGCTTCTGTGACCTAGAGTGCATGATACCTCGGGCCAGTGGTGCTGCTGTTGTCCTGGAGAGCCGTCTAGTAAATCCTGCCCCACCAGCCTTTCCTGACCCTGCAGAGGCCTGGCCTGGCCTGGGCTGGGGGTGCGGGGCCAGGGGAAGGAGGGGAGAGCAGTTCTGGGACCAGGCAAGGTGCAGAGTTGGTGTCTCTGTTGGCCTTGGTCTTGAACCCCCTGCCTCTTTCCTCTCTGGTTCAGGCTGATGTCCGAGATGAAGAAACCCTGTACCGTGCCTTTGAAGGGGTGGACTGTGTCTTCCACATGGCCTCCTACGGAATGTCTGGTGAGGAGAAGGTGAGCCCCTTACCAACAATGCCTAGAGTTGGACAGAGTGGCACTCGTGTCCTGGCTGTGCCCACCACACCCCCTCATGCCCATATATCCTGAATCACTCTTCACCTACTCCAGGGAGGATTTGGGCTACTCCCATCCTGCATTCTGCATCCATGAGTCCAGATACCAGTGTTGTGCCACTTTCTAGCTATGTGGCCTAGAGTTACCTGACAAGGTGACTTGTCAGCAGGTTTTCAGTAACTCTTCTGTGCCAAGCACTGCACCAGGTCCTCCCAAGTGTCTTATTTAATCCTGCCAACCCCTGCACCAGGGGCTCAACCCCACTGAGATGAGGGAGCTGAGGGCCAGATGGGGGACAGAGCCTGTCCTAGCTGCCCAGGGAGATGGTGGCAGAGCTGGGCATACCCACGGCCTGTGGGCCGCTCGGGCCCCCTGCCTCTGAGCTGGACACTCTGACAACCCCGCCCCACCTAACCCTAAGCCCAGCCCTCTGGCGTCAGCCACAAGGCATGACTTTCCCACCTCCATCTTGTCTTTTAGCTGCAAAAAGAGCAGATTGAGTCTATAAATGTCGGAGGCACCAAACTAGTGATCGATGGTAGGTGCTGAGAGCCAAGTGCGACCTGCTGCGCTTCCCCCTCCTCACCCTTCTCCTGCTGCAAGCCCAGCTCCCGGGGGCGGGGGTGGGGGACAGAGCTGGGACCCTCCTGCCCACTCCCACGGAGGGCCTGCGGGCAGCACCTCCTTCCCACACTGCATCCCTGCCCAGGGCCCTGCATGGGTTGTGACAGCCAGGCCTCGGCATGTCTGGGAACACAGGGTGCAGAGTTGGCACTCGGGGTTTAGGGGGTAGGGAAAAGAAAATTTGCCAAAGTGCCAAAATAGAAGACCTATGTCTGGGCTCTTTGGGTATGTCCTGCCTTGTTCTGCATCTCGTTTTTCTCTCTGATTCTAGAGTGTCTTTCTTCTATGTCCCCATTGAGTGAGAGCTTCTTCTGACTTGTCCCTGGTGAGGTAGCTCAGGGACCAATGCCACACTGAGAAAGAATAAGGCTCAGGCCTGGCCCTCGGGGCCCAGGGTTCAGGGACTTGTCCCACACCCCAAGTTCAGGGCAGGAGGCCCTTCCCTCCCCAGCAGCTCTGGACTCTGGGAGGGCCCCAGGAGGGCCCCAAGATGTGTGTCGAAGATGGGGTAGAAATTGGTGGGTTCACCCAGAGAGGTCCCTGTGGGCGCTTCTCCGTGACTCCCCGCTCACACTTGGCCCCATATGTGCCTGTCTTTGTGCACGTGTGTGTGTTACCGTGTGCACCTGTCGCTGCAGTCTGCGTCCGCCGGCGGGTTCCAAGGCTCATCTACACCAGCACTGTCAACGTCGCCTTTGGTGGGAAGCCCATAGAGCAGGGTGATGAGGACTCTGTGCCATATTTTCCACTGGACAAGGTACTCGGCTTCCAGGAGAGGTGGGCAGGGCCCATGGGCCTGGGACCCACAGCCCAAAGTGCAGGGATGGGTGAAGCTGGGGTTGAAATCACAACTTGGGGTGAGTCCCAGGAGGAAGGGGACCCCAAACCTGGGTGGCAGGAGCCTGCTCTAGTTTCAGCTGGCCATGCCCGCAGGGGCTTTGAAAGCAGACAGACCTGGCCTTGAGCACCAGCCTGACCACTTTCTACCTGTGTGATCCTAAACAAGTCACTGAGCACCCTGAGCCCCTGTTTCTTCATCGGGGCATGTCATCGCTATTGCCATGGGGCTGTGGAGAGCAGGAGATGAGACAGTGTATGTGAAAATGCTGCGTGCGCACTAAAAGGTGACATAAACGTCATTCACCCAGTGCACAGCCAGGCTTGGCGTAGCAGGGCAGGCGTTTGGGGCTGGCAGGAGCGTCCCTGACTCAAGGTGCCCTGGGCCTTGCTGCTCTCTGAGCCCAGTGCTCCTGTGGCTCTCGGAGGAGATGTTCTCCTCCCGCCCAGAGGGAGAGGAGGGGCAGCAGGGCGGGCCCAGCGCTTGACCATATCCCAGTGGGAGTCCCCAGAGTCCAGCCCCCGGGGGTGTCTGAAGGCAGGTGCAGTCTTGAGGCCAGGCCACGTGGGCGTTGCCAGGAGTGTCACTGAATCCCGTCTGGTGGCTGTGTTCTCCCTTCCTCTGGCAGCACGTGGACCACTACTCCAGAACCAAAGCCATCGCTGACCAGTTGACCCTCATGGCCAATGGGACGCCTCTCCCAGGTGGGTATTATGGGCTCTGCTCGCCCCAAATGCACCTGCCACTGCCACTGCCCCCAAAGTATGTGTGTGATTCCAGCGTTTAGCTGACGTGTGTCTGACACCCACCTTCCTTCGGGAGGACCAGTCCCAGGGCTGTGGCCATTGATCATTCAACAGATTCTGAGCACCTGTCACGTGCCAGCACCCTGCCAGGGACGCAGCCTGGAAAAAGTCAGGCCTGGGGTCTGCCCTCACATCACCCACAGTCTAGAGGGGAAGAGACCTGGGTTGACCTAAGTCTAGAGGCCTTTTCTGCTGCACAGGAGTGAATCCAGGTTGAGGGATCCTCTTCATATAAAAGAGTACAAAGTACAAAGTTAGGAATATGGACGAGGTGCAGTGGTTTGGAAGGGCCATGTGAGACCCGGAGGGGTCCTAAAACTTGACCCTCAATAACTTCCCAGAAAAAGCTGCCTTGGCTGTCTTGTTATAGTAATTGCTTCTTCTGGTTATAGAGAAGTGATAATATAATACAAATAGTCCATATTTATTGAGTGCTTACTACACGCCCGGCCCTATTTTGCATGCTGATTTTATATGCCAATGTCTCATGAACTCTTCACTACATCTCTATTAGGTGAGAACCTTAGGCATCCCTTGTTCTCCAAACTCAGGAGCCAAATCTATTTAGATAAATTCCTTGCTATCTAAATTATTGCTACTTGCTTTCGGAAACTCAGAAACTAAAAAAAATCAGATAACTTGGTTTCCCTTCATTATCAAAACTATCTTGGCTGGGCGTGGCGGCTCACGCCCGTAATCCTAGCACTCTGGGAGGGCAAGGTGGGCGGATCATTTGAGCTGGGGAGTTCAAGACCAGCCTAAGCAAGAGCGAGACCTCGTCTCTAGTAAAAATAGAAAGAAATTAGCCAGACAACTAAAAATATATAGAAAAAATTAGCCGGACATGGTGGCGCATGCCTGTAGTCCCAGCTACTCAGGTGGCTGAGACAGGAGGATCTCTAGAGCCCAGGAGTTTGAGGTTGCTGTGAGTGAGGCTGATGCCACGGCACTCTAGCCAAGGCAACAAGAGTGAGACTCTGTCTCAAAAAAAAAAAAACAATTATCTAAACTCAGAGCCAAGTGGATTTGGGAAGCGAAGGATGCTTAAAATTAGAATCCATGATTTACAGGTGAGAAAACTGAGACTGATGACCTGACTTAGCTCAAGGTCACACAGCTGTTAGGTGGCAGAGGGAGGATTTGAACTCCAGGGGAGTCTAACACCAGAGCCTGAGGTCTAACCAATATACAACGCTGCAGCCACAGGTGAGGGGGTCCCAGAGCCTGGGCTCTTTTCCCTGAAATCTCCCCCGTCCCCATCACCCTGGGCCTGGCCCCCTGATCCCAGCGGGATCATCCAGCTGTGTGTTCCGAGGGGGTTGAGCCCGTGCAGTTGAATTTTCTTCCCTACCTGGGGCCTTCCCTGGCCGGCCCGGCAGCCTGCGTGCTAGACACCTAATCCTCTGGCCAAGAATTATTTATGTGAGCACCCCCACTTTCCATAGTCAGGAGAGTCACGGATACCCTGGGCCCGGCCCCTCTGTGAAGTGGCTGCCGAGTGCCCCACCTGCCAACATCACCTGCAACCCGACCGCCCCTCACTGTGCCCAGGTGACCCAGAGTTTAAAATTAGCTGCAGGCTCTTTACAGAAAAGCTCACCAGATACCTGCCTTCTGGGAGTCCAGCCATGGTCACCCTAGGTGATTTCTACTCCCTACTACCCCAGCTGCTCCCTGAGACTGTCCTTCTAACTCGGCATGGAGGTTCCTGGGCCAGGGAGCCGAGTCCTCAGGCCTGCCGGTCCCAGTTCAGTGTCAACGCAGTTGTGTCCTCCTGTCTCTGGGAGTGCCAGTGTTCTGAGGCTGCTGTGACAAATTACCAGAAACTTGATGACTTAAAACAATGGAAATTTCTTCTCTCACCATCCTGGAGGCCTCAAGTCTGAAATCAAGGTGTCATTTGGGCCTCGCTCCCTCCAAAGGCCCTAGTGGAGAGACCTTCCTCGTCTCTTCCCGCTTCTGGTGGCCCCAGGCATTCCTTGGTTTGTGGCTGCATCACTCCAAGCCCTGCCTCTGTCTTCATATGGCCTTCTCCTCTGTCTCTTCTCTGTGGGCCTCTTGAAGGGCCATTGTCATTGATTTAGGGCCCACCTAGATAATCCAGCGTGACCTCCTCTTGAGACCCTTGACTTAATTACACCTGTGAAGACCTTGTATTCAAATAAGGTCACGTTCACAGGTCTGGGATGTGGACAGACCCTTTGGAGGGGGCCACCATTGAACCCAATGCACTAGGCCCCATTGCGAAGTGAGGGGTAGAGGTTGCAGCAGTCAGGGTGTTTGGTTAGGACCCACACCGGCCCTGGCTCGTTTATGGGGAAGAGGGAACTTATACTGGAGGGATATGGAATAGCTTCTGGAAAATAGATTTCTAGAAAAATGACCACCAGGGCTTGGAAAGGACAGTGTCGGGAACTGGGTGGCAGGAGCCAATGAATATCTCCTCAGGGTGATTCCACTCCTAGGATCTTAGGTCCTGGTGTCAGTGATGTCGAGAGTCCCACTCCTGGGTGAGAACACCCGTGGCCACCGTCTAGACTGTCAGTCCCCCCAAGACCTCCTGTGGAGGGGGAGGGACCGCCACAGGCAGGCGGCTGCTGGTCGCAGAGGAAGGTCCACACTGGGCTCCCTGTACTGAGGTGCAGCCCCTTGGGAATTCGAGTCCCAGGAGGGAAAGTGGAACATGTTCCAGAAGGCTCCATTTCAGTTAAGGAGTTGGGGCTGAGAGTCAAACAATTTGTAAAATAAGTCATTTTAAATCTTTTTAGAAACTCTTAAAAGAATAAATTCTAGCACTATACCAGGGTCCCCAACCTATGGTGGGTTGTATAATTATTTCATTATATATCACAATGTAATAATAATAGAAACAAAGTGCACAATAAATGTGATGCACTTGAATCATCCCAAAACCATCCCTGCCCCCAGTCCATGGAAAAATGATCTTCCATGAAAACGTTCCCTGGTGTCAAAACAGTTGGGGACTATTACACTATGGGATGACTATAATTAACAACTATTGGCCAGGTGAGTGGTGTGCACCTGTAGTCCTAGCTATCTGGGAGGCTGAGGCAGGATAATCACTTGAGCCCAAGAGTTCAAGACCAGCCTGGGCAATGTAGTGAGACCCTGTCTCTTAAAAAAAAATTAACAATTATTTATTATATATTTTCAAATAGCTGGAGAGCAGATTTTGAATGTTCCCAGTGCAAAGAAATGATAAATGATTGAGGTGATAGTAAATGCTAATTACCCTGATTTGGTCATTATACATTATATACATGTATCAAAATATCACTCTACATCCTTTAAATATGTACAACTATTACATGTCAACTAAAAATAATAATAAAAGAAAAGATGTTAAACAGATGAATTAAGGGCATAAACTGAAAATTTTGTAGGCATTCTTAAGACATAAAAGAAATATGCCTGTGGCAGCCCCCTAGACTTCCACAGGAGAGACATGTGCTCCCACTTCCACTGTTGGGGACCCCTGGTGGAGAATTGAGGAACCCTGGAGCAGCCTCTGTCATGGTCGGGGGACTCTGTGGGGACAGAGGCTCTGTGTGATGGCCGTAGTCTCTTCCTTCCTCCGTTCATTGTCTGTAAAGTGTAACTAACGGCCGCCACCACTTCTGGGGCACCTGTTCTCCAGGTGAGGAAACCGAGGCAGAGAGAGCTGAGAAACAGGGTCTATTGTTAGTCTTGCCCCCTCCGAGAGGCAGGGGCTTTCGTGGAGAAGGCGTGGACTTCTGGTCCCCATCTCGGCTCCCCTAGGCTGGCCGTGTGACTGTGCGCAAATCACTTCTCTCTTCTGAGCCTTCCTTCTTTTATCCATAAAACAGGCGTAATGACAGTTCCCAGCTCGTAGGGTTGCCTTGAAGAAAGAAAATCCCAGTTTCCCAGAGCGCCAGGAACATAGTAGGACCTCCCCGATCATTAGATATTGATTAGATATCTGTAGATGTTCTTGTCTATTAGATCAGGGCCTCTCCATCCGATGGTTAGAACCAGGAAGGCGCTATCGTGTGCGGCAGGGTGGGTCTGGGTGCATCTGAGCAGTGGCCACAGTGGGACTCTCGGGGACTGGAAGGACATCACTCTGTCATGTGCTTGGTAAACTCTCACGGGCCATGCAAATATTGGCATCTGGGTCTTAACACTGTTACTGGCCTGGGAGTACCGTGAGGACAGGGACTATTGCTTGGTCATCCTTATACTCTTCACAGCACCATCCAGGGCGGGAGAAGGGGTGGGAGTGGGACTCTGAATAGTGTCTGTTGAATGACTAACTGATTACCTGAGAGAATAACTAATTGCATGCAGAAACCCTAGAGCTGGTCTTCCCCTCTAACCTGTCTAGGTAAGGACCGGGAGGCGTGGACCGGGAGGCGCCTTTCTCTCTCTCTCCCTGCCGAGCTGCTCTTGCCCGGGCTCCTGACTGCACCCCTTGTGTCCTAGGAGGAGGCACTCTTCGGACCTGTGTGCTCCGGCCCCCGGGGATCTACGGCCCTGAAGAGCAGAGGCACCTGCCCCGTGTGGTGGTATGTCACCCCACCCTCCCAGAACACGGGCACTGCGTCAGGGCCTCCCGAGCCTGGGACCCTTGGTTCTGGGAGACACCCCTGCCAGGCACAGAGCTGCCAGTGCGTGCCATGCAGACCCAGGCACGGGTAGGGGAGACATGGAGCGGTGACCCCACAGAGACAGAAGGGAGCCCATTGCCACCACTCACGTGTGGGCACCCTGAGGGCTGGCTGGTTCGCCCGTGCGGGCAGCTCAGAGTCATCATGCAGATAGACAGCCTCTGTCTAGAGAAAGCTGCGTGCCAGGAATATAGCTACAAAGGGCTCTCGGCCCTGTCCTCAGATTTCTCACGGCTGATCAGGGCGACAGACTCCATAGTCACAGTCTCAGTGAGGTAAGGGCTGTGTAGAGGAGGGCACAGGAAGATGGGCCCAGCAGGAGAGGCCCAGGAGGGCTTCCTGGAGGTGGTGATGCCTGTGCTGTTCGGAAAAAGAAAAAGGAATTAACCAAGGAAATAGGCTTGTAGAGAGGAGGCAGGACAAACAGAGGAGGCAGCGGGGACACAAACCTGGAAATGAGAAAGACTGTGGTCGGTGTAGGAAGCAGATGTGATCTGGGAGTGCAGGGTTCTGGGGGGCCATGGAGAGTGACTGGGGAGTGCAGCTCCGTCTGCAGCATCCAAACATTCCTCTGCTGGGGCTGTCTTTTATTACTATTATTATTATTATTAACTGGGTTCTCAAGGTATGTGGGGTCAACCCCAATGACTTTCTCCCCTATTCATTTACTTATTGATATGACAAATACTTACTGAACTCGGACTAGGGACAGATCAGTGAACAAAACAGGTGATTCCTGCCCTTGTGGGGCTTGTCTTCCCCCATGAGATTAGACAATAAACAGTGACCGCGGTAAGCTACGAGGTACGTTGGGAGGTGCCAGGCGCCATGGAGAAGAAGGAGAGCTGGAGCAGGGTGAGGGAATCGGGCTTGCCAGGCAGTCAAGGGAGCCTCATTGGGGAGGTGACATTTGAACATCCCCTTGATGGAGGTGACAGTGTGCATCACGCAGGTGTTTGCAGGAAAAGCTCTCCAGATGGGGGCAACAGCTCACCCAGAGCCCTGGGATGGGAACCTGCTGCACATCCAGGAACAGCGTGCGGTTAGGAGGAGGTGATGTCACAGAGTCGCTGGGGCCAGGTCAGGCAGGGCTTGTCAGTCAATGTCAGGGCTGCAGCAGGATGGGCACCTGGTAGGTTCTGAGCCAGGAAGAGGCATGGTCTGAGTTAGCATTTAAAAGGATGCCCCTGGGCCAGGCATGGTGGCTTGTGCCTATAATCAGGCAACCGGGGCTGAGGGTGACAGAGGTGGACCAGTTAGGAAGCTACTACAGTGATCAGGTGAGGGATGAGGGTGGCAGTCAGGGTGGCGAGGAGTGGGCAGATTCTGGACAGATTTTAATAGTCGAGCCAACTGGATTTGCAGGTGGGTCGGCTGTGGAGTGTTAGAGAAGGGAAGATCGAGGGTTCAGGGTTCTAGCCTGAGCAGGAGCGTGAACTTAGTGAGCTGGGAAGGAGGAAGGGGTGGGTGTTCCTGCCAGGACCTGGTAAGTTGACATGTCTGTTAGACAACCAGGTGTGGATGTCAGGAAGGCAGCCAGGGGTCCAAGAGTCTGGGAGGGTGGCGGGGGTGGGGTGTGTGTGTGGGGGAGTGGGGTGTGTGGAGGATGGGGGGGAGGTGGGGAGTGGGGTGTGTGTGGGGTGGCCTGGAGCTACAAATCTGGGAGCTGTCTGCCTGGAGGTAGACTGTGAAGCCACTCCAGGCTTGAGCCTGTGTCAATCACCCCCTCCCGCCAGAGCCACCTCAAGAAGATGCTGTTCATGGTCCGATTTGGGGACCGCAGGACACGGATGAACTGGGTCCACGTGCACAATCTGGTGCAGGCCCACATGCTGGCAGCGGAGGCGCTCACTGCAGCCAAGGGCTACGTGGCTGTGAGTCTGCATTAATGTCCTCCCTGCCCCCAACCCAGGGCTGCAGCAGGCAGGGGGCCCATCCCCGTCCAGAGGGTGTCCCTGGCCCACACAGGATTTCCCCAGCTGGAAGCTGGCTGGCAGGGCTGGAGGCCAAGGGAGGCTTGGGGTGGGGTTCTTTGTGGAGCATCTTTAGCTCTGCACAGTGACCCTGGGAAGCAGGTGTTGTTGATCGCAGAATAACAGTCACCAAGTGCTAAGCGATTACATACACTGCCACATTCAATCTTCACAACACCCCAACAGGGAGGTCCCATAATTATCCTCCCATTTCTCAGATACAGAAACTGAGGTACAGAGAGATTAGCACTTCCATCGAGGTCACACAGCTAGACAGTGTGGTGGCCCCAGAATTCACAGGGAATGGCCCAGGTCTGTCCCCAGGCTGCTCAAGAGAACCAGGGGTTGGAGCAGCTGCCAGGAGCCACCTGCAGGTCGGGGCCGGACTGGTGAGCAGGTGCCTGACTGTCCCCCTCCTGTGTGTCCCCTTCAGAGTGGGCAGGCGTACTACATCAATGACGGGGACAGCATCAACCTCTTCGAGTGGATAGCCCCACTGGTAGGTGCCCCGCCACCCGCCCCCACCCCTGTTCTCCTCCTGTCATCCTTTCCAACTTCCAAAAACTAGCATTTCACAATGAAAACCAGCTCTGGCTATAGTGTCCACTAGGTGACATTGGAACTAGCTAGAGCTGGGTCGTGGCTGCCCTTAGGGTGGCCATGTGCTCTGCACTTTGGCACCACTCCCTTCCAACCTCTTCCCAATCCGTGCTGGCTCTATGTTGTGACGCGGCACACTGTGTGTCAGGCTCCCAGGAGATTCGTGGAAAGAAGGCGGACCCAAGCACTGGGAGGCGTTCGGCCCTGGGGCATCCTGTCCTGAACCGCCCCCGCCCCCACCTTCTAGAACTCTTACCTCCTCTCTGAGCAGCCCAGCCACCGTGGCCTTTGCCATCTTTCTCTGAGCCAGGCCTGCTGGGAAGGGGTGGACCAGAGAGCCCGGGTTGGAGCACATGTCCTCAGGGCTCATTCATGCCTCCAGACTGTTTTCCCTTTCCCTCTCAGCTCTTGCACCCACACAGGTTTGGTTTTGTTTAACTAACAGCCTTATTGGCCGGGTGCGGTGGCTTATACCTGTAATCCCAGCACTTTGGGAGGCTGTGGCAGGAGGATCGCTCAAGGTCCGGAGTTTGAAACCAGCCTGAGCAAGAGCAAGACCCCATCTCTACTATAAATAGAAAGAAATTAATTGGCCAACTAAAAATATAGAAAAAATTAGCCGGGCATGGTGGCACATGCCTGTAGTCCCAGCTACTTGGGAGGCTGAGGCAGGAGGATCCCTTGAGCCCAGGCGTTTGAGGTTGCTGTGAGCTAGGCTGACACCATGGCACTCTAGCCTGGGCAACAGAGTGAGACTCTGTCTCAATAAAAATAAATAAATAAATAAATAACAGCCTTATTGAAACACAATTCACATACCACACAACTCACCTGCTTAAATCTTACAACTCAGTGGGTTTTTAGGGTATTCACGGAGTTGTGCAACCATTGCCATAGTATTAGAATATTTCATCATCCTGAAAAAAACAAAACAAAGACCGGTACCCTTTAGCCCTGCCGCTACCCTACACCCTCCTCACCCCTGACAACCACTGATCTGCTTCTGTCTCTGTGGATTTGCCTCTTCTGGACGTTTCCCACTGATGGAATTGTGTGCAGCATGTGGCCTTTTGTTCAGCTTTTTTGGCTTAATTTTCAAAGTTCGCCCATGAGGAAGCTTGTATCATGTCAATACTCCATTCCTTTTTATTGCCAAAAGAACATTCTATTGTATGGATATACCACATTTTGTTTTATCCATTCATCAGTTGGTGGAAATTTGGGGTTTCCCACTTTGGGGCTATTATGAATAGTACAGCTCTGCACATTTGTGTACCTGTCTTTGTGTGAACATGTGGTTTCATTTCTCTGGATATGTAATAGGAGTGGAATTGCCGAGTTAGATGGTAACTCTAAGTTTAACCTTTTTAGAGACTGCCACACTGTTTTCCAAAGTGGCCGCACTATTTTACATATCACCAGCAGCATACGGGGCTTCCAATTTCTCCACATCTTGCCAACTGTGTGTCTCTGTGGCCTGGAGAGGTTTTACAGAAGCGGAGAGCTCACCCCGTCTCTGCATGTGTCTGCTGCCACCCTCCACTCACATGCTGCAGTGTTGTGTTTTTCTTGAATAGAAGAAAAGTCAATTCTAGAAAAATCAGATTCTACCTAAGTGCCTTGCGGTGTCATTAGGTGTAGACAGATGGAAGTATAACTGCATAATGTGAATGAGTGCAAGTTAAAAGCCCACCACATGCATGCAGTTCCTACTTGAGTTCTCTGGGTCAAGGTGTAGGGTTTTTTTTGTTTTTTTTTTTTGAGACAGAGTCTCACTTTGTTGTCCAGGCTAGAGTGAGTGCCGTGGCGTCAGCCTAGCTCACAGCAACCTCAAACTCCTGGGCTCAAGCGATCCTCCTGCCTCAGCCTCCCGAGTAGCTGGGACTACAGGCATGCGCCACCATGCCCGGCTAATTTTTTATATATATATCAGTTGGCCAATTAATTTCTTTCTATTTATAGTAGAGACGGGGTCTCGCTCTTGCTCAGGCTGGTTTTGAACTCCTGACCTTGAGCAATCCGCCCGCCTCGGCCTCCCAAGAGCTAGGATTACAGGCGTGAGCCACAGCGCCCGGCCAAGGTGTAGGTTTTATTTCAAGACTGGCACAGGCTTGGCGCTGGCTCTGGGGTCTGCCCCCTTGGGTGGGTGGGTGAGGGGCTAGGAGGAGCATGTGGCCTTTTCACACCAGCCCTTGAATAACCTGTTCTCATCTCAGAGCATATTTCCTTGCAGTTTGAGAAGCTGGGGTACAGCCAGCCCTGGATCCAGGTGCCTACTTCCTGGATTTACCTGACAGGTAAGGAAAGGAGCCCTCCCTGTGCCAGGTGTAACCCAGGGCTGGGACTGGCATGAGGTCAGTGGGGCACTGAGGGCACAAAATTTAAGGAGGCTGTACAAGTGAACTCGCAGGGTCCTGGGAGCAAGTGTCTCTTTAAATCTCACACCTTAGGCGCCACCTGGCCTCCTCCCAACACTATTCCACTTGCAAGGCAGTTATGATTGGCCCATTATAAAGATGTGGTGACTGAGGCTCTTTGAGTGGCCAACTCCCTGTGGCCTTGCTGGAAGGCATCATGCCAGTCAGCAGAGGGAGCCCTGATCACCTTGAGGTCACCTTGAAGTTCGGCTGCTTTTAGACATGGGGAGGCTCCATTTGACCCTAGATTCTCCTCCAGTCCCTGAAGGTCAGTCTCTGCCCCCGCCCTGCCCCCAACAGTGTGTTCTGGCCACTGCCCTGTTCTCCCACCCCCAGCACCTGGCTGCTGGCCTCCTTCCGGCTGGAGTGTAGAGCAGGCATCTGGCCTGGAGTGACCCGCCAGAGGGGATAGGTGGCCCTCAAGTAGGAAATTGCTGTGTTTCTGGAACTCCTTGGCTAGATCTGCTACATTTTAAATGCATTGAAATGCTTGCCATTGAACACAAGGGCTTGCAAACTTGGGTCCCAGCCCTGGGTGAGGGCACTTGTGCTAACTGCCAGGCACAGCTGCTCCACCCAGGCTACACACTGGAGTCATCTGGGAGCTTTTAAAATGGACAAACATGCTCGCTTTGGCAGCACATATACTAAAATTGGAACAATACGGAAAAAATTAGCATGGCCCCTGTGCAAGGATGACACACAAATTCGCGAATCATTCCATATTTTTAAAAAACAGTGGTGATCTAGCACGTCTTGTATTACCCTGAATAGAGGTGGAGGGCTCCATTCTCCTAAGTGAAGTATCACATGAATGGAAAAACAAGCACCACGTGTACTCACCACCAAATTGGTACTAACTGATCAACGCTTATGTGCACATATGGTAGTGACATTCATCAGGCATTGGGTGGGTGTGGGGGGAGGAGGGGATGGCTATATTCACACCTAATGGGTGCTGTGCCCACTGTCTGGGGGATGCTTGAAGCTCTGACTCAGGGGGGGGAGGGGGGCAAAGGCAATATATGTAACCTGAATATTTGTACCCCCGTAATATGCTGAAATAAAGTAAAATGGAGAAACGCCTCCGCCACACCCCAGACCAGTGACAGCAGGATCTGTGGGGGGGAGGGTGTGGGAGAGAAGTGGCCTTAGCATCTTCTAAAGTGGTCCAGTGTGCAGCCCAGGCTGAGAAGCCTCACTCCAGCCCCTCCCTGCCCTCCTCAGGGGAGCATACTGGAATAGAAAAGAGATAGATTTTTAGCGATAACTTTGAATCTACCCAGATTTATTTAAAAATGTCAGTCCTTTACTATTAATACCCAGTTCCTTATGACATATTTCACAGCTAAACAAGGCACCCCAGTCTGGGCTGCTGATGTAAAGGAATTCAATGACTTTTGCAAAGTGACCCCTAGAAGAGCAAATAAATGCCCCCAATTGCTCTATCCCCGAGGGCTTCCCTGCAGTTTGCATGAAGCGAGGCCCCTGGTCATGGCCCCTCCCTCCCCGCAGCCTCTGTGATGGAGCATGTGCATCTGGCCCTGAGACCCATCTGCAGTGTCCCTCTGCTGCTCACCCGGAGTGAGGTAAGTGGCTGTGGCCATGGGAACCCCCCAGCCCTGCTGTGCTCCCCTCCCTTCCTCTCTGCCTCTCCCTCACCCCCACTGCGGCCACTCCTCACCCCTGTGACACTGTGACTGGATGCGCGTCTGAGGTCTCATAACTTTCCTTGTGGGCCCAAAGCTGGTGCTAGCTCCATTACAGTCACCTCGACCTCTGGGCTTTTGCTGAGGCTGTGCCCTCTCGGTCTGAAATGTGGCAGCTCCAAGCCCATCTCTCAGCCCTGTTATTTCATCCATAAGCAGCTTATCCTTCCAGCAAGACTGCAGGCCCCCAAAGGCGGGTTTCATGCCTTCGCTGTTTTGAATGCCACCAACCAACGCCACCAACTCTCAACACACACACACACAAACTCTCACACAGAGCCTGGTGGTCCTTTGCTCATAGTTCATGCTTACTGAATGATAAGTACATATTAAGTACTTATTGCATACAGAGTACTATTCTCATGATAATAATGATGTAGGTGTATATTCGCTTAGTTTAAAAAGAGAATGTTTGGGCTGGGCACAGTGGCTCATGCCTGTAATCCTAGCACTCTGGGAGGCCAAAGCAGGAGGATGGCTTGAGGTCTGGAGTTCAAGACCAGCCTGAGCAAGAGCGAGACCCCATCTCCACTAAAAATAAAAAAAATTAGCTGGGCACGGTGGTGTGAGCTTGTAGACCCAGTTACTAGGGAGGCTGAGGCAGAAGGATCCCTTGAGCCCAAGAGTTTGAGGTTGCTGTGAGCTAGGCTGACACTACTGAATTCTGGCCTGGGCAACAGAGTGAGACTCTGTCTCAAAAAAAAAAAAAACATGTTTGAATTACAGATTATAAACAGTAAGGCAATAGGAGGCATTTGGGGTTATTTGCAAAATCCTACCAGTGCACTGCCCCTTTTGATTCTCTCTAACACTCTGCTAGGTTAGGAAGGGCTGGAAGATAATGATCTCCATTTTATGGTGATAAACTGAGGATTAGAGAAATTAGTGACTTGTCCAAGGTCACACTATACAGGAATTGGTCTCAGACTCCAAGTCCAGTGCTCTCTAACCCAGGGAATGGGGGGTCGGGTATAGAATGGGCCATCAGAAGCAGTTACCTATGGTTTCTCCTTTGAGCCAGGCAGACTAGGAGAGGCCAGAGAATGATGACAGTAGTGACTATTGGTATGCCAGACACTGCGCTTTATCTCCATTAATCTTCATTACTACTCTAAGTTGTAGATCCTGTTATCATCTCCATTTACAGAGGAGGAAGCGAGACACAGTGAAATAACCTGTCCACTAGTCCTAAATGATTTCTAGCTTAACCACTAGCTTGTGAAATGCATCAGAAATTACATCCATGTAAAATAGCTGCCAACGTGCTGCAGAGTTGTGGTCAGGCAGGGACTCAGCTCCCTCCCTCCTGTCTAAATTATGGGTTTCCTTGTTCAGTTCAAAGGCAAAGAATCCTTAACTGGGGAAGTATCTCCGCTGTGCCTCTGGCTCCCTCTGCTGGTCAGTCTGCGACGCACCAACCAGCCTCTAGTTTCAATCTATATATACGCCTTTCATGCATTTAACATTTATTGAGCCCCTACTGTGTACCAGGTACTGAGTAATGCAGGCAAGAAGACAAAGTCCTTACCCCAGGGAGTTCACAGTCCAAAGGGGAAGACAGCCCATTAACCAGGCAACTCAATGATACATTGTGATAAGATCTCTAGTAGGGGAAATTTCGAGGAACTTTGCAGCACACAGAAGGGGCACCTAAGTCAACTCTGAGGAAGTCAGGGCGGCTCCCCAAAGGAGGTGACGTCTAAGCCTGAGATCTGTGCCCAGGGACTCTGCTGATCTAATTTATCTCAGCTGTAATAAGCCTACCTGAGCGCTCCCCAAACCCTGCACTTACTGGCTGGGGCAAAAAGGACAAGAACTAGCCTCTCTCCTCACCTGCTCCAGCATCCATGACCAGGGGGTGGCCCCCAGGGGCTCTTCTCCAGGGTCTGCCTGGCGAACTAGAGAGGAAGAAATCAACCCAGTAGGAGGGCATCTCCAGGCCCCAGCATAGCAGGGAAGAATTTAGGCTAGAATCTGGCTCCCCTGTGTGACCCTGGGCAAGTCATTCAACTTCTCTGATCGTTATCCAAACATGCAAAGCAGAGAGGATGCTAGTGCCACCTCAGAAGATAAAAATGAGGTAAGATATAGAAAGGACTTAGCCCAGGCCAAACACAGGGTGTGCGCTCCGTAACTGGTAGCTGTCATTATTATTCTAGAAGCCGGTGGGCCCCAGGCCATCTGGCAAGCCCCAGAAACTCTGCTCAGACCCTGGGGAGAAATCAGTTCTGCACAATTGAATTCCTCTCGTAGGGAAGCTTAATTAGCGAGCGCGTTAAGGCTGCGCCCGGGCCCGCCTGGCCACAGCTGGTCTGGGGCCCGGGCAGGCGGCCACAGCCTGTCCTGGAGACATATTTCTGGCGGGCGTCAGGCTTCTCCAGCGGATGCCTAGGAATGTATCGAGGGCCTCCCGAGTGCCAGTGCCCCGCTAGGCCCGGAAGGGACGCACAGAGGTGGGGCCTTCGCTTCCCGGAGGCGGAGGAGCTCAGCAGGGGCGAGTTGAGCGGGGCGGGCGCGGGAGGCAGAGGCGGCCTCCGGGACGCGGCGGCGAAGGACGCGCCCCTCCCGCTAGCCCCGCCCCCGGCTGCCCCGCCTCTCCCGCAGGTGTGCAGTGTGGCCGTGACGCACACCTTCCAGATCGCCAAGGCCCGCGCTCAGCTCGGCTACGCGCCCGACAAGTTCAGCTTCTCCGACGCCGTGGAGCGGTACATGCAGTCCTCGGCCCCGCGGCAGCGCGGCTCCACCACGCGGGCGCTCCTGCGGCTGCTGCTCGGGCTGCTGCTCCTCGGCCTGCTCGCCCTGGCCCTGCACTACCTGTGCCTGCAACCCCTGCGGGCCGCCACGGAGCGCCTCTGACCGTGGGCCGCCCGCCGGGGCCCGGCCTGCGCCACCCACCCTCTCCCACGCCCCGGATGCGCCCGCAGACCCAGCCTCGCTCCCTCTGCGTTCTGGCCCCGCCCCCTGGGCTCGGGCACGCCTCCCGGGTCCTGGGCACGCCCCCGAGCCCTGGCCACGCCCATGCCTCGCTCTCTGGCGGGGCGGGTTACTGACAAGGTCCTGGCCTCTCAGCCTGCTCCGCCTCCGGGACCTCCTCCTTCCTGCCAGTCCGGCCACGCCCCGGATTCCCCGTCTCCCGGGGTTCCGCCACCGTCCGGCCCCGCCCTCGCGCTTGGGCCCACCCCTAGGTTTCTCATCCGGGGACTGGCCTTGCCCTCCCTCTGGGTCCAGTCCTTCCCAGCCCGGCCCCCTGGGCGGGCTCCATCCGCTGGCGCAGGCTGGGTCGGCGCTTGTGGCTTGCGCTGCCTGCTGCCGCTTCTGGGGAGAGTGGGCCCTCCTCGCTGCCCGAGTTTCTCTGGGCTGACCCGAGATCGTCTCGGAATCCTGGATTAGACCCATTCTAGTAACTTTGCGTTTGATCCGCCCTGCCCCAGAAGTTCCGGGTTCGTCGCTCCTTCCCAGATGTCCCTGTGTGTTGATGGCCAGGGCGTGGAGGGACACCCGAGACCCAGGCTTCTGCCCCGCCCAGCTTTGGCCTTCTAGGGTTCTGGCTTAGGAGTCTGGGGGTGACGGCGAAGTAAGCACAGCCTTCAGTCAGTACCAGGAAGGGCATCAAAAAAAAAACCTTTCTAAAGAATTGAATGTCTTGAAGAAATACCAATATGGTTATAATGGGGAAAAGTAGAGCCAAGTTGGTCATATTTTATGATTTGGCATTGTTGCTATTAATGAGGGGTGGTGGCGATCACCATTATCTTGAACGTTTAAGGCCTCGGAACTTGTTCGTCCAGCCCAGCTCTCCACAGAAACGGCCTCCTTATCATCTTGGTATCAGTCGTAGGTACCAAGACATCAGAGTGTAAATACATCCATGTATATACATCGTCATATGCACGCGTGGAACTGGCTGAGCAAACCGTGGGTCCTGGCCGAGGAGAAACCCATCACAAACGGGGGGGAGGGGAATGAATGTGCTAATCAGAGTCCCACTCTGCTGGGCTGGAAGACAGTTTGTGAAGGAGCTAAAAAATGTATGCTCCTCTCTGCCGGGATGAATGGCATGTGCGTATGTAATATTTTGAAGAATAATAATCCTTTATGTCTGTTTAATGCTTAATATTTTGAAAGAGCTTTCATTTATATGATCTTATTTAATTCTTAGGGCCACTTGTCAATAGGGCTTATTATTCCTGTTTTATAGATGAAGAAACTGGGAATTTGTCTATCTTCAAAGAGCAGAGGAGGGTGGGAATTACTGCTCCTCAGCTGGGAGGATTTGGAGGAGCTGCCCAAGGCCCACTGGCCTCAACACAACACATAGTTATTCCTACTCTTCCACACCCTGGCCAGGTTAGGGGCCTGCACTGCAGAACATTCGCCACAAGTGTAATTAATGAAATTACAATGTCTGTAAACTCTACAGGTTTGAAAACGACTGCCCTGTGGCCTCAGGACAAACTGGGTACCTGGCACATGGTGGCCCTTCGTAAATAATTGGTGAATGAATACATAAGGATGCCTTACGCTAAGCCTGAAGACCAAGTAGGAGGTGAATCAATGAAGCTAAGGCCCTCGGGGGTGTCGTTGAGTTTGACACCCAGGCGTGGGGCCGGACCTCTGCTACCCCAGCCCCTCTCCACAGTGTCACCTGACACCTCTTCTACCAACAGAGGTTTAAGGGGTCAGCCGGGGCCCTCTGAAGGACACAGAACAGGCCAGAAAGGGACCCTTCCTAACTCATGATTACAATCACTCCCACCTAACCTTTTCCTTGGGAGATAAAGAGACCCATTCGCCGTGGCCTCAGGCCTGGAAGCATTAAAGTCCCAGGCAGGCTGTTGGGAACTTTTCAAGGTAGTCCAGATGTTTTCTCCTGGAAGAAACAGCGAGCAATTTTTTTGTTTTGTTTTAAGGGAGTGGGATTGGTGGGTGAAAGAGATCTTTGTATACCGGGCTAGAGAGTAAGAGCCTATGATGCAGTTTCTTCCTTTTCTCCTCCCTTATCCCTTCCATTAAAAAAAAAATTAAGCGTCAGAAAGGAGAAGAAGGGGAGAGGGAGTGGGAAAGAATGACATAAAGAGGTTGAAGGACGTGGGGGCTGGAAAAGTGAGACCACCTCGGTGTGGCAGCGGTGGGATTCGAACCCACGCCATCGAAATGACTGGAGCCTAAATCCAGCGCCTTAGACCACTCGGCCACGCTACCTCCCGTGCGTAGCGCTTTCCTCCCAAGCTATATTAGACTGATGACGCAGCGTCTCGTGCTGTGTGACCCCGCCCCCATAGATTTGCGCGTGCCCGATAAGGAACAAGCGGTTCCCGCGCCTATCATTGCACATCAACCCCTGGCGTCCTTCGGAGCCTTCAAGTCACAGTGCTCTGGTAGTCGCAGCAATAAATACGGTGGGAACGCACCACTAAAAAGGAAAGAGGACTTCAGAATTGTAAAACGTTATATATATTTTTTTATTTCAGCATATTATGGGGGTACAAATGTTTAGGTTACGTATATTGCCCTTGCCCCACCCGAGTCAGAGATTGAAGCCCCCAGACGGTGCGCATCGCACTCATTATGTCTGCATATGCCCATTCCGCCCCGCCACCCGCCCGACGCCCGATGAATGTCATTCCCGTACGTGCACTTAGGTTACGGCGTTAATATTCACTCTTCGCATGTGTGTTTGCATTTGATTTTTGCGTTTTCCGTGGCTGCGACGCTGCCTACAGCCACCTGGGGGCGGTGCCGCGCTGCCGCTTCCTCCCGGCTGCACTGCGGGTCCCGCTGGGAACCCCGGTTTGCACCGAACCGGGCGGGGACCGCGTTGATGACTCTGTACTCCCACTTCACGTCGCCTCTGCAGCCCTGGGTGGCCTCGTGGCCCGGCCCTTCACCTGGCGATGTTGAGAATCCCGGGTCCGGGGTTGGAAAATATCGTCGAACGTTGTTACAGATCCTGTGCACGCGCGGGGTCCCTCGGCCACAGCGACTAGACCATCCCCGTGTCGCACAGGAGGAAACAGAGCGGCTGAGTAACTCGGCTCAGGTGCCCCAGCCACAGCCAGCATTCCCAGCCTCCCAAGACCCTTGTTCTTCTCTGCAGACTATTTCAGTGTTTTTAAGAAAAAATACAATAGATACAGAGTGCAACATGGCAAAACTCCACTTCCTGTCATTCAGAATTAATTATTAACATTTTGCCTATTTGCTTCAAATCTTTTTAAATAAAAACTAAAATGAGCACTGTAGATAAAATCCAAGTCTCCTTTGATATCCCAAGTTCTAGTCCCCTTTCTTCTTCCTCAGGAGTTTCAAATCTTTTCACCTCACTTACGGTTATCCCTTTCCTTGAATGTTTAAGGAAAAATGGCAAACAAAAATCCAGTGTTGTAAAGACAGCCCGGTAAGTGGGTGTGGTAGGTGGAATAATGGCCCCCTCAAAGATGTCCACATCCAAATCTTCACAATTTCTAACTATGTTACCTTATGTGGCAAAAGAGACTGTGCACGTGTGATTAAATTAAGGATCTTCAGATGGGGAGAGTTTCCTGGATTACGCAGGTGGTCCCAATGTAATCACAAGCATCCTCATAAAAAGGAGGCAGGCCTTAGAGAAGGAGACATAATGATAGAAGAAGAGGTTGGTCTGAGTGAAGCAGCCACAGGCAAGGAATCTGGGCTGTCCCAGGAAGCTGGAAAAGGTAAGGAAGCGGATTCTCCCCTAGGGCCTCCAAAAAGGAACACAAGGTTTCGGACACCTTGATTCTGGCCTCCGGAATAACTACAAATTTGTGTTGTTTTAAGCCGCTAAATCTTGTGGCAATTTGTTACAGCAGCGAAAGGAAATGAATACAGTGGGTACTGCCATGGGCTTGGGAATCACACAGCCTGAGCTTGTACTCGCGAGTGTGGCCCTGGGAAAGTCACTTCTCTCTGGGCCCCAGCTGCTCATCCCTGTAATGGAGTGGCAACTATAATACCCACCTCAGGGGATTTGCTGGGAGAATTCAATTCATTCATTCTGCAAGTATTTCTTGAGTACCAACAATGTGCCAGGCACTGTTCTGGTCATATCAGAGAATGGAGTGGACACAGATTAAATGTGCTAATACATGCCAAGCATGTAGGCCAATCTCTGACATGTTAGGAGCAGGGTGATCATTGTGACTTCTGAGACCTGAGTTCTCCTCTCCCTCCAGGTATCTCCAGGCACTCACCACAAGAGTACTTATAGGGACGCTGGTCACTTGCTGGTATTCCACATACATCTCCCCAGCCCACTGCAAGTCAGTATCAGTCTCTCTCCCAGGCTGGTATGGGGCCCTGCCACAATGTCAACTCCAGGAGGGCAGGTAATGGTGTCTGGTCACCCACTGCTATACCCTCATTACCTACAATGGTGTTGGCATTACGAATATTGCTTGGCAAAAATGGTTTTGGACTCTTGGTTAAGGCCACAGCATCTTGCCACATGAACTTCGAGCCAGAGGCCAATGCTCTGGCTGGAGCTGCTGACATAAAAACTCACAGAACTTTTATCTGGATGTGACCAGACTGGCCTGCTGTTTTGGACGCTCAACCCCTGTAGCCACAGGAGGAAATAGGAGTTCTCTTTAGGAAATTCCCCCACAATTACTCAAAGTATTCTTCAGTAGTTGGACCATTTGCTAACAGCACTGTGCCCCTCAACTAACTCACTTTCTCTCTCTCTCTCTCTCTCTCTCTCTCTCTCTCTCTCTCTCTCTCTCTCTCTCTCTCTCTCTCATAATGTAATGCAGGTCAACATTTATTCTGCACCTACTAAGCAGGCCAAAAGCAGGCCTTGGGGTGGTGGAGAGAGCTGTTTCTGGAGCTGCTCAGAGTTTCTTTTCTAACAGCGGAGGCAAGGCCAGCAGTTCATCTGCTCCACCCAGCATTTCTCCAGGGGCCCAGCCTCCCTGCTGGCCTCCCACAGTCCTGCTGACTAGGAATCTCTGGTGATTTATGCCTTCAAGGGCGAGGCTCATATGCAAGGCAGCTCATATGCAAAGCCCAGCCACAGCCAGGCAGGGGTGGGGAGGCCACAGAAACCAGAGCAACTGGGATCTGTTTAGGTGTGTGTGTGTGTTTATGTAACATTTAAAAATAACTTTTGCAAAACTAATGTGTTTTCCTTGTTGAAACTTAAGCAAAGACAGAAAAGCACACATAAGAAAATAAAATCACATTTCATTTCTCTACTTAAACCCTGTCCATGCTTTGATAAAGGAAGCTGTTTTTTGTCTCTTTAAATATGAAATGTAATGCATGATCATTATACATTTTTTTAAAATGTCAAATCCAGGCCAGGTACAGTGGCTTACACCTGTAATCCTAGCACTTTGGGAGGCCGAGGCAGGAGGATTGTTTGAAGCCAGGAGTTCTTGCTATAGCCCAAGCTGGTCTTGAACTTGTCTCTACAGAAAATACAAAAATTAGCCAGGCATGGTGGTATGCATCTGTAGTCTCAGCTACTAAGGAGGCTGAGGCAGGAGGATCTCTTGAGCCCAGAAGCTTGAGGTTGCAGTGAGCTATGTTGACACTACTGTATCTAGCATTCAACAGAGTGAGACCTGTCTCAAAAAAGTCAAATCACAGGTATAAAGTTAAAAGGGAAATTCTGTCCCTTACCATGGTCTTCCTTTACAACCAAATCCCACAGCTCAGAAGTAACCACTGTAAAACAGTTTGGCATGCATCCTTCCAGATCTTTTCCTATGCAAATGCATGGACACATGGACCCAGAGACTCAAACATGCCCCACCTTCATCCTGCGGTTTGCCTTAGACAGGGGAGGGGAGGAACAGACCATCTAAAAGAAGAGTGGTCATCTCATAGCTTCTGCAAGTTTTTCTGCAGCTACAGGCAGGTCATCCAGATGGCTCCGTGGCTCTGTGAGGGCATTTCTCGTGTGTAGTGTAGTAGGCCCAGGACCTCCTGAGCCAAGGAGGACTGTCATGCTGCTGCTTAAAAACATACAACCGAAGCCCACTGTGGACAGGGAATTTGAGCAGTTAACATCTTAGGAACCAGATCCCGCCTACGGTACCCGTGGCCAGTGCAGTTTTCCAACCATCTCTGTGCTAATAGGAGGATTATATCCTCCTCTTTGTAGTTGGGAACAGCCACAAGAGTGTGACTGGACTAGAGCGTGTAACAGCTGCGGCACTGTTCCCTGTGATCTCTCTTCTGCTGCTGCTGCACCATGGCGAGGTAGAGACACCATGAGCTTTACCACGATATAATTCACATACCATGCCGTTCACCCATTTAAAAGTATATAATTCAGTGGCTTTCAGCATACTCGCAGAGCTGTGCAACCAGCACCGCAATCAGTTTAGGGCACTTTCATCACCCCAAAGAGGAAACGCTATACCTGTTAGTAGTTAGTCTTTTTCTAGCCCCTGGTAACCGCTAATCTACTTCTGTCTTCATGGACTGTCCTATTCATTGATACAAATGAAATCATATGTTTTTTGTGTGTCTGGCTTCTTTCATTCATATAGCATGTTTTCAAAGTTCATCCATGTTGGAGCATGTATCCGTATTTCATTTTTATTGCCAAATAATATTCTCTTGTATGGACATACCACATTTTTTTTTTTTTTTGAGACAGAGTCTCGCTTTCTTGCCTAGGCTAGAGTGAGTGCCGTGGCGTCAGCCTAGCTCACAGCAACCTCAATCTCCTGGGCTCAAGCGATCCTACTGCCTCAGCCTCCCGAGTAGCTGGGACTACAGGCACGAGCCACCATGCCCGGCTGATTTTTTTTATATTATATATATTAGTTGGCCAATTAATTTCTTTCTATTTTTATGGTAGAGTCGGGGTCTCGCTCAGGCTGGTTTTGAACTCCTGACCTTGAGCAATCCACCGGCCTCGGCCTCCCAGAGTGCTAGGATTACAGGCGTGAGCCACCGCGCCCGGCCGACATACCACATTTTAATTATCTATGCATCAGTTGATGGCCACTTTGGTTGTGTCACTTTTTAGCTATTACAAATAATGCTGCTATGAACATTTTTGTATCTGTTTTTGTGTAGCATATGTTTTCATTTCTCTTGAGTATATACCTAACAGGGCAATTGCTGGCTTATAGAGTAACTCCGTGTTTAATTTTTTGAAGAACTGCCAAACTGTTTTTCATTTTTCATTCCTTTCAGCAGTGTATGATGGTTCCAATTTCTCCACATCATCCCTGACACTTGTTATTATCTGAGTTTGTGATTATAGCCATCCTAGTGAATGTGGTTTTGATCTGCATTTTCTTAATGGCTAATGCTGTCTAGAATCTTTTTATGTCCTTATTGGCCATTTGTATATTTTCTTTGGAGAAATGTCTATTCAAACTCTTTGCTCATTTTTTTTCCTTTTTTTTCTTTTTTAAATTTATTTTTGTTCTTTTTTGCAGGATAAAACATTTGCATTTGCTTATTTTTAATTGGGTTATTTATCTTTTTATTATTGAGTTATAAGTTCTTTATATATTCTAGCTTCAAATCCCTTATGAGATATGATTTGCAAATATTTTTTCCCATTCTATGTTGTCCTTTCACTTCCTTGATGGTGTCATTTGCATCCTGTAGGTTGAGTCCCACAGACATGGGGACTTTGCTCCTCAAAGTTGAAGAGTGGATCTTTGTCCATGTTAGGAAGAGAGGCAGCCTTAGGAAGGGGATCTCAGCGTGGAATTGGACTGTGCCAACAAAGGGTCCCCAGTGAAGGGTTTACTATCATTCATTCCTCTTGCACACAGCAACTTTGCAGTCCAGTTTTAACTTTTTTCTCCTGTTACTGTGAAAGACTCAGAGTGATATACCTCATTGGTCTGATAGGTCACATGGTCATCCCTGAACCAACCAATGGGGCTAAAGGGATAGGATGTGCTGATTGGCCAGATATGGTCATGTGTTCACTTTGGGCAAAGCCATAGAGCTTTAAGTTAGTTGACTGGGGTTTTTTTTGTTTGTATTTTGTTTTTTTAAACAATCTTGCTTTAGGTTGGACAGACTTAACCTCTTTGATCTCCTCATTCTGTCTGACTTCCTCAGGGTCAGAATTTCAGGAGCAATTTTGTCGTTTGCCCGAAGCCATTTTTTTTTTATCTTTTGGGGGTTATCAATGGGGGGGAATTGTGTTCTTTAGAGAGCCCTAACTTTGCAATCAAAAGTCTGAATTTAGTGCAAGCTCTATCCTCTCCTGGCTGTGTCACCTGGGGCAAGTCATATCTTCAAGCCTCAGTTATATGATCTGTAAAATAGAGCTAATGACACCTTCCTACCTCGGAGAGTTGGTGTGAAGATGAAATGAGATAAATCTCTCAATAAATGTCACTGTCATTATTTTTATACCTAAAATATAATTTGTGAATTCTATTTTCTATTTGTGAATTCTATCCTACTTTTCTAGATTTCATTAGAAAAGTATCAGGAAGGATATAATATCAAAATGTTCACTGTAGTTATTTTATTTCCTTTTCTTTTTTATCCATTCCACTCATTTCACAGGTATGTTATTAAGCACCTACTATGTGCCAGGCCCTGTGGCAAGAGTAGTTAGGAATACAGCAAAGTACAAAACAGATAAGGAATGACTAGAGGGGGAATATTAATTTTTTAAAAATTACACAAATAATTGCAATTGTCATAAATGCCTCAGGTTTTACAAAGCAGAGATCGGGAAAAAGCAAAGTATTTCTGATAAAAATATGTGAAGGTTATGTATAGAGATTTATACAAACAAGGGATGGGCTCCGATTATTAGTGATTTTGGAAAAGGCTCAAATACAGGAACGAGGCAAGTGGCAGACGGAGAATGGGGAAGCGCGGTGGAAGGGACGGGACTGGCCGTCCTTTCTCGAATGGCCCCCGCATCTCGGTGCCAGGCCGCCCCATACATTAGATCCCGACACTGTGTTTAGCAGGCCCAGGAGCCCAGCACCGGCACGGGGCGGGGAAGTCGGCTCGGCGGCTGCGGGAGAGGTGGCGGCCACTGGGGGCGGCCACGTGAGCACCTCGTGGTGCGCGCCGCCGCTGCCCCGCCCCCGCCGCCGGCTCCTGCCCCAGCCCAGCCCCAGCTCGCTCCTGCCCGGATCCCACGCCCGCTGGCCCCGTGCTGCAGCTGCCCAGCCCGGCTTGCTGTCGTCTGCGCTCTCGTCCCTGGCAGCGCCCCCCGCATCCCGGGATCGTGCTAGCAGGCCTTCGCGCCCCCCGCGCCCCTTGCACCCCGGGATCGATCCGTCCGCCCCGCGCGGCCCAGGCTGCATCCCCGGAGCGCCGGCCTGCGCCCCCGCTCGCTGCTCCCCGGCACTCTCGGGGGGCCCACCCGCCTGCACCCTGGAGCGCCGGACCGCGAGCCTCTGCCAACTCCTCTGGATCCTTGCGGCCGTGAGCAGCGGCTGCCGCGCCTGTCTGCCGGAGGGAGGTAGGTGCGGCCGGCCGGCCGGGCGGGAGGGGGACTCGATCGGGCGCTGCAGGCCCGCGCGCCCCGCTGCAGTCGGTGCCCGCCCGGGGCACGGTGGATCGGGGCTTGGGAGCGGGGCCCGAGGCGGCACGGAACGAGAATTGGGGGCGCTTCTCCTCTGCTTGTTAACTCTCTGGAGCTCAGTGTTTGCCTCTGTGACATGAGGAAGCCGTGTAGACTAATAGTGATGTGGATGGGGAAACCGGCTGGCAAGCGACGGGCCGGCTGCATTGTGGCTGGGAGAGGCAGCTCTGGGGTGCGCCCGGGGTCCTGCAGAGGGGGGATGCAGCGCTGCCTTCCTGTCCCCTGCAGGTCCCAAGGCCGCATCCCCAACCCAGTCCCCTGAACAAGAGGTCTGCGTCAGCCCGAATTCCCAGAACCTCGGGGACTGTGTAGACGCACCCTTGCTGCATTGTTGGCTGCGGGAGTTAGGTTGTTGGCAGGCGGCACTGACATGTGTGCCAGGGGGACGGGCATTAATAATCCAGTGGCCGTGCAGGGGCGGGGCCCTCCGGGTAAGCCCCGGCCTAGATCAGCCTGTGCCGGCTTGCCGGATTGGAGGAAGGAGCCCAGCCGCACCACGAGGGGGACAGATGGGCTGCATGAGGGTGGAGGGGACACTCGCAGAGAGCCTGACCTCAGTAGTGGGCACGACCTGCCTCGGGGCCACTCAGGAAAAAATACCTACAGGCAGGGAACAGCGGAGCTGGAGCCCTGAGTTCAAATTCTGACTCAGTTACAGGCTCTGTGACCTTGGATAAATTGCTTAACGTCTCCGGCCCTCAGCTTGAGAATACTCCAAGAAGAAAGTGGTTAGTATGACAACCATGTCTACAACTGGGATGAAAGCAACTTGGGCCTTAAATTGTTGCTGGATCAAATTCTTGTAGCCAGTGCTGACAGGCACGGCAAGAAGGCTTCCAATAAAGGAGTCATTAACATGCAGATAATAAAACAGAAGATGACAGTCCTCCAGCCCCCCAAAGTCCTAGGGCTGTGGAACTCCCAAAGAAGCATTTTCAAATGGCTAGAGATCGGAGGGTGGATGGTGTTCCATTCTCCAGTTGTGCAGCTTTCTAGATCTAGCAAGGACTAGCAAGCCACAGGAAGTGCCCTAAAAGTAGGTGGCTGGACTGCAGAACATTTCTCTAGGCTAGTGGTTCTCAAACTTCAGTGCACGTCGGCATGCCTTGGAGTGCTTGGTTAAACTTGGGTTCCTGGGCCCACTTCCAGAGTTTTAGTAGGTGTGGCGTGAGGCTTGAGGATTTGCGTTTCTAACAAGCTCCCAGGTGTGGCTGCTGCTGCAGCCTGGGCCCACGCTTTTAGAACCACTGGTTAAGGAAGTGATAACTGCATTGAAAGCCCTGGATTCAGCCTGCATCAACTTCCAACCCAACTTCCCTACTTTCTGGCCATGTGATTTGGGGCAAGTTACTTAACTTCTGTGTTCCTCAGTTTTCTCATCTGTAGAATGAAATTAACAGTGCCTACCTCTAGGAGTTCAGAGGAGGCTTCCTGGAGGAAGTGACATCTTTTTCATTTTTTAAAGATGGGGTCTTGCTACCTTGCCCAGGCTGGTCTCAAACTCCGGGGCTCAAGTGATCCTCCTGCTTCAGCCTCCCAAGTAGCTGGGATTATAGGAGTGCACCACTGTACCCTGCTAAGGTGACATCTAAGCCGAGACCTGAGGGATAAGCAGACAAGTTGGCCAGGGCATGAGTAGGGAGGGCAGGCTGGGGCATGTGCTGGACGGGGAGCAGGCATGTTCAAGGCCCACGGAGGAAGCAGCCCGTGTCCTCCAGGGAACTCAGAGGAGTTACACAGCAAGTTCTTTGTAAGCGATACTGAAATGCTATCAGTCTGTTTGGGGCAGGATCACAGTACAGGGGAAAACGACCAGAGTGTGGAAAATGGGCTGCTGGGATGGGCTGAAAGTGGTGTAAAGTTATTTCTGCCCACATTTCATTGGCCTGAATGCAGTCACGTGGCCCCACCTAGATGCAGGAGATGCTGGGAAATGTAGTTCCTGGCCAGGCAGGGAAGCATGAATTCCTGGTGGAAAGCCAGCTGTCTATGATACAGTGGCTTTTTCTGGCCTCTGGCCACTTCTCCCATCTCTTCTGTACTTAACTCAGCTCCACTTCACTTCACTGTGTTGGCGCATGAATTTGACAGAAGCAGCAGCTGAGGCTCAGAGAGGTGAAGTCATTTGCCCAGTATTGTTCAGCTGGTAGTGCCAGGGCACGGGGCTGTGTTTGGCCAGATCCTGCTTCTGATGTTTTTCAGGTCCTCCGTTATCCAGGCTCTCCTACTCTGGATCCCAGCTGTGTCACTGGGCTAACTAATCCCCTTGTAACTACAACACAATAGTCCTTCTGCTCCTCCACCCCCACCTGCAGTGCCCCAGACATCAGCAGGAAATTGCCAGCTTTTCTCCAGTTCCTCGTTTGTTCATGCAACATGCCCTTATTTATTTATTTTACCTTCATATAGCTTGACTACACTTATGCATTTATGACATGCACTTATGCAGACATCGTGCTCTGGGCTGGGAAGCTGGAGAAGAATAAGACAGGGTCCCTTTTGTTGAAGACACTCACATGGTCTGGCCACAGAAAGGGCTATGTAAACACAGCTAATGTGAGAAGTGAGACATGCTGCATCCCTGGTCGGACCTGCTAGAAGTACAGAGTGTATTAGGGACACAAGAAGGGTGCCTGGGAGATGACTAAACATTAAAAATCAAGCTGTTTTTGCATTTTGCTAATTGAAGCTATAATTACAATATTTTTGGCTTCATATTCTAAAATACATTTTTCTCATTTCTAAAACAAAATAGCCCTTGCACAGTGACAGTCTCATATGAACAAAGCATGGTGTACTGCAATGATATTTTTATGAGCCTTTAGCAGAGTGAATGTTGACCTGTCTCTGGTTTCTGCAGCAGGTTGCTGTTTGCATCTGAAAGCAAGCTAATTTCTCTGTCGCTTTGTGGTATTCGTGGAGATTTGTTTTTAAAGAGGCGGGGTGAGATAGGGTTGGGGAGGACTCCTTGAGATTCTGCCAGAATCGTTCTAGGGCTGCCTTTCTCAGCCTCAACACTATTGACATTTTGGTCAGATAATTTTTCATCGTAGGAGGCCATCCTGTGCATTCTAGGATGTTTACCAGTATGCCTGGCCTCTCTTCTACCCACTAGATGCTACTTGCAACAACCAAAACTGTCTCCAGGCACTGCCAAGTGTCTCTTGGGAGGAGCAGATCACCCCAGGTTGAAAGCCACTGTTCAAGACCGTATTCATTTCCTATTGCTGCTGCTACAAATCATCGCAATTACTTAGTGGCTTAAAACAATGCTTTTATTATCTTGCAGTTCCTGGGAGTCAGAAGTTCTAAAATCAAGGTGTTAGCAGGCTGTGTTCCTTCTGGAGGCCTTAGGGGGAAAATCTGTTTCCTTGCCTTTTCCAGCTTTGAGGCTAATGGCATTCTTTAGCGCAAGACTCTTCTCTCCTGCTGGGCGCCAGGTGCAGTGTCTCACGCCTGTAATCCTAGCACTCTAGGAGGTGGAGGCGGGAGGATCGCTTGAGCTCAGGAGTTTGAGACCAGCCTGAGCAACAGCAAGACCCCATCTCTACTAAAAATAGAAAAAGTTAGCTGGGCATGACGGTGTGTGCCTGTAGTCCCAGCTACTCGGGAGGATAAAGCAGGAGGATCATTTGAGCCAGGAGTTTCAGGTTGCTGTGAGCTATGATGATGTCACTGTACTCTAGCTGGGGTGACATAGCAAGACTCTGTCTTCAAAAGAAAAAAATCCCTTCCTGACATCTTCAAGACCAGCAGCTTCACGTCTTCAAGTCTTTCTCTTTGTGGAAGGTCATATCTCTTCCTCTAACTCTCACCCTCCTCCCTTCTTTTTATAAGGACCCTTGTGATTTCACTGGGCTCACAGGATGATCCAGGTCTGTCTCTCCATTTCAAGATCCTTAACTTAATCACATTTGCAAAGTCCATTTTGCCATATAAGTTAACATATTCACAGGTTCCAGGGATTATGATGTGGATACCTTTAGGGGGGCTAATATTCTGCCTGCCACATAGCCTGGCCTCTGGGTGTAAGGCAACGCTTATAGAGGGCCTGGCAGGAGGGAAGTGACTTAGTGGGGGTGGGGAGTAGGGGATGGTCAGGGCATATTGGCAGCTAGTGCTTTTGAGTATCAAGTCTATGGCAGGCGCCATGTGCCTGATCTCACTGAATCCTCAAAACAACCGTTGGGGGAGGTAGTGTTAGCTACCCCCGTGTTACGGAGGAGGTCAGAATCTGAGCTGCATCTTGAGAGCAAAGGAGTTTGCCAGCAAGTGGGAAAGGCGTCCCAGGCAGAGGAACGCGTGGGTACAAGGTGCGGAGAATTTGGTCGTGCAGGGTGACTGATTCTTGGGCCTGGAAAGTTGGGGAGGTGAGATGGGGGAGGTGAGATGGCGGGAATGAACATCTGTTAGTCCTTTCATTGACATGAATTATACTATTTCTCTCAATAGTCTACATAACTGCTTATTTATGAGCACCTACTGCATGCTAGGAGTACGTTAGTAAGACACCATGTGAACTCCTAGCTTGATGCTTGACTTCTAATGCTGCATCCCCAGTAAATACATAAAACATGGAGCGGAAAGGTGTCTGATTAGCACGTGTTGAGCATGTGCACAGTGCAGGCACTCACTACCTGGGATGCAGAGTTGAGGAAGGCACAGCCTGCCGCATGCAATCTACTGTTTAAGAAAGTATCTCTCCTGATGATGGAGCCGGAGTTCAAACCCTTCTTGTTCGGCTGCAGAGCACATGCTATTAGCCACTATACTGGGCTTTGCTTTTGTTTCTCATTTGAAGGCAAGTGAGGACTCAAGCTGGGGTTCAGGATGTCCCTGGAGCAAGCCAAGTGCAGCCCAGAGCTGCCTAGCATGAC